TTAGCCGGGCCATATCGGCTCTTAGGGACTGTGCAATAATTACCTGGAGGGGGGATTGGGAAATGGGTGAAATATGTCCCAAAACTAAGTCATACCCCCCCTCTCATTAAGCAAAAATTAATTTCAACCCCCTCACATAACGATAATATTAAGGCTAACCCCCCCCCCCCTTGAAAAAAGTCTCCTCCCATTGATTCCCTCATACCTAGTTTACTATTCAGGAATTCCCGTCTGATTGAGCTCTTTTTTTTAAGCTTAATTTAATCATACTGTGTTTTATTTACCGTACTTTAAATTTGTATTGCTGTTAAAATCAGTAGACCTGCACCGTTCTAAACCTCTTATTTCACTGGTCCCCTTTAATCTACACCTCCATTGTTTTCAGGGATAGGGGGATTGTTATGTGACAGTCCCTATTGTTTTCCCGGCTAATCAATAACAATCTTTCAAATAGGTGCGGGATCGCTCATTAAAATTTCAACAGTTGGGTTTTCATTCTGCTAAATTATGATGCCAGGTGTGCTAACATTGGCATCTTTCTTTTTCATTGAATAACACGATAGTGCTACTTTTGCAACTTTTTATTAAAGTTTACTGTTTCATTTAATCCTAGTGCAAATAAAGTAGCACTGTTTTAAGATATATAACAGAGGCATTCCTTTCGTACTGCATGACAGATAGGAAAACAGCTGTTCATAGATCAGAACACCTTAGAGTTGATAAATGTGTCAGTTTTATTCCAATGTTAGTATTTATATTTGAACTCTAATAACTCTTCCACTACTTTTCCAGTTTGCAAAAAGGAATGAAAAAGTAATGCCTCCCCCCTCTGTATGTATAAAATTCTACATCCAGCCCCCCTCTCTCTCGTTGTCATTTTCTCCTATGCCCCCCACTCTAATTTCCCCCCCGCCCCCCTCCAGGTAATTATTGCAGTCCCTTACCTTGTTTTCTCTTCAAATTGTCATTGTATGTGTTTTGGAGGGCCACTGGTTTATCAGCTTCTGTATGCTGTTATGTGTTTACCCTGTTTTTAAAATAAAGTTGATTGATTGATTGATATGAGACGACGGGCTGAAACCAACTGGCATCAGTCATAGCTATTGGCTCATAGATTAACATAATTGTTCTTTTGGTCTTTTCAGAGTTATTGGCGCGCTGTCCAACTTCAAAAAGTTTGCGGAGGCTTTCAACTGCCCGTCTGGAAGTAGCATGAACCCAGTGAAGAAGTGCTCTGTATGGTGATAATTGATTTCGTTTTCACCTACAGTTAAACCTCTTTAATACGAACATCAAAGGAACAAACAGAACTATACACATTACAAAGGTGTCCTTTATGTGTTGGTATACTTGGGCCTACAGAACTGTCCGTAATACTGAGATGTCCGTATCATGGAGGTGTTCCGTGTTGTTAATTATACTAGAGGTAGAGAATGCGCAAAGTATTGTATCCTTGAGCCCACAGTCCTTAACAGTGAGGTGTGCATAACATGGAGGTGTTCGTTGTTACAGTAGAGGTAGTCAGGTAGAGAATGTAAATAAAGTTTTGAATACTTCAGACTGCAGAACTGTCCGTAATACTGAGGTGTCCATCCGTATTGTGGAATTGTTCTCAATTGCCTCCGGTTGAAAAATCACATTGACAGCTGGTGTAGTAGCCAAACAATAGACGAAACAGGTGAAAAAATCATATTTAAGCAGGTTCATTGAGTTCACAGATTATTGGACGGGTCAGTACTATCTTCGTTTTGATTCGCTTTCGTCCGTCCACGTACATCGTAATTTCTTTTCAAGGGGCTTTCACGATGTAAGCACGCCATGTAAACGCGGATTTTGATCAAACTTTGTGTTATTTTTAACATGCATTTGCGTGCCATGCAGATGTACTCTCAAGTTTTAATTATACAATATTGAATAACGCACGAGTACATTGTGCCACATATCAAAATAAACTTGTAAGATCAGATGGTTACGTTCTAGTATGCGCGAGTTCAAGATTAAAGATTTTTTAATAAACAGCACTTTGATACCTGTCGATGGGGTATTGACCAACCTTGTTCGGTCAAGATGGCCGAATATTGAAAAAATCGTTTGCGTTCAGTCCTTAAAATCTAGGAGAGTATTCAACTATCACAGTCCTCAGCGAACCCACAGGGTCAGTACAGAATTTCTCTTGCGGGACCAACGCGGGAAATCCCGACGGGCAAGACGGGCTTATTGTGCCCACTTGGTGAGCCAATCGAAACAATCGATTTGCTTCAACTTGCGCATGTCCGTACGGGGAGCCGGTTATCTAATAAAGGTACCTATCCTCACTGACGTTTGCGGGGAGGAGCGTTGCTTGATGACGCAGAAGTTGGGCTGATTTTATTTGGTTTCGATGAGACATTATCTCACCTACGCTAATCATAAAGAACGCCTCAGGCGATCCAAGTACATTCTGCTGAACTCAACTGGCTCAAATACCTTACTTATCATGAGCCCAACTCCTTAGGCCCTTTGCAAAACTTGGTCACATGCTTGGATATCATTTAGCAACAGCTCTCTGGATGACCAGTCATCCACGCGTTCATTCCGATCACAAAGCTTTTAGTCCGATCAAGCGAAGCATTCTTAGTTTAATTATTCTGTTAAAAAATTAACTGAAATGACTGGACTAGAAGACTTGAAAAACGTTTGAATTAACCGAGAAGACTTTGCCGATCGTACTCAAAGCTTTGTGACCTGAATGAACGCTTGGATAGCTTGCTATCCAGCGAGCCTTTTGCTAAGTGCTATGCAAACATGTGACAAGTGATCCACTTCCGCAAAGGGTTAAGAGTAAACGGCACGTGGTCTATTATGTTCTCACTTGCCTTCGGGTAAATGTTTGCTTTCGTGCAGCTGTTGTGGTGAGCCTGACGTTAAACGAAAATTGTGTTGTTTTAGTAAATTTACAGTCCCTCAGTCAGCGTCTGAACTATCTTTGTTTTTATTTTTTTCCTTGGGAAAATGCTATCGTGATTTCTTGTCAAGGGGAGTTTTCCTAAAATGTGACGCAGGCTTACTTGAGATAGGACTTCACGTCAACGGATCTTGATGGATAAAACTTTTGTACTGATTTAGTGTCTCCAATGCAAGTGTACTTATAACCTTAGTGAATAATGCATGAGGTTCTCTGTAAGCAAGTAAACATGTAATGTAAAATTGTTATTTTCTAGTCTCCGGGGTCGGGTTGCAAAAAATATCTTAAGATTAAGGGAGCTCGTAACTATTATTCCAAAACAATAGGTTATTGTTCCAGACCAAAGTTAAGAGCTCTCTTATCTTAAGAAGGTTTTATGCAACCTGGCGCGGGAGAGCAAGAGATTCACAATGGTTCAAGAAATTTGAAGCGTTCGTTGTCGGTCCGTAGCACAAGCTCGTTTACTAAAGCCGTAAGGAGCATTTTACTTGATGCAAGAGCGTTCGCCTCCGGTTTTAATTTCCTCACGAAAGTTTCAGTTTCCTTTCAAGATCCGCAATTTCCCGCACTCGAGAAATACGGAAAAATCAGAAACTTATAATCACAGGTGTAAAACATCAGATGTAACCAAATTTCAGTGCTCTTTTCTGTGCTGTTTTTAATTGGTCTCAGATTCTGTATTATATCCCGCGCCCAAAATCGTCTACAAAGGCTTTTTTTTACCGTGTCTACACAATTCTTTTCAGTTTGAAATAAGTAGCCTAAAGAAACGCTCCATTGATTATTCAATCACAATGTGTCAACCCAAAAATAAACGATTGTGCCCTCTAAGAACCCCCCCCCAGCATAAACTGGAGCACTATAATCATTGTTTTCATCTCTGATTTTCGCGAGCTCTCCACCAGTCTCCACTAGTAATTAGGCTTTAATTAAACACTCGAGGAATACCAAAAACCCCCTTCATTAAATTATTAAACTGCACTGCTGTTTTTAAAGTATTGCAGTATTTTCAGATTTTGAATTTGTATTACACCTCATCGCGCCCAAAGTCGTCTACAAAGGGGCATTTTATAACCATTTGACCGTGTCTACACAACGATGAATAAATTTCTCTCAGTTTGAAGAATCTGGCCAATAGAAACGTCGCAATGATTTATATTGTCACAATCAATGTGAACCCAAAATCTAGTACTTACGCTTTAGCTTTAATTACACACTCGAAGGATACTAAAAATCGTCTTCATTGAATTATTAAATTGTACCGATGTTTTAAAGTATTGCAGAGTAACATCTTCGCCTAACTTCTGCCATGACAAATCACGAACTTGAACAAGCTACAAGTAGATCAATTATAAGTGTAAGTATTGTCACGTTACTCCTTTGCTAAGAGAACTCCACTGGCTACCAGTGCGCTTGCGCGTAGATTTTAAGATTCTCCTTGTTACATTTAAGATTCTTCACGGTGTTGCGCCTAGCTATCTTAAGGATCTTGTCTCTGTCTTACCGGACTCACGTTACCAACTACGCCGTAACAATAATGGTATATTGTTAGAAAGACCTCGGCTAAGAACGAAGAAGACTTTGGGAGATCGCACGTTATCGATGGCTGCCCCCTTTTTATGGAACAGTCTTCCTCTGCCAATAAGACAGGAAACATCAAACGACTCTTTTAAACGCTCTGTTAAAACATATTTATTTAAGAAGGCTTTTAGTTAGATTATTTATTTATTTATTTATTTTTAAATATTGTAATTTTACCGGGTAATTTTACTGGTTTTTAATTTAGTTATTAATAATATTGTAATGCGCTTTTGAGTATTTTTATAAAAAAAGCGCAATATAAGTATTAAATATTATTATTATGAGTGCGGCGGAAGTAACTTTCAATCAAATGTGACGTATTCATTATTAACAGTTGTTAAGTATAGTTTATATATTCCCGCGCCGGAACGCTTGCTCCTTTTGAGCTCTGACCGTAGTTAGCTTAAGCTGTATCGGCACTAAGAGGTTCGGCACCATTAAACACTGAGTACTGCATTCCTAACTCCACTGAAAATGCAAATAGCTGCAGACGATATTGCGCTATTGACCGACGAAGAGCGTAGGCTTAGTATAACCTACCGTCTCCGTCCGCACTGTGCAGGAAAGAGATGTCGAGTGATTGCCGCCATTATTTTGATTGTGCTGCTTATCATTATTGGGATCGTTGTGTTTGGTGTTGTATTTGGCATCAAAAACAAGTCTGCGAAGTCCAACTCTGTGAAAGGTACTTATCTGTCACTGTAGATTGTTCAGTGAGAGTTACATATTCATTACTTGGGGCCTCGTCCATCTAATCACCTGCTTAAAGCAGACAAACCTAGCGGAATCGTAAAGTAGTGTACGTTGTCAGTTTCTCACTAATTGACCCACACTTATGCAACTTGCATGCTTGAGTTTGTCTGCGTAATAAATCGAATGCCGGTGCTTTAACTTGCACATGCTAGTTCAGTTTACGTTAGTCAGTTAAGGAGGTGGCGTGCGGCGAGAAAATGCCAGGTATGCCCGAATTTCTTTTGAATTACGGAGAAAAATACTCAGTAACAAGATGGCTACTCCGATAAACGTGATAAATCAGTACCTAGTATAGTTTCATGAGGGCCGAAGCAATTCACGGTCGATGCATCTTTTTCTGAAATATTCATATTTATACCTGTTTACCAACAGCCCTTGAAAGCTCTTGAAGTTTCGGTTAGCGAAAAATTTTAATAGTAAAACTTTTTGTTATGTCTACCTAAGCCTGCGTAGCAAGTGTTTTCGATCGAGGTATTACTCGAAAGTTGGATCCATCCTTCCTCTTTCGCTTTCGTTCCAACTTTCTTGACGAACCCACGTGGAAACAATGGCTACGCCGCAGGCTGTCCACCAAAATCCCAACCAAGTCTTCGTGATCCTTGGTGCTGACCAAAAGGATCGCTGGCGCGCATGAGCATGCGGCCAGTTTATTGGAAGGTTTGTCGTACCTCCGTGAACGATATTGTGCTAGTGTTGTTAGAGACTTATCCATCTTCAAAGTTTCAAGGCAAATTATTTTTTATCAGAAAGCTGGTTGATCTGTTCTTTTCTGTCTGCTCAATAAAATTGTAATGTAAGCAAATTTAAACGTTCGCGATTCCTTTCCTTGATACGGTGGCCCACAACTGTCACGGCAAAACCAAAAACCTCACGGCAAAACTAAAAACCTCACGGCAAAAACAAAAACCTCACGGCAAAAACAAAATACCTCACGGTAAAACCAAAAACCTCACGGCAAAAACAAAATACCTCACGGCAAAAACAAAATACCTCACGGCAAAAACAAAAACCCCACGGCAAAACCAAAGATCTCACGGCAAAACCAAAAACCTCACGGCAAAACCAAAGACTTCACGGCAAAACCAAATACTTCAGAGCAAAAACCAAATACCTCACGGCAAAAGCAAATACTCACGGCAAAACCAAAGATATTTTGCTTTTTTCGTTTTTGGTTTTGCCGTGATGTTTTTGTTTTTGCCGTGAGGTTTTTGGTTTTGCCGTGAGGTATTTTGTTGTTGCCGTGAGGTTTTTGGTTTTGCCGTGACAGTTGTGGGCCACCATACCTTGACTATTACCCGGAACTGTGTCCACGCTCTAGAAAACTGATTCGACATTCCTCAATCTGGATCGCGTAAAAAGAACTGTATTCGAAGAGTTTCAGTTCGCGTAAAGACACGCTATTCAAGCCTGCACCTTCGAAATTCACCAGCGGCACTCAACGAATTTTTTCTGTAAAATAACGGTTCAGAGGATCAATTAGAAATTTCTAAACCTCGAGAAAGGCTAAAAGTTTGTGGATAACGGTTTCGTTCGTCTGTCAATATTCGGAATTTTTCTACCAGGTTACCTATGATTTTCGGAGGTTGTTGCTGGTTTTTTTTTTTTTTTGGTTAAAAAAGGGGCTCCTGAAATCTTCGGTGTTAACGCAAAACGTCCCCTATATAATTTCCTAATGAAAGTAAAACTACTCTATGTCCTCGAACTTTCGACGGGACCCATCAGGGTAGCCAACAGTTTCGGATGAGGCAAAAAAGCCACCTAAAACTTTCGAGACGACCAAAGTTCCCCCAAGACATCCGAACAGATAAATAGTTTTCAGGGCAGCTCCAAATTAACCAAGGCTTAAGCAAGGAAAAAACCATCTGAGACATTTCTGATGTATTTGGAAACATTCGGTTATTGGCTGTCCTTGATTCACTTCACTATAAACAACATGCATGCTTTTTTAAAATTAACTGAAAGGCTCGATTCACTCATTCCAAAGTTAGCCTAGGGAAAGTGCATATTTCAGTTAATGAGAATCTCATTAACTGTCTGACCGAAATGGTATACAAAAACTGTTATTGGCACGGCTATTCACATGAAACAAGAAAACAGAAGGTTTGTTTTTACCTTAAACGATTTAGTTTCTTTCATTTTAGCCTCTCAAATGTATCCTCTGCCCTTCCTCTCTGACTGAAAAGCACCTCATAAGCTGTGGAAATCTTAGCTGAAAGTAAAACAAAAAAAATTAAAATTCTATACCATTAAATTACGTTGGTCTGCAGGATTTCTTTAGAACTACGTACATATACAAGAAACAATTGTATTTCGTGTCGTTTTACTTAGCGGTAGCTGAACCTACACCAACCTCCAAAGTACAGAAAACGGCTGGAAGGGATCAGAAGCCATGGACCAAAACATCAAAGCCATGGACATACCCAACCCTAGCCTCAACGAATACATCAAAGCCATGGACATACCCAACCCTAGCCTCAACAGAGACATCACAGTCATGGACATACTCAACCCTAGCCTCAACAGAGACATCGCAGCCATGGACATACTCAACCCTAGCCTCAACGAAAACATCAAAGCCATGGATATACCCAACCCTAGCCTCAACGCCAGCTGCTTCTGTCCTCTCAACGCAAACTCCGCCACCGATCATTTGTAACAATTCAGCGTGCAGGATCTCTCAAGGTTGGTGTTTGAAGTGCTTTAATTGTTACACTATTCAAAGATTTATCAGTACATTGGCTTTAACTACGTTGTGTAATAGCAGTCGACTCCCCGTTGATTGATTGGGGATTGATTACAGTTTGACATTTAAAAATCTAGTAGATCTGATTAAGAACCTACAGCCTGCAATTTAGACACCCCTTTTTATATAAGAACCACTTGCTTTAATTCAGCCTAACCTGAATTTGGAAAAGATACTTATTAGTGTGATCTGGTTACCGTAATGCTTATTTTCTATTACAGCACTGGGTCAGCACCCGTTGTTCTTTTGTAAGCTTGTCACAATCTCATGTTTTTTGAAATATTGCTCATACAACAATCCAGAAATAAAATATTTTAAAAGTTATTTTCACTATTTACAGTGGTCTTGCCCAAGCAACTCTACAAGGCGCATACACCATGCATTCACTTTATCAACTTCGAGAGAAGACACATACTGGGTTGTTCTTATGGCTTCTCATTATGCCTTACACGCCCTGCGCTCCATGGCACCTCTTTCGGATGATCTGTTTTTTTCTCCATATCGGGTCTGTATCTTTTACCTGGATGAGGCCGCCAGATTTTCCCATTCTTGTATAGGAGAATGGGCAGGCACTTTAATTAGAAAACGGTTGTTTCAATTTTTTTTAAAAGAAAACTGTTTACCAGTATCACATGAATCAAATTTCTGAACTCTAGTAATGTTATATACCACACCCATGTTATAGCTATATTTAAATTTCATGACCGGCCCCATGCACCACTATTTGGGAAAATAACAACCCATTTAGTCGGCGTGGAAGGCGTTTGAAGGAGAAGGAAAACGCCCAAACGCCTGCCATAAAGACTAAAACCTACTTTGTCACTTGGTTTGAAACAAATAATATTAGATGATCGCGCTTACATTTTTATACCATGACATCGACTGTTTCACGATTTCAGAAATCTCCAGAGAGCTGAACACCACAGTGGATCCTTGTGAGGACTTTTTCTCTTACGCATGCGGAGGTTTTTTCAAAAAACATCAGCTCGGAGAAAATCAGAGTACGGAAGATGCCTTTTCGGTCCTCTTCCATGACAATATGAGAGTAATACGACATGTGCTGCAGAATGCTACTTCTGTTTACCCTCAGGTTCGAAATCAAGTTTCTTTTAGTTTGGAAATAATATATAACCTCCATAATAATAAACATCATCATCATCATCATCACATCATCATCGTAATCACAATCATAGTTTGCATGTATTCTAACCAATTGATGCATTGGTTGTTGTTGTTTAACAGAGCTCATCGATAAGGAAAACCACTCAAATTTACAACTCGTGCCTCAATACAGCTGCTATTAACAACAGAGGAAATGCACCTTTATTAACCTTGATAGAGAAGTACGGTGGTTGGACAGTAGCCGGAAAAGGACTGAACTCCTGGACAGTGCAAGAAAAAATGGGACGCATCCAAAGAGACCTGAATGTACACTCTTTGCTGTTTGCTTCGGTTGGGACGGATCATGCGGATTCCACACGTAGTATTCTTAAAGTAGGCAAAGCATTTGTCGAGTCATTAAACATGCGCAAGTGCCTGTTAAGTAGGTAGATACCGGGCAGAAGTGGGTATCAGTCCAGCGAAAAAAAAAAGGAAAAAAAAACGATAATAGTCATAGTAACAAATAGAGAATAGAAAAGTTAAAACTCTTCTGTTAGTCCCAAGGTCTCGTTATTCCGTTTCTGGTCACGTGATCCGAGCGAAAATACGTCACCGAAATTAGCTGACCGAGAAGGCCTGTGAAGACGCCGCACAGGGCTTAGACAAGAATCGAACAACACCTTGTCGCAAAACATTGTTTCGAAATGTTGCTGGAGAAATCCTTGAAAGAATAAGAAGAGATGTATAATAACTAGGCTCTTACGGGTTTCCAAAAAGGGTGGTTGGTACAATACAGATCATATATTTGATTCAAAATATTAGTCAGCATCCACGTGCTAGTTATTTCTCGGTCTTTTACATCTATTTACTAGATTGGAACCTCACACCTAGGAATCTGGATTTGGAACTACTACCAAGACACAGAAGATCCTGAAGTTTTAAAGGTTGGTATGGCAACTGGCGCCAATTACTCGGTAGCCTATGCCAGGTTCTCAGATAGTGAGGACGTCGCGAAAACAACGTCAGGCAGCCCCCCGCGAGTTTTTCGTTTCAGTTTTCACTCTCTCTGCACGTAAGTATCTTAACAGCTGGAGCAGGCTAATTAATCGGCTCCTGACGCAACTCATTTTTTACACCCATAAATCCACAATAAGGAGGTAAGAACCGAAACTTATAACTAACTTTATCAAGTTATAGACGGAAATTTAACCTACCTGATTATTTCAGTTTCGTTGAAATAAATAATGTGGATATAACGTGGACGCTGAAGATCATAATATTAAGACAGAATCCATCAGGAAATTGAGTAATTTTATTTTTCAGTGCACAAAAACCTTGTACCAGAATAATTTAAACAATATTGCATTTTTTTTTTACATTTTTTAAGGGCTAAAGATGTAATTAGTCATCTGTAATAACACCAAAGAAAATTTCTTAGGGGAGCCCGAGAAAATGAATGTCAAATTTTACAAGAATTGTGAAAACACAACAGAGGAAAAATTCTGGAAATTTCTTCTGTAAGATGTAATTTTGTAAAATCTGACATTCATTTTCTCATAAGAAATTTTTCTTTGGTGTTATTACAGAAAACTAAGTACATCTATAGCCCGTGAAAAATGTAAAAAAGACTGCAATGTGCTTTAAATTATTCTGGTACAAGGTTTTTGTCCATTGAAAATCAAAATTACTCAATTTCCTGATGGATTCCATCTTAATATTTTCCATCTTCATTACGCAAATTAACCTATAGTCCATGTGATCAACTGCGCATGAAATCAGGCGGTCTCCATTTCACTTAACCGTTTCTCTCTTTCATAAAAGTCGCTTCTAAATGCAACAGCCCGTGTTTTAAGACGATTTTTCCAATTTTCTAAGCAAACAACATCATCAACCACAAAAGAGGAAGCTATTGCAGCTAAGATAAACCTCTCCTGGTCATTCTCCAAGTCCAACCTTACTAATGATAACAATTTCCATCATTACTGATTCTCCTTTTATCTTCCATCTGCCTCACTTAAAGATTCAACACGCATATAAAACGTACATGACAACGATTGCACGTCTACTTGGAGGAGGATCAGATTCAGAGAAGAAGATGATGCGTATCTACAACTTTGAAAGGGACCTTGCAAGTGTAAGTCATGTTTCAGGTAGAATATAAAACCACCTCCAAAAATATTAAATGTTAAGGGACAGTCTACACTAATAAACAAATTCTTCCTGCTGCAAATAACTAACTGTCGTAATCGTTCATAAGTAAGATACCTAAACGATCTCAAATGTGTGCAATTCCACAGTTGGTTTCATGCAACTCCCATGCAAAGGGGTCTTCCCAGCCAGTGTCTGTGAGGACTCAACAGGATGAGTGAAACAGCGCAGCTGAAATAGATCTAATCCATTACATCAGAAAGCAGGTGAACGCGTCAAACGTGGGAGCTTCAAACTCGTTCCAAGGAGTTATAGGCCTTATCACGGTTTTCAACCCCATCTTTACGATTAGGTGAGCGCGTGAGAGATTACAGTGTTTGTATGAGAATCTAATGTCGAATAATTTCCTTAAAACGGCTGTTCTGAAAAAGAATATTAATTGTAAACTAAAGCTGCACAGCAAAGGATTGTTTACTAACAAGGTTTGGGGGCCGTTACTGTACTCAAATTTCTCCAGACCCTTGCTTTAGATTTACCATATATTTGTCTGCTATTTTTCCCGGGAAATCTTAGTCGGCAGGAACTAAAATGTTTACAGACAAATGTATAGAAAATTTTAAAAAATGATTCTAGCGCTTGTAGCTGCACGTAACGCCCTGAAATTTTTCAGTACAATCGTTAGGAGTAAAGCTTTAGGTTACAATTCATATTTTTTTCAGAACCGCCGTTTTACGGAAATTATTCAACATTAGATTCTCATACAAACACTGTAAGTTCTCACGCGGTTGCCTACTCGTCAAGATGGCGTCGAAAACCTTGATAAGGCCTATTCGGACCCTTCCCCGAGAGAACACGAGAAACGAGGTTGGAGAACTCTCAAGAAAAGAGCGAGAAAACTAGTAGGAGTTAACTTTCGCTAAGACTTCTGGGACTGTACCATTGACCGGCGAGGCCCTGGTGACCATCTCAGAAAGGCAGAAACAACTGCGATACGTATTTTGTCTCCAGTTTCCTTCTTATTTGAAAAGTGGACAACAACATGGTTTCTTCATGATAAACGACAAAGCTATTAGAGATTTTACGCTCTGTGTCCTATCTTCTATTTCAAGATATTGCTTTTTTTCCCGTTTCTACAGAGGCGGGATCGGGACAAACCATTCTCAGATGACTTGGTCCAGTCCCTCGGGCAGTATTATTATTCAAGAAGATCCCTGGATTTCTCATTGGACAAGACTATCGCTGACTTTTGCTCGGACTCAAATTTTAATGTGCGTAATTTTAGCGACAGAGGACACACTGGAAACCCAGGTTACCAGTTTTAGCATAGTCTGCTACACAGCCGTTTTTAACAACAACAACACTTTATTTCACCCCATAATATACAAGAAATAAAAATTTATAACAATAGTACAGACGATGATAGGGGCGCTGGCTGCCCGAAATAACCTAAGAGTTAAAAATGCCAGGCAGCCAGTTAAAAAAAAAGATGTTTAAATGTTTAGGTCAGGGACACAAGAACAAAGAAAACAGAGAAACGCACACAAAGAGTTAAGTAAACTACCAGTATATCAAAGAGACTAAAATTCATACATTGCAAAACAGTATTATTTCCATTTTAAAGTTACTCAGACAATGTATAGATGTCTAGTAATCTTTGATAAAGAGCTGTTTCCCTTTCTTTTTAAACAAAGAAAGTTTTTAGTGTCGTCACGCAACGCTCCTCCCCACACTAAAAACGGCTGTGTAGCAGACTAGTTTTAGCACTGTGATTATTTTTAACCCCTTCAATGCCAGAGTACTTGATAGAGTTTTGTACTGGTGACTCTAACTTTTGAGTCTGCAGACAAAATCCTATGATGTGACCATTCAAATGAAAGCTCTCTGCCTGTACTTTCACATGATGCTATTTGTTTGTCAAACTTTTAGAAAATAAAATTTGGAAATTCGGTCGAAATTTGCCTTTGGCCACATTTGGCAGTGAAAGGCTTAAAAGATGAAAGATACGAAAACCAAATTTGTATATAGCTTCTATTTCGGCTTTTTATAGTGCAGGCAAAAGAGTTAATAATGCTACTTTTGGTCGTTCACAATGCCACCTCCAACTCAGACTTGCGAAGGTATATGTTGTGGTTCAATTTTATCCTTGGTTCAAATTTTATTTCGCGTTGTTTTTGGGTATGGTAATATGATAATGAGTTTAAAACAAACGGAAATAAAATTTAAACCAAGGATAAAACTGAACCATAACATATATAATGGGCACTTGAATTCGGCAGATCAAGCACCAGCTCTCATTCAGGGCTGATTTAGCGAAGAATTACTGCCAAAACTTTAGCCTAGAACCGGGCGGTTTATCATTTGCAGAAAAGATTCCGTTAAATCCGGTTCCAGTGGAAAATTTCCGGCAGCAACCGAACATCTGAAAACTAAAGGTAGTCCTCTTTTTCCGGCTGGAAAGTTCCAAACGGAAATTCTTCTTGCTCTTGTTACATGATCGCATCTTCGATACCAGTTTCAGGCCTTCTCAGCCGTTTTTCGGTAAAAGGAGTATTTTTAAGTGTAAAACGGTAAACGCGACTCCGGGACGAAATTACCAGTGCTGACTGATTTTGATTACCATTTGACCAAAAGAGTGAACCGACCGCTTTGCCCATGTAAAAATGGTAAACAAACCGAAACTCCTGCATACTTTTAGAAAGGGCCAAAGGACGTCAGTTACTAGTGAACGCGGATTGCGGGCAATCGAACGACTAAATTATCAATCAACACTATTTTTTCATTTACAGCAAACTTTTATCTTGGATTTTTTGAACACTGCGTTTCTGCACCAAGGAATTACTTTCGACTCTAGGGAAAAAGTTTACTATGGGGGTCACTTAATCTTCCGGCACATTGCTTCGAAGTATCATACTACGTAAGTGTCACGTAACTATTAGTCATTTACAAGAGAGGATAAAGGGGACAGAGAAGGCATTCCCCATACACACCCTATTCCATAGGTAATTCGTCCCGAGTTATTTTTAGAATGGAGATAAAGTTACCTCGCGCGCTGCGTGGATGTTTCGTGGTGGTTTTTCATGACTAAACGCCGTGCAAAACATGTCGGGCGAAAGGCAATAAAAGCGTAAAGAGATCGACAGTATTCCTGAATATTGAAGCCAAATGAGTAGGCGCTCACCTGGGAAAAGGGAATCGCTGGACTCTTTGACAACCCGTGAAATCGGTTTAACTCGAAGTTGTCGTAACCTCAGTGCTTTAATAAAATGAGGAATTTGGCCGGTCTATTGAAACCGGTCGTTTGTACAATAAAGCAAGTAGGACGCAAAGTGTTATTTTTGTTGAATAATAAAAGAGTAATAAAAGCATAAATATCAAACCAGAAATTTCTTTCTTCAAACTGTAAATTATAAATGATCCGGAGAGAATGTTCAGTATGCTGTACTGTTAGCTCTATACAAGAGAGGAAGGGCAATTCTTTCTTAATTTCCGTTTCGCTGACACAGCTTTAGCACAAATCTCTCTGTAGTCGTTTTTGTCGACAAAACGAATAGCAATATTGCTCTCCGCGTCTTCCGCCATTTTCTTCTGCGTCAATTCGTGAAGGACGCGTGGCTCTGAGCGTGGATCATCCACGCGAAACACATTCGCGCTATGTGATTGGCTGTCGTCTAATCCCCCTTGAGATCTGTGGTGTTAAAAATAACTTGAGACGAATTACCTATGGAATTGGGTGTGTATGGGGGATGCCTTCTCTGTCCCCTTTATCCTCTCTTGTCATTTATTACTAAATTTTTTAATTATTAAATAGATGAGTAAAAAGGAATTTTAAAAGTGTTTATGAACAGCACTGTCTTGTATCTGGAGAAAATTATTCCCTTTTATAGTGGTTTACTTTCACTTGTAATAACGATGTTATTTTTTTGGAATATTCTTCATGCCCTTCTCTCAGCGGTGTTCTTATTTATCTTGGCAATTTTATCTGATCAATAACAGCGCCCAGTGTAAAGAAGAGAGCGTCGGTGAATTATGATCAATGAAAAGCAACCTATCAACCTGTCAATAATAGTCTAATAATCATTGCTACCGGACAAAGTCGACAAAAACATGAAGACGGTGATATGACAACTGATACGATGTTAAAATTGGCAGCCCAAAGCTAATGTTTGCCTGACCACTTTGACAAAGTTAGGGGTTACTCCAAGTACTTGTACATACTTAGATAACAAGCAGTTATCGGTTTTGGCTTTCGTATTATGCAGATAGCTAAAACATGCTAAACTCGATCGATTTTAAGTTGCATTCAGGATCGGAAACGATGCGTCGTTGTATTTTTTAGGCAGTAGTTCTTTGCAAAACTTGTGTGGTTGACGTCCCTTTTCCTGTCGATATCCAGTAATATTGATGTCATTTTAGTGGATATGGCAAAAGTCTCTTCCAAATTTGGCAACGCTAGCTTATCATGGAGAATACCGCAAGACGGAAGATTTGAGTCAATCAGAAACGAAGAAATATTTTTAATGAATTATTATGGAGGCTAGTAAGTGTTGTTAAGAAACAATAGGCTATTGTTTGAGAAGGACCATTTTAAGAACATTTTGACTTGTCGGCCCATTCTGGAGCCGACGTATCTAAAGTAGCTACAGCCTATTTTTCTTGCCTGTATTTGCTTAATATAGGCTAATTTGTTGAGTTTACATTTAAAACATTTTTTCGTATTTCTGGAATTCGTTTCTATACAATGAACATCCGTGCGCACTGCCCTTCTCGACGGTGTTCCGATTTATTGTGACGAATTTTCCTAACTTCTCTAACCAATTAGTACACTGTTTTAAACTCGAGGAAGAGAGGGTCTTGTCGGATTACACCTTAAACTAAAAAGGCGCCAATAAAGAGATGAATAATTAGTGATAACAACAAAAACATAAAAAAGATATGATATCATAATAGACAGGCCAAAGTCAATGACGAGTGTTTGCCTCCCTAGCTACGAAATTGAAAAACACGATACTTGAAAGTTTATACATTTTTGTTCCAAAACAATAGATTAATATTCCTGAATAATACTCAATACCTCTCGAAGAAGAACAATTTATGTAACCAGTTCCCAACATGTCTAACGCGCAACCATTCATGGTGATATTTGCTTTAATTAGCTCCCACGACATTATCAAGGACTACATTATGTGGCGAGTTGTTTCCCGGTACGTTTGGTCAATGCCTGATCTATTTGTTGAAGCTAAGCTTGAGTTTTACAAGGCTCTGCGCGGGACGCGAAAAAGCCGACATCAAAGATGGTCTTTCTGTATCGATGAAATGCTGACACCGATGGACATGACTCTGGGGAGGATGCATGTTGACGCACATTATGACGAAGCAACTAAATCAACGGTAAAGTTGTAAACTATACTAAGAAAACTAACGGCGACGCACATTCACAAGCACAACTCGAAGCTCGCATCTTCCATATCAATCGTTATGAATATATTTTTGCCCGGAAGTAAGCACATTCGATTGATTGATCGACTGAAGTTCAATAAAAGTCGTTCTTTTTGTTTCAGGTACAGGAAATGACGACTCTTATTCGCGAGGCCTTTATTAATAACCTCAATTCGGCGGATTGGATGGATTCTGCAACAAAAGAGGCCGCCAGGGAAAAGGTAAGGATGTCATCCATTGATTATCAAGACAAAGAGGTAAAAAGTGTTCAAAAAGCTGGTTCTCTTAATTTTACAGGTATCGGAGTAAGTCGATGTTGGTACAGTACACCTCTCTTGCATAGTATTATTTGTATAATATTCCCTTTTTAATTCCCATTAAATCATGCGTCTTGGCGGGTTTATACCATCTTTTAAGTTTTCTTCTTACGGACGTCGATAATGAAAAAAATAGGGGGCCACATATTTGTCCCCATAACAGTCAGTACTGTAACTTTGAGTACTCTATGACTGGTTAACGCTTGTTATTATAATGACTACAATAGTACGCGCACTCTCATTGGCTGTTCTCTTGTAATGACCGGGCATTAACAGTTAGGTGTCCAAGGTATATACAATCCGTGTTTAACTTAATAGTCGACATCTATGTTATGCTCAATTGACAGCTGTCAAAAGGGTATCCGTTGACCAGTGTCATCTGGCTGTATCGCAGGTTCAAGTGTACAACTTATTGAGGTGATTTTTAAAGTTATCCGCTGACCAGTTGTTGGTTTTAGTTGATAGCAGGCTCAGGTCAAAAATGAAAAGGCAATATAATAAATAACATATTAACCTCGTCCGTTCGTTCATAATGCACTTAAAAGTAATCATTGCAGGCCAATGCTATAAAAGAGGATGTGGGATACCCACCATACATAAAAAACGACACAAAACTTGACGAACATTACTCCAAGGTAATAATAGTAACAATAATATTAGTAATAATAACATTGGCAATAATGGCCGCGGGGGGGACAGCGAATGAAGTGATGTGTTCCTTAGCTCGTTAACGTTCATCTTGATCATGGAATGGTTATGAAACCCGTTAAACTCCTTTGTCGTATATTTTTGTTAGCTTTTTTGGACCTGACAGTGCACAAGGTTCAACAGCATTCCTATCATTTTTAACTTACCGACCAACAGAAACATCGCACTAATTTATTCAGTCACAATTTGTGAACAAAAAACAAAGGATTGTGCAGGGTCAGGGAGCTTCCAATATAAACTGCAACACCATTGTTTTCAACTGTGATGTTTGCCTGCTTTCCTAGCCAGACTCCTCTACTAACTATGTCGTGATAAACAATTTTCCCTATTCGCCAACACTGCCTCGCCCATGCAATGCATTTAAAAGTTCGCTTGAATATGCCAATCCTCGAGTTCAAATCCTCGGTCGCGCTTCCAGTTGGGGATTTTTATTCCCGTTATCATCTATTTAATTTTCAAGATTCACTCTTTGGTTTAGTTTTTTTGGTGATATATCACTTGTCTCAAAATATCAGCACTACTTATCAATTATTTACTTTTTTCCCCAATATCACCAGCTGACAGTTAGTGATGATTATTTTGAAAATAAAATAGCAATGAACAAAATGCTGGTCCAAAAAAACTTTGGAATGCTTCGCCATCCAGTCAGCAAGGATTTGTAAGTATTATTTGCGGATTGCCAGCACATTTGAAATGATTTTAGCCTAACAGGTTGTGGGTGGTGGTAGAGTGTGGATGCGTTTTATTAGATATGTCAGAAATTACCCTTAAAATGTGAGCCTTCAGGGTAACTGCCATTATAAGTCATTAAGCTATCTTTCAAACGATATTTCATAGTAAGTCATTTGGCTTATTCCCAAGTATTCTGATCTAAACCTTCATTTAATTTGCATTAATAAAAATAATCTGACTGAGAGACTTCTACCTCTCGAAATATAAGAAACATTGGAAATGATATGCCCAGGGGCCGACTCTTGGTAATTGGCTCCTATTCCAATTTTAGCACTGTGGCACACGTACCAACTCCACGGTATGGCTATTACCTTACGCATGCGCACAGCCATATAACCCCAGCAGTGGCAGCCATGGTCAGCTGTTTCGCCCTTATTGAGGCTCATCAGCATAGCATAACCGTCGGGTTCATGAACAGGAGAACTCGTGCATCAAAGAGTCTTTACTTCCGAGGCAAATGCAAAGAAGCACTTCTTTGAGTGCCAGCTCCACCGTAAACAAGTAGTAGTTGTTAGTTGGGGACCGCAAAACAGGGGTGATGTGGTTGTGTGCATGCATAAGGTACTGGCCATACCGCAGAGTTGTCACGTGTGCTTCAGTGCTTTAATCGGCTTCTGTCCGTATAAAACGAAGACTTAAAAAGTCCAAATGGTCCGTTAAGAATTTCTAAACTCAACAGCAAAATTTACTGCATCATCTTTAAGCTCTCTCGCATAGCATTTTGACTTAACTTACATATTTTTATATACATGCCATTTCAGGTGGCCGGAAAAAAACCCTGCAGAAGTCAATGCATTTTACTATAAACATAAAAATACAATAGGTATGTGGGAGTTTTTATTTAAATAGGGTTCATAATGACCATCAATCTTAATCCACAATATTAGTAAAAATTAATAGTTCTCCTCTATGACAGATAAATTAAAATATGGCATAGTTGACTGATTAGAAATGTACAATGTACGCAGTACCATAAATTTGTTAATTAACAATTAATGAATGAGGCTGAGTAATTGTTTTATTATTCATTCAAAATAATTCCCAGTTTAAAAACATAGCTAAAACATGCCGACCTCCATCCATGTTAAGTTCATCTTCGATAGTGCACGTTTAGGGTTGTTCAGCTCTTCAAATATTCTCCAAATAGCAGTTATCGCCCTTGGAGTTGTCTTCGTGCTGTTTTTGCCGTGTTTTTAGCTATTATTTCGTCCAGTAGTTACTCTTGAAACGAGTGAAATGCCCGCCATTTTTGTTTTCACAACCAAAACAACTCAACCTCGTCCCCAGGTCTTCTCGGTTGACGGCGCATTAACCTGCAAGCTGTCTGCGCTTTTGACATCATCGGTTGACTAATCGAAAAAATTCTTCCAAATTTGATAATCAGTAGGAGGTTATGGTGAATTATGCGTGTGCTTTTAACCAATTAAAAAACGGAGAAATATTTTGAATGAATAATAATTACAAATGACGATTAGTTAGTCAAATCTGCATTTAATATTTGTTACATTAATTTTTTTCATAGTATTTTTGGCAGGGATCCTACAGACGCCTTTTTACACGAAAAATTATCCAAAGTAAGTGAGTGAAGTGAGTTACCCGCGTGGACACTATATGACACATTTTGAAGGTAGTTTTAAAACTGTTTGTCAACCACGGAAGCAAGATAAATTACTTTAGAGAGATTTATCTCATTATTTGTTAAGTAGTGGTGCAAAAAAAGAGAAACCAGGAAGCTGCAAACCTGCACGGTTGAGGCTCAATATGCGACCACCTCTTGTAAGCGACCACGTCCCATTATCACCAATTCAAGACACGACCACCCCTCCTAACGACCGCGAGCACCTTCTGAGGTGGCAGTTTTTTTCAATTTTTCATTAGTTTTGCCTCTTTTAAGCGACCACACGACGCGTGGTTTGACCATGAGTATGAATGAATGAAGCTTTATTTAATCTCGGGTTTGATGAGGTTGGTTAGACCTCTGGCAAAAAATTTGCTAATGAGCCGAGGGGAAAAAAACAAAGAAAACAAAACAAATAAATAAAATAATAGAGAAAGAAAGGGAAATCCAAAAACTTATTTACAGTATAAAGCCTAAAATTACGTGACATAGCTATTTACAATAAAAAGCCCAATTACTTAATAGAATATAGACATTATGTAAAATTAGCTAGAACCTTAGCTGTCGGACTGCTTTTTGAAAAGCTGACAATATGTACTTACGGATCTTAAGGTATCAGAAATCTAATTCCAAGTAATAGCCGCCAAGCACTTTACTGAGTTCTTGCTGTGACGAGTCGTATTAGGTTTCGGTACTTGCAGCTTGTTAACCCCTCTCAGGTTTTTGATGTTGTCTCTTAACCTAAATAGGTCTCTCAGATATTCAGGTGGATAATTGTTAATTGTCTTAAGTGCAATAATTAACAAGTTCTGGATACGTCGATCCACAAGGCTCTAACCAATACGATCAAAAAGGTGCTAGTTTGTGAAGACACGTCACTGTACAAGAAACGAAGTGCTCGTTCATGTAACCTATCCAGTTTTTTACTATCAGACTTTAAACAGTGATGCCATATGGAGGAACAGTATTATGAACGAAATATAAAGGCAGAGTTTGGTCCGAAACGATAATATGTTCTTTAGTCTACAACAACATCTAGTTGCTTTCCAACTTTCTTGCTAATTTTCGTAATGTGTTTTCCAAAATTCTGGAAATTGTCCAATTTTAGCCCAAATAGATCTACTGTATCAAGTAGTGGTAATGCAACACCTTCAGCAAATAGTGATAGCTTGACATTGGGTTGTCGTGAGAGAAACAGCGCCTTGCATTTTTCAGGGTTCAAGATCATCTTGTTATTACGAAACCGCTCACACACCACCACAAGTTCCTTATTGACAACATGTTCGACAGCAGCTGGATCAGTATCAGCAAAATACAGCTGATTATCATGAGCATAGTTAGACAGCTTCGCCTCTTTAATGAAATAAAATAAGTCATTTATGAAGATGTTAAACAATAAGGGTCCTAAAAAGGAGCCTTGGGGAACACCGCTTTTAACATATGAGATATCACTTGTAACGTCCTCTACTCGAACCCGTTGCCTGCGATTTGTTAAATAGCTCTTCAGTGAGTTTAAACTATGGGTAGAAATACCATAAGCAGAAAGCTTCGCAAGTAATAAGTCGTGTGGTATCAAATCAAAAGCTTTACTTAAGTGCATTATCACAATCCCAACCACAGAATTCTTGTCAAGAGCTCCTTTCCGGTGCTCGATAAGATGCAACAACACAGAATCGCAACTGTAAACTTTTCTATACGCTGACAAGAACTTAGAGAAATACGGGTTGAAGTAGTGAACAAGCTGCTTTTGCACACTCTTGTCCTTGAAGAAATTCATCAGGCTACTGAAGTTAAACAGTCGGCTGAAATGTTCTTAAAACATAGCCAGTCTTAACGTCTTATTGATGCTGACAGTTTCGATGACTGTCGCAATAATTAACACCTTCAGAAGCCTATTTAAGGCTTCTGACACCTTTAATGTTTTTCAAGTTTTGATAAAGATGGCTGACAGGTATCGAAACTGTCAGCATCAATAAGACGTTAAGACTGGCTATGTTTTAAGAACATTTCAATCGACTGCTTTTGCACACATCTCTCGAAAACCTTGTCACATTTGTCTGTTGAGGCGAACGAAAAGCTTGGAGCCATATGGATTCAAAACGTGTATCACTTTTTGAAGCTAACCCCTGGCTAACCATTCAACCGTAAAATTATTCGACTTTCGCGTTGGCGAGCTCCTGCTATGCAGGCTGCTGTCGGGTGCAATTGTTTTTAACCTTTAAGTCAAAACAAAACTTCACGAGCACCACATTAATCCCGTTAATATCGATATCTTTGCACTTCCATCCGCGAATCGGCAAAAAGTATTGGCATAGTAGAGCACCCAAAGACATAAAAATAGCTTGTCTTCCTCGGGATTCATCACTTAAGCGTTCGCGAACTCGATGAAATTATTTCCATAGGAAAAATTAAAAAATGAAGAAAACATAAACAAACAATTGCTCTGGAAATTTATTCGAAGGGGTTTCCACTTTTATACATCACAAATACACGGAAATCACAAATTGTTCTTTTAAAAAGTTCTTCGTATATTCTAAGTAGCACTTTGCACACAGAGAATGAGTCAAGTGGTCGCTTTCAAGAGGTTAAGAAAATAATTAAACTTTCAAGCCCAAAAAGTGGTCGCGGTTGTTAAGGTGATGTTACACGAGACGATTCGCAACGACGATTTTTAGCGCAACACAGCGTTGCAACATTGTTGTGACATTGTTTCGAATAGTTACAACATTGTTCCAACATTGCAAGGCTGTGTTGCGCTAAAAATCGTCGTTGCGAATCGTTTTGTGTAACATCACCCTTACGAGAGGTGGTCACACATGGAGGTTCGACTGTATACCGTTTTCTTTCGCCAGGTATCTCAACTATGGTTCACTGGCAACGGTCATTGGACATGAAATTACACACGGATTCGACAACAGCGGTATCTTTTATAGTTCTCTTTTTCAATACTTGAGGTAGAAAAGTTGTAAAAAAACACGACTTTGAATTCATCAACGTCAGATGTTACGAAGTGCTAGGAAGATACTGGCATGAACAAGGACACTTTTTGTGGAAAAGGAATATTAGCCTGATTTTTAAAAAGACAACAACAGATCACACGGTGATAGTTTGGTCAAGGTTCAAACTCAGTAAATGTCTTTCTATTATTTGCATCAGAGCAAACATCGGCAAATTGTGACGGTAACGTTTTAAATAACAACATCAAACGTTTGCTTTGTCTAATTCAAATTCTCTCCGTTAAATCACTCGCCCTTGAGAGAGGGAAAAAATCCCGTCATTGCATCATCCCCATGGTCATACTCACTATATACTCTCTCAGACCAATGTCACAACCAATAAACCCGCGAGTATTTCTAGAGTAATTGTTACTTGTATCGATTTTTCATATCTTATTTAGGTCGCCTTTATGACAAAAATGGAAATTTTAACGATTGGTGGTCTGAGGAATCGGAAGCAAACTTCAAATCCAAGAGCGATTGTCTTGTCCATCAGTACGGTAATTACAAGGTGTTTGGAAAAAAGGTAAGTGGTTCAATAAATTTTTTTTATGGAAGGCTCTGGAAACTAATCATCGGCTAATGTTGCAAAGGGGAGAGCTGGCAACACGGTATGAAATTTACTGTATTACAACTTATAATTGCATTATCAACACTTGTATAATATTTTAGCATTGTAATACTAAATTACATCTTCGGTTGTTTGTACTACAGATAAAGGGCAAAAAGACGTTGGGTGAAAACATCGCTGACAACGGAGGGTTAAAGTTGGCATACGAAGTAAGTTGGCATATGAACAAAGATGGAAGGGTTTTCATTGATTTATTTGTAGCTTTGGTTAAAATATTTGATTCGAGGCTGTCAGTAAGCTCGATCCCAACCAACGACAACGGCTCAGCAGCAAAACCACCAAGGAAAATTTTATCGTCATAGATTATCTGCATACGGTTTATTCGCTCTGTGACTATAAGGTCTACAAATGTACTGTTCAGTTTAGTTTTATAATAATAATAATGATAATGATAATAAATGGTAAAGACAATGAAAATGATGATGATGATAATGATAATAGCAACTTTCATGTCGTAGCCCGCCCTTGAAAGCTGATCTATCACTGCGCTCACTTGTTTTCTCTTTGTAGCGTATCATAACGGACTTAAATGTTTCATGGTCGTTCCCTTATCATTTTTTTTGTAATCTTTATCAGTATAATGTGACTGTTATGATTCCCTGGTATTTTGTTACATTGCATTTAATGTACTTGCATTGCATTTCATTGTCGTGGTATGGACCCGGAAGAATACTCAACAAAGTTTTATACGGAGGCTTCGCCCTGAGGTCCAATTGCCCCCATAGCCTTTTTTATGCCATTTTTGACAGATAAGCTACCCCTTTTCATATATATATCTTCCATTAAAGAATGACACCGCATTCACAGATCTTCTTAATAAGAATAATTCGCTATAACAGGAAGTCTCTTGTCACTTTAATTCAAGTAAGATTTAAAAAGGAAAATAATAGAGTCAGTTAAGGCGCGTCTTTTCGAAAAATTTTATTCAAAGGACCTTTTTAATACTTAAATGATAGCTTTTCCTACCATTTCATTTACTTCAACTCGTGAATTACCTACCCACTGATATACCTGAAGCCTGGACAGGCACCCCTTTTGGAAGGAGCCTCCCTTATAGGCCATTATAGAGATTGCCCCACGGTTATGGACATAAAGTATACGAAAATTTGTTTGTGGGCGATAGGAGGAGCCCGCAATCGTAATCTCCAGGTTGTTATTGCCATGCGTCGCGTATATGTAGCTAGCATTCGTTTGGACTTCCACTAAGAATGTATGGAATGCACAGAACGCCTTTGATCACGTCTGTTTGTACCTTCTATCACTCCTAATCTGAACGAAAGCGTTCTGACTTTCGAACGTTGTCGCCCGCACTCAGTAACCTTTGGTTATTACTAGTTCTAGTATATTAAGCAAAAACAGACCAGATTTCATTTTCTGTTTAATTTACTTGTATTTAGGCATATCAGTCCTGGGTGAAGGCCAATGGAAGAGAAAATCCATTACCTGATCTTTCTATGAGCGTGGATCAACTTTTCTTTATCGGATTTGCAATGGTATGTTTTGAATAAATTATTCGTTTACCGACCTTCAGTATTCCATTATACAGGTGTTTTCGGTGTCAAAGCGCATACATTCAATACGATGTTTAATTGTAAACAAATCCAGTTGACAGACGATGTGGAGTTCTAATGTGTTAGTATTTTCAATGTTGCTATTACTGCCAGTAAATCACTAGTCTGATATCGGCAAAACGTTTCTACGAACTTTCACGTAGTATTTCTGATGACAAATTTCCCGGGACAGAAACCCTCTTCACACATATGGGATGTTTTCCGAGAAAAGAATGATCTTAAAAGCATATTTTAATATAATACATTTTAAAAAATATCAGAGATCGGGGATTTAAAATACAAAACAACCAAAAGAAGCCGATACACATGCAAGGAAACGATTATCACCGAACTCACCGTTTTAGAAGCACGTAACAGTTAAGCTTGTATTAAAAACTATGAGTAATAAGTAAGTTAGAGACAAATAAAGAACGTATTAAATCCGTTTACCTTTCATTTCATGTACTGTTCAACGCATGATTTGCATCCGTTGTTGCCACCTTGTTGAGCAAGATATTTTATCTGGTTTATTAATAGACTGAAAAGTGAAGCGTTTTACGGTGCGTTGTTCCGTGTAAACTGCTTTAGCTTTCCCATGTTACCGTCTTGAAGGTACGATTCTAATTGATTTTCAAAGGAAACCGAAAATATTGCTAGAAAAGTTGGAACTGGCGAACAATTCTTTTCTGCCAAAAATCATGCAAATGGTGTCGGTAGCGAACACCGTGAATCCAATTTTCCCGCGCTGGAGCCTGCGGGTCAACCTCGTTTCCAGATTCATGGTGACGTCAGAATTGTAACCACTCGGCAAGGCTGCTAAAACATGTGATTCATGTGGACAGCATTTTGGTTTATGTTCTACGCTAAAAATAATGTAAAAATGCTGTCTGGTTATTTGTCATGGCTACTATTAAAACTGAACTGTCTCCGCTGTTTAAAAATTCGAATTTCCCGAGGAAGAAAACCATTTTACCTCCGCTCTTTGTTACGTAACCAACAACAACTCCCTCTAAGCTTACTTTTATCATTGTTGAGGGAGGGATGGCGAAGTTACCTCAATTATATTGACGAGCTCGAGGAAGGGCCGGCAAATAAATTCTTAGGTAAAGAGAGTATATTTTACAAGAAATATTCACCAATTTGACTACTCCGTTCGAGCGTTTAGTGATAAACGTGATAATCATCCATTCATTCTGTGTCCACCCTACTCCGGTAAATCGAGATTTGATCTATTTAAACTGTAAGTGCAGTACTTATCACAGTTCTGAATGGCGCGTAAAATAGCTTTACAGTATACCCTGATCAAAAGCTTGTTTAGAATGAAAATAATTTAAAAATAGGTCCTCCTTCTTTACATCCTTCATACTCTTTTCCCTCATTATTTCAGACACACTGTGCTGTTTACAAGAAGACGGCGGCTCTCTACCAAAGGGAAATAGACTCTCATTCGTATGATAAATACAGGTCAATAGTGTTTAAGTTAATTCTAGAAACACGATACGTGCCTCGTAAGCCAGTGTATAAAATTTAGATTGTTGAACAGTAGAAAGCTGGTGCATACAAATAGCCTGTTGTCAACTCTCCTCGCTCCTCGTCGCTAGGGCGAGGAGAGGAGAGACGGCTGTATTCGCAGACTACATTACAAATAGTGCGTCTGACTGACACTTTCCGGAAACGAAATGTGCGTTGGTCCTGCACCATACGCTGTTACCCTAACTGCCTTCCCTATATAATGCAGTTTTAGACCTAGTTTTTAAAGGCTGCACTCCATTACTCCCTCTATACTACTCGCTACTCTCGAGTACTCTCTACATTTTACTCGATCATACAATTCCTGTATCCTTGTTAGTTACTGATGACTAAAGGCCTGTTGCCGGCTCTAGCCTTGTTTCCTCTTAAAATTGTCGTTGCGTTTTTATGAGAGGGCGGGCTGAAACCAACAAGTATCAATTACAGCCATTGGTTTATACATTAATATCAGTGTCCTTTTTTTTTTCCAGAGTCATTGGCTCGCTATCCAACTTTAATAAGTTTGCGAAGGCCTTCAATTGCCCTATTGGAAGCGGAATGAACCCCGTGAAGAAGTGCTCTGTATGGTGATGAACCCGCCTAAACAGCCGAACATCTTTAATACGGACATCAAAAGAAGAAATTGAACACAACTATACACATTACCGAAAGGTGTCCTTAAGGAATTGTATAAAGTTTGGTATCTTTGGGCCTACAGAACTGTCCGTAGTACTGAGGTGTCCGTATTCTTAGAGGTGTACGTTATTATAGTAGAGGTACAGAATGCATGAAGTTTTGGTATACTTGAGTCCATAGTCCGTAAGACCGTGAGGTGTCCAATTTATATGGAGGTGTTCGTTATTATAGTGGAGATAGAGAAGTTTTGTAACCTTGGCCTTATACTGAGTTCCGCATTACTGAGGTGTCCGTCCGTATTATGGATGCGTTGTCATTTGCCTCCGATTAGAAAAATAATTTGGACACTGTATTGACACTTAGCAGGTTTAGTGGCCAAGCAATAGACTAAATCATTCTCCCTTGACGAAATGTAATAGGTTAAAAATAATATTAAAGCAGGTTCATTGAATTTACAGACCATTTCAGCCATTTCAGAGTCAGTACTATCTTCGCTTTGATTTGCTTATGAAATAAAGTTTTTCCGTCTGCGTACATCGTAGCTTCTTTTCAAGGGGAGTTGTCCTGAACTATGACTCGTCTTGCTTTCACGAAGTAAGATGCCATGTAAACGGATCTTGATTAGACTGATTAAACTTTATTATTTTTAACATGCATTTGTGTGCCATGCAGATGTACTTTCAAGTTTTAACAATATTGAACAACGCAAGAGTACATTGTGCCACATACCAAAATAAACTTGTAAGATCAGATGGTTACCTTCTTGTATCCGCGAGTGCAAGATTAGATATTTTACGCTGGTTTTTTAAATCAGTTTGCAGGATTTGTTGTTCGTCCGTAGCCTGAATTCGTTTACCCGGGTCGTGATGACCAGTTTACTTAGCTTGCTCAGTGCAAGCGTGCAGCACCGAGTTTACCCACGAAAGTTTCAGTTTCAGTTCCATTCAAGTTTCACCTTCCCACATACGGGAAAGACAATCAAACCGAGTAAAACAACGAATATAACTAAATTTCAGTGCTCTTTTCTGTAGATTATCAATTGGTCCTACTATTGCTATTTAACAATTATTGAATGAGGCTGAGTATGATCTGAAGATTTATGACTGAGATCGAGGAGGGTGTCATCCGCCTCGTTCAGTTCATTCGAAAACTGAATTCAATAATAATATTGTTTTATTATTCAATGAAAATAATTTATTTTTAATAACCAACTAAAACATGCCTACCTCGATCGATGTAGAGCTCCCGTCTTTGTTTCCCTGATCCTCCGTGTTCTTGCTCTGTTTTTAGGCAATGTTGCAGCTCGGCTATTTCTTCTTCGTAAACGTGTGAATTTTTCCGCCAATTTCTCCAGCTATACCAAAACAGCTGCGCTAACCCAAACTCGTCCCCAGGGCTTCTCTGTTTCCATGCCTTTTTCTGTGGTTATCCTGCATCAATGATGTCATTTTTTTCGGATGTCCTTAACTTCTTTGGTCAACTCTAGCTGGTCATGAAGAATTAGCCAGACGATTTGAGCTAAACAGAAACGGAGAAATATTTTGAGTGAATAATAAAGTGTCAGTATTTCGCGCCCACAGTCGGTCTACAAAACATGTAGGAGCTGCTCGTTTCAAATCTGACAAAGGCTTCGTCAGCCGTACTTCAATCAATCATTTCTGACAAGTCACCCGTTAAGAGTATTGCAAGCGGAATCATCGACGCCCATAGCTCTTATTCTCGGAGTTTTCAAAGAGTGCATTCGGGTTTTTACCCTCGCTCCGGAGATAAACTGTCAAAACGAGGTCAAGACGAAAAGGTACCTGGTACAAATGGTGATCGAGATCAACAGAGAAAATTGGTGAGGATAAAAAAAAGAATAGTTGATTAGTAGTATACTAGAAGTAATAAATGATTACAGATCCCCGTTCCTCTCTTACGGAAAAGAAGTCTAGTCGAAAGGAGTCCAGTTTCCTCTGATAAAATCAGTAGGGGCGGCCAATCAGTAGTCGCCCGCGACACTTTGATTTGGGGAGGAGGGCTCTTCATTTCCTCCTTTACTTGGCTAGCTACCTTTTCTCGACAGTTTCGTCAAAATTTGTAGATTTGGGTGAGAAAAACACGCAGTTAATTTTATAAAAGTTATTTAATTTGTTTTCTCTCTATGAAAAGGTTTTTTTTTACTTAGAAGAACTGAGGGAGTCCAATCTAAGGTCATTTAACCTGAATCCTATCATTTGCTGTAGTGCATGTCATGTGTAAAATACTGAGAGAAAATAATACCACACGAAAGCCATCAGCGGAGTAAATAATTAAGTGGTCATAGCACTGGACTTAAGTCGTCCAACCCAAAAGTTAGAACTACAGTTTATGTCTCCTTTGGACTATGGGGATAAAATCCCAAAAAGTCGTGTAATTTTCTAGCGATCTAGCCGTAGTTCTTCATTTACCGCTAATAAACCCAAAGCTAGTTGACGGACAGGATTTTAAAGTACAGTTCATGTTACAAATGCGCGCTTCTGACTGGTGCATTTGCTCATGAGTAATTGATGACTAATCGTTTACCACTGGACATACAATAATTATCGTCAAGCGTATTTTGGATCAACCAGTACAAACGCTTATTCTGTTTTTTGTTTTTGTTTGTTTGTTTTTTTTTTTTTTCAGGGAATAGCACGTCTCCAGCGACATCAGCAAATCCTAGACGAGGTAAAGTTAGCCCTGAAGCCATTTTATATACAAGGAAAGATCACTAAAGATAACTACAAGCTAATAATGAAAAAGAGCGTGGAAAAGGTTTGTGAGATGTTTGTTCTTGAAGACTATTTGCTTAAACTGAAACAGAATGAACTATTTCTGTTTCCGTATGTTAGAGTCGTAACGTCCACGAGTAGAATATTTAGAATGTGCTGGATTTGTCCTGTTTCAGTGTAAAAATAAAATTCCACGTGCCACTGAGAGACAAGATGTGCTAATTGCTAAGTCAGTCAGTGTTACAGCTATTCATCATGCATGATTAGACTAAATACAAACGGTGAAAGCCTTAATGAAAATCGTTAGACGTGTGCATGTTCATACGTTTCAGATTTGTTTCAAGGAAAACATATGTATAGTACAACCAGGAGAAAAACCGGTCGCAAAGGATTCACTCAACAATTCACATCTGACCACTAGACCGAACCAAAGCTGGGCCATATTGGTAGAAACAAATCCTCTTATCAATACGCCACGCTTGCTTCCTAAGAGTTATTTCCATTGATTCTTTTCCAACAGTAATACACAGGTTTCACTAAACGACAAACCGAAAATCGCGCTCATGAAAAGCACTGGAAGTGCTGTTATATGCCCGTCCGGCATATATCGCTTTTTCCATAATAAACTAGAGAAGAATAAGGAAATGTTATTTTATTTATTTGGAGGGATGTTAAATTTTCTTTGTATTCTTTGGCAGATTGAAGAATCCAATAGCAGTGTGGATCGTGACAGAGTTGGCCGACTTGTAAAGAAGTATGTGCAGAAGATTAAAGGCGCTGAAATTGCTATTCCGCCTTAGATTGTATCAGCTTTAGGGTTATTATTTATAAAATCACTATAACGTTTTTACGCCTACTTTCAGATAGCAGCCTTTGACACAAACTTAATGGTTAACCTTAAATATCCATTGAAAGTGTAAATTTGTTAAAGTGATATTTTAAATAAACAGCACTTTGATACTTGTCGATGTGGTATTGACCAACCTTGTTCGGTCAAAATGGCCGAATATTGAAGAAATCTTTTGCGTTCAGTCCTTAAAATCAAGGACAATATTCAACTATCACAGTCCTCAGCGAACCCACTGGGGTGAGTACAGAATTTCTCTTGCGGGACAAACGCGGGAAATCCCGACGGGCAAGACAGGCTTATTGTGCCCACTTGGTGAGCCAATCGAAGCACGATTCGCTTCAACTTCCGCATGTCTGCACGCGGAGCCGGTTGTCTGATAAAGGTACCTATCATCACTGACACGTTTGTGGGGAGGAGCGTTGCTTGATGACGCAGAATTTGGGCTGATTTTATTTGGTTCCGATGAGACATTATTTCACCTACGCTAACCGTAAAGCACGCCTCAGGCGATCCAAGTACATTCTGCTGAACTCCACTGGCTCAAACACCTTACTTATCACGAGCCCAACTCAATAGGCCCCTTGCTGAACTTGGTCACGCATTTTTATACCACTTAGCAACATCTCGCTGGATGGCAAGTCATCCAAGCGTTCACTCCGATCACAAAGCTTTTAGTCCGTTCAAGCGAAGCATTCTAAGTTTTAAGTATTCTGTTAAAAAATTAACTGAAATGACTGGACTTGAAGCCTTGAAGGACGTTTGAATTAACCTAGAAGCCTTTTGCTCAGTGCTATGCAAACATCTGACAAGCGATCAAGTTCTGCAAAGGGCTTTTCCGGGTCTTGTTATCCCGACGCAAAACTTCCCCCAGGCTAAAACAGTTGTCTGTAAAGGTATGAGAGTTAACACGTTTGCTATTATGCTCTCACTTGCCTTCGGGTAAATATTTGCTTCCGTGAAGCTGTTGGGGTCATGTGGTGAGCCACGCAAAAACGAAAATTGTGTTGTTTTAGTACATTTACAGTAACTCTGTCAGCGTCGGTACTAGCTTTAGTTTAATTTGCTTTCCAAAGGAGGTTTTTCCTTGGGTAAATGCTATCGTAGTTTCTTTTCAAGGGGAGTTTTCCAAAACTGTGACTCAGGCTTACTTGAGGTAGTATGTCACGTGAACCGATCTTGATGAAACTCTTGTATTGATTTAGCAGCGTTTGACTTCTATGCTGGTGTACTTATAAGCTTAGCGAATAATGTATGAGGTACTATATAAGTAAGTAAACTTGTAATATAAAGTTATTATTTTCTAGTGTCCTGGAGTGCAAGAGATTTGTAATGATTCAAGGAATTTGGGGCATTTGTTGTCGATCTACAGCAAGATCTCGTTTACAAAGGTCGTAAGGAGCATTTAACTTGATCCAAGCGTGAGCAGCTCCGAGATTAATTTCCTCAGTTTCCCTTCAAGTTCCGCAATTTCCCACACACGAGAACTGTAAATCACAGGTGTAAAAGATCAGATATAACCAAATTTCAGTGCACCTGTTTTTTGTACTGTTTGCAATTGGTGTCAGAGTTTGCATTATTTCCCACCGTGCCCAAAGTCGTCTACAAAGGGGTTTTTTATAGTTATTTGACCGTGTCTTCACGTTTATGAATTTTTAATTAGTGTTTGAAGCACCTCCCAGCATAACCTGAAGCACTATAGAGTGTTTTTACATGCGGTCGTAGCGGCCATATTAGTGTCCCAAAACAATGAAACACCGGTCATGCTGGTGTCGCAAACCAATCCTTTGGGAGTTGAACTCTTTTCTTATGCAAACCCTTTCTTTTGTTCCAATAAATTTCCATAGATGCTGGCCACGTGAGTGAAAACACTCTACCCTTAATTTTTTTCAAGTGGGAGTTTTGGTGGCTCATCACTAGTCTCTACTGGTTAAACTGTACCGATGTTTTAAAGTATTGCAGAGTAACATCTTCGCTTTATTACTGCCATGAAAAAATGAACTAGAACAAACTATAAGTAGATCATTTGCAATTGTGGCGGAAGTAACTGTCAATCAAATGTGACGTATCCATTATTGACTGTCCTCAAGTATAAGTTTAATGCTCCTGCACCGTAACGCTTCAGACGCTTGCTACTCGAGCTCTGACTGTAGTTAGCTAGAGCATTATCAGCACCATTAAACAAAGTGCTGCTTTCCTACCTCCACAAGCTGAAAATGGGAAAAGATGCAGACTATATATCACTATTGACCTTGGAAGAGCGTAGGTTTAGTGTAACTTACCGTCTCCGTCCATACTGTGGAAGAAAGAGATGTCGAGTGATTACTGGCGTTATTTTGATTGTGCTGCTCATTGTTATTGGCATCGTTGTGTTAGGGGTTGTATTTGGCAACAAAAATAGGTCTGCGAAGTCCAACTTGACTAAAGGTATTTATCTGTCATTTTAGATTGCAGTTGAGCTTACAGATTCATTACTTAGGGCCTCGCCCATCCAATCATCTGCTTAAAGCTGGAACAGCTACCTCAATCAAGCTAGTGAGATCGTAAAATGGTTTACATAGTTTAGCTTCTAACTAATTAACCCAAACTGTTGCAGCTTGCATGCTTTAGCTTGTCTATGTACGTGATAAATCGAATGCCAGTGCTTTATTTCGCACATGCTAGTTAAGGAGGTGGCGTGCGAAAAATGCTAGGTAAGCCCACATTTCGTTTGATTTAGAGACAAAAACACTCAGTGATAGGATAGATACTTTGATTAACGTTATAAAACAGCCGAGTACCTAGTACAGTTTCATGAAGGCCGAAGCAATTCACGGTCGATGCGTCTTTTTTAAAATTTTCATATTCATACGTATTTACCAACAGCCCTAGAAGCTTCGGATAACAAAATATGTTAATACATAGTCCGTTCTGGTTTTTGGACATAAAGTTCAAGGAGTATTCAAGAAGTATTCAAGCACTAAAAACGGAGTTTTCAAGGAGTATATTCAAAGCAAGTTTACTTTGTCTTGCACTATGTTTCGAAATGTTTTCATTGGTCAAGAGTAACTTTCAAAAAGCTCTCCCGCATATAAAATGCATTTTAAGAGACAACCACAAATAGAACATTAAATTTACTGATATATTATCAAATCTGTAATAATTCACAAACAGGGATGCACAACAATTTCATAGTTCTTGGAGGGTACAAACTGCTTGGATATTGTACATGGAAAGAGGAACTGAAGAAAACTAAACACATTAACTAGATGCAAAATCTGTCCCCGATTTTGAAATCTGCGTTCAATCCCTGAATTAGTTTGATGCATTCCTACACTATTTCCCATCAGAACAAAAATTCAGGGAGTTTTCATCATATTCAAGCACTTTCAGCAAAAATTCTTCTTTTCAAGGGCTTTTCAAGCGCCCTTGAAATCTTGATGACATTCCAGGGCTTTTCAAGGAATTCAAGGAGTAGCACGAACACTGTTAATAGTAACACTTTTTGATATGTCCACCTAAGTCACCTAAGCCTGCGTAGCGAGCGTTTCTGATCGATTTATTACTCGAAAGTTGGATCCTTCCTTCCTCTTTTGCTTTCGTTACAACTTTCTGGACGACGAACCCCTAAGAACGTCCGCGGGGGAGCCTATGGCGCGCATGGGTATTAGAAGGTTTGTTCCACTTCCTGTAAACGATATTGTGCTAGTGTTTAGTTAGAGACTTGTCCATCTTAAAATTTCTAAGGCAAATTATTTTGATCAGAAAGTTGTTCAATTAAATGAAAGGCTCGATTCACTTATTCCAAATTTAGACTAGAGAAAGTACATCTTTGAAGTAATAAGAACTGTGGTTACTGGGGGTGATGGTCTACAAAAACTAGCAAAAAACTAACACGACTATTCACATGAAACAAGAAAACTGAAGGTCATTTTCACCTCTTGAATCAGAGTATCCTCTGCCCTTCTCCTCTGACTGAAAATAGCAGCTCATAAGCTATATATCGTTCGTAACTGAAGGTAAAAAATATTATCTCAGTAAATTCTGCTGGCCTGCAGTACTTTCTTTAGAACGAAGCACACATACAAGAACCAATTATTTTGTCTTTAGAACAGAAATGGACGACATTAAACAATGGACGACGAAGAACAAATTAACATCAAAGCCATGGAATTTAGTTTCGTTGGACGGCATCAAAGCCGTGGACGACATGAACCGTGGAACCAACCGTGGACGGAAGTGGACGGCATCAAAGCCGTGGACGACATCAAAGCCGTGGACGGCATCAAAGCCGTGGACGGCATCAAAGCCGTGGACGACATCAACGCCAACAGCACCACCGATCATTTGTAACACTTCAGCGTGCCGCAACATCTCTCAAGGTTGGTGTTTGAAGTGCTTTAATTGTTAAATTATAAATTCAAATATTTATTTTAGCCCAAATTTGTCGTTTCAGAAAAAACTGAAAATACGAACTTGAAAATACCTAATTAGATACTCATGGACCCTCTCTTTACCCTGCCAGCAGAGGTACTTCGATCTTCCTAGAAAGGGCCTCTGCTCGCAGGGTACCCTCTCTTTGGCTCTCTTATTACAGTCAGGGTTGGTCCGAGAGCCTGAGCTGAGTCCTGAGCTGCACTGATGAAAATCGTAGGTTCTTATATGCGGTTCTGGTTACACAGTTCCACATGTAAGACCAAATCAAGACTGTTAGCATGATCCGGGCATGATCACGCTTAATATATTTCTACATATCGATTGTTTCATGATTTCAGATATCTCCAGACAGCTAGACAAAGCAGTGAATCCTTGTGAAGATTTCTACTCTTACACTTGCGGAGGGTTTTTCAAAAGTCATGAGCTCCGAGAAAATCAAAGCATGGAAACTGCCTTTTCTATCCTCAACGATGACAATATGAGAGTTATAAGACATACGTTACAGAATGGTACTTCTACTTACCCTCAGGTTTGAAACAGAGTTTCTTTTTTTCAATCCACTGAACCATATCAGGACCGGTGGACTGGAACGTTCATACAAGCTCAGGAATTCCTGCACTGCTAAAAAATAGACAAAATTAAATAAAATTTTATTGAAGCCTATTTTCTGCAATGTTGAAGAACAAGCTACTAGTATTATTTAAAATGGCAAAGTTAAGAGTTTTAATTTGAATAGACCTCTAAATAGTCACGCCAGAACTTACATTCGCGGCTGTCAGAAAGAAAAGGGATTTGGCCTTCGAGATATCCCCGCTCCCACTTCTATAATGGCCTTACAGGGGCTTTGTCACGAGGTAACAGTTGTTTTAGGTTAATTCAGTGCATAAGTCATTCCTTCGTGCCTTAGACTTGCCCACAAGTCAAGCTCAAAATTTTTCTAGAGCGCAAAGCGCAAACTAGAAATTCTTTATTTTCTTAGCGGCAAAGTGAGTGACGGAGAGAGCGGGAGACTACTACCCGAACCGGAAACGAGAAGTGAATGACTTTGAGAAAGTGTATTCGTGCCTTTACCCACGGCACAAAATGCTCCTATAGGGTCCTATAGGATAATGAAGAGATCAAACAAATTAAATCAGGGAGCGGTAACCATAACAATTTTTGGTGATCGATTTTTACAGGCATAGCATTAATACTTGAAAAAGTTGGCCCAATCTTTTGGTTTCAATCCATCTTCATTCTTGCCATCTGTAGCATCAGACGACCGAATGATTTTGTAGTCTGAATAACAAAACTGGGCTATAAAGAGGTTTCGTTATATCGAAGTTCCTATGTAACAACATATTTTCCCAAATAAGCGCCAGACCTTTATACAAAGTTCCTGGTGAAAACTGGAAGGGGGTCAGGGGCGCCTTATCAAAATGGGGACGAATCTTTTGACGTTCTTGATGCAGCGCACTTTTACTGCTCGCAAGTAACAAATCAAAATATAGTGGTCTAACCAAAGGTATGGATTTTTTTGCAGAGCTTGTCGATAAGGAAAACTACCCAAATTTACAACTCTTGCGTTAACACAACTGCTATTAATAACCGAGGAATAGCACCTTTGGTAAGCTTGATAGAGAAGTACGGTGGCTGGACAGTAACCGGAAAAGGACTGAACTCCTGGACAGTGCAAGAAAAAATGGGACACATTCAAAGAGATCTGAATGTGCAGACTTTGCTTTCAGTATCGGTCAGGACGGATTTCGTGGATTCCACCCGTAATATTCTTATGGTATGCAAAACAGTTAACGAGTCGGTCAGTGGCATTGCACTGATTGGTTTCTTTTAGTTTGCAGATTATATATCTTTTTAAACGGCCACTGAACCTGTGGACACTGGGAGCTTTCATACCAGGTCACTGAATAAGATACCGCAAAGCTGCCAAAAAAAAATCGCGCCAAACCGCAAACTACACAGAACTACCAAAACAACTACTGTTTTCGGAAATTTTCTTTTTGCTTACATGACCAAAAACCACACTCAATACTTAATCGGAAGCGCTCTTTAGATGTTGGTTGAAACCGAACACCCACTACTAAAATAACCGAAAACCACAAAACCCGCAAGAAGCAAAACTTATCGAACAAACGATCCCAAAAATGGCCACGTCCGTCATCTACAATTTTCACTGCACTGCATTACCCGGTAAGAAGCTCCGGAGGTAGGCAGGTAATCGACTTTATTCAACTTAATATAAGAAGCGAATCACATAACAAGCAAATCACATAAGACAGCTGTCTTTTAACTGACGAACCTGTGGTCAGGAACGAGAATCGGACCACACCGTCAGCGTAGGTCTCTTTTTTAACAGCACATGCTCAGTAAGGGTGGTTGTTACAATACTTTATAAATCAGATTTTATCGAGCTTTTATGGTATGCGAATTTAAAATATCGGCTAACATTTTGGTGGTTCTTTCAAATCTATTTACTAGATTAGCCCCTCAGTGCTAGGAATGAGTGCGAGCTACTATAACAAATACACAGTGGATTCTGAGATATTAAAGGTTGGTATGAGAAACATTCACTTCAGAAAAAAATCTTGCTGTCAGTTTGCGAAACTACTCATCTGTACATCGTACGATCTTCATTAAGAAGGAAGACAACTGATGGACTACGTCCACTAAAGACTTAATTTATTGAAGTACAAATCAGTTTACATTTCATCAGTGTCGTTACAAATGCAGTAAATAAAGCTTCTTGGTTGAAGATCATTGATATTTATAATATCTAACTACCTCTTTTGCACAAAAAACATCATAGCCTATGTGAAAAAATGCGCATGAGATAAGGCAGTCTCCAGCGTGCAGACTCATTGTGACTCTCTTCCATAATAGTATTTCCCAGAAGAAGAATCCAGCTTTTTTTTGAAATAAAAAGAGGCGGTTTTTGTAGTTAATAAAAGCTGAATGAAGCCTCACAAGGTCAGTTCGGAACAAGCACTAGTTAAAATACTTGAGCGAGAGATCAGCTGCCTTTAGGACCAATTTGCCTTTCCCAAGGTGGTTCGAAAACATGGAATCAGCCCACTTGTGTATTATATCGCACATGTGAAATGAAACAATGAGTAGAGATCTCTATATTAAAACTTTATTAGTGAATATTTTGATATTCATTTATTAGTTGAGAGGGAGACTATTTAAAAATTAACTCTTCTGTTTGATGATTTATCAATCCAGCCGATTTATACTGGGATTCACTAAGGTCCCGCGGGGTACCCCCTATTATGGCCTATACGTTGAGGCTCCGCCCGAAAGGGTTACCTTTTTCAGGCTTCAGGTATATGAACACGAAAGCTTCGGCTACTTTGGTCACTGAGCACAAATCAACAAACTTGTATATATTTTTCATTATTTGTTAACCTACTGATTCTGTAAGCCATCTTATACTGTATCAACTTGAATAGTGCGAAATAAACTTGAACCTTGAACCTTAAAAGGGTAGGGATTTCACTAGTTTAAGTACGTAAAAGGATATGGAAATCTGTCATTTGGATCCGCTGTAAAAGGACACAAAAAGGGCTAACAGATGAATTTTATGGCTTTAAAAAGTCGAGAAAACGTTCTGGTCTTGTGATTGATTCCTATTTAATAGCCAATAGAAAGAATACGAAAGGGGTAGTTTTTCTGTCAAAAACGGTGTACAAAATTGTAAAAAAGAAAATGTTGAGGGGAACCTCAGTCCCCGGGGACAGAGGTTCACGAGTGACTCCAATTCTACCCATTAATTTCTCCAAACGTTAACGCATAATAGTAACTGAATTTTACTTTTTTTCTTTAACTTAAGATTCAACGCGCGTACAAAAAGTACATGAAAACCATTGCAGGTTTACTTGGAGGAGGATCTGATGCAAAGCAGAAGATGATGCGTATATATAACTTCGAAAGAGACATTGCCAATGTAAGTTATCTTTCGGATATCATAAAATATTGAAGGAGGAACGACTCTTAAACTATTGTTGCCCTTGTGCAAAAATCTAACTGTCCGAGCCGTTCATCGGTGAGATGCTTAAATTGTGTGCAATGGACTGAACCTTCCACAGTCTTTTCAACTTTTGACGTGAAACATTTTGTGACGTTTCGGAATTATATCTTTGCTCGCTTCAGACCCAAGACGTTCAAGCTTTGCAACTTTACTAATTTTTTTTAAGCGATAGCATCCAGCTGAGTTCATAGCTGGTTGAAATCAAAACTTGAAAATACAATGGCAATGTCTATACCGTGCATGCTCCCTTCATGGTACGCTGCGAACCCTTCATTCCTGTTTCGGAATAAAGCATTAGACATTGCAGCATCGACTGATTTAATAGAATACACCTGCTAATCCGTGAATGTCCTATCTACTATACAATGACCCTCTTTATCTTCTCCAGTTGGCCACTGGCAAAGCATTCTCATATGACATGGTAGAATCCCTTGAGCAGTACTATCATTCGAGACGATCCTTGGGCTCATCATTGGACAAGACCGTACGTCAATTTTGCTCGGACTCAACTTTCGAAGTACGTACGTAAATTAATATGGAGACTCCCAGGAGACTCAGGATACTTTTCAGTATTTTTTTAGGAATACTTGTTCCGAAATTCCAAGAACCTCTATAGCTTTTATGCTTTGTTTTCCCAATACAGGTCATGTGATAGTACTCTAAGGAACTGTTTCTTTCAAATTTCGTCTTATTCACGTGCTTATCTACGCATAATTTGGTGATAAATTCAAACTTTCTAGGTTAGGAATTCTGCTCTAACGATTTCTTTGAAACTTATTTGGCATAGTTATTACATCAATAAAAGCCGGTACCAGAAATTTCAGGAAAAAATATATGGAAATTTTTTTTACAAAAACGCAATTTTATTTGAACGTAGAAAATATAGTATTATTACCAGTATTATACTACTACATGATAAATTTCTGCAATTTGATTGGCTTAGAGCAGTGTTATTTCAGCTTAATTTGAAATACCTACATGTGAAAATTACAAATCTTTTGCGGGTAGTAGTATAAACAAATTAAAGCATGATTTGAACGTGATATTTGGCATAAATACCACCCGTGATATTTCAAAATTGTCTCAAATTTGACTCGCCTAACGGCTCGTGAAATTACCGCGTATAACAATTTCGAAATATCACTAGTGGTATTTATGCCAAATATCACTACAAATCATGCTATTACCTATGCAAATAGGAATGTTTCATATTACTGGTGAATAATATCTGAAGGTTTTCCAAAGTATCGTAGCCATCGCGTTAGAAACAAAAAAGCTATGACAAAAAGTTCGTCATAGCTCGAACTTGCAGATTCAAAATGGTGAATAACAATCTTCTGTTTTCTACTTTGCTGGCACTTATTTCCAGTCATGTTGCAGGCAATGAAATCAATATTTTCGGTTTTGACTACAACAACACGCCATTTTAGAAGTAGGCTAAATCCTATGCAGATTGTGGAATCGTTTGGTTCGAAACGAAGGCGCGCAAAAGGGCTTCGATCTCAAACTCGTGCAAGACGATTTTGGGTTTGGCAGGGCTTACAAGTGCCTGATGGGACAATTAACATACAGGCAAGCCTGGCCATTGAAGAAAACTGAAAACAAAACAAGTAGTTTAATAGGAAATGTATTCCTAACGATGGGTGAATCCAAACCGGAACAACCTCACCGCGTCGGAATTTGTGTGGGTTGGAAATATTGGTAAGCGATTTCAGTTTACCTGGATTACTGGATTGGTGTGGACCGGGCCTTAATTGCAAGCGCAATCGTCTACAAGAATTCGCAGATGCGTCGGATCCAAAAAAAAACACTACCAGATAGCAGTTCAAAAAAGATAGGCTTCGATGAGTCCCGGGCGAGAGAGTGGATTCACTGGTTTCATGTGGATGAAAGGCCGATTTGTGTAAAACAATATGCAGTTTCAAACATTTCCAGATTCATGTGGACAGGGGGGTTACTGCGGAACAACTTCTCCCCAAGGGTTTTGCCTTTCTTTTTCTCATCAATCCAGATTTTTTTTACGGCATTAATTTCACTCTTGGTACTAAATTTTCAACTAATACTATTTTTTTCCATCCGCAGTTAAGTTTTATCCTGGGCTTCTTAAACACTGCGTTTTCGAACCAGGGAATTACTTTCAACTCTTGGGAAAGCGTTTTTTACGGGTCTTCATCTATCTTCTCCGACATTGCTTTGACCTATCAGACTACGTAAGTATAAATGCTGGTGGTACTTGTTTATCACTACTTTATTTAATTAACAGATAGATAAATACGAGTAGCGTTTTATGAATAGCACTGTCGGAGTCGTGTCTACGGAGTCAAATGTTTCCGTCAGTGTTAAACTTTAAAGTGAAGATATGATCGTCGCAGTGGTAATTGCAATTTAAGCAATTGCAAATTAATCCGAACTTCAACGGGATTCGAACCCATGAGCTATGAAGACCCATCCATTGGGAACAGGCTAATTTGTTGAGTTTACGTGTAAAACATTTTTGCGTATTTCTGGAATTCGTTTCTATACAATAAACATCCGTGCGCACTGCCCTTCTCGACGATGTTCCGATTTATTGTGACGAATTTTCCCCTTCTCTAACCAATAAGTGCGCTGTTTTAAACTCGAAGAAGAGAGGGTCTTGTCGGATTACACCTTTAACTAAAAAGGCGCCAATAAAGAGATCAGTAATTAGTGATAACAACAAAAACATAAACAAGATACGATATCATAATAGACAGCCCAAAGTCAATGACGAGTGTTTGCCTGCCTACAAAATTGAAAAATACGATACTTGAAAGTTTATACACAACCAGAGCTGGGTTGCATAAGGAAACCTTAACATTGCGACTACTCAGACGTTTTGTTCCAAAACAATAGATTAATATTCCTGAATAATGCTCAATAGCTCTCGAAGAAGAACGTTTTATGTAACCAGTTCCCTACATGTCTAACGCGCAGCCATTCATGGTGATATTTGCTTTAATTAGATCCCAAGACATTATCAAGGACTACATAATGTGGCGAGTTGTTTCCCGGTACGTTTCGTCAATGCCTGATGTATTTGTTCAGGCTGAGCTTGAGTTTGTCAAGACTGTGGCTGGGGCGCGAGAATATCAAAGATGGTCTGTTTGTATTGAGCAAATGATGACACCAATGGACATGACTCTGGGGAGGATGTATGTTGATGCACATTTTGACGAAGCAACTAAAACAACGGTAAAGTGACTCCTTTGATTTAACGAGTTTTGAGTGTAAAGCAGCCGTATTTTGGGGCTGGTCATAGGAAGATTTGGAAACAGAGTGTGAGACTGGGCAGAGACGGACGTGTGAGGAAACGCACGAAAATTTTGTAGCGGTTCTCGGTCCATGCGTACGGCGATTAGGAGAGAAGGTGTTTCTATACCATACCGAATATAGTTTTAAGTAAAGTCGACATTTAGCCATAACAACAGTAAACAAAAATCTTTGAAATCAGTTAAAGACGAATTTCGCGACACCTACACCTGCTATATTTGAGTTTTTTAGTTTTCCCACGTGTTAGGTGGAAGTACAAGTCTTTGAAACAGGAAAATAAATGATAAAGAAGCTATGAATTATTGGTCGAAACGGTGCAAAATAAAAAGTAGATCGTGACGAACTGAAGATTACTTGACCACGGGACACTGGTATCATGCACTTGATTTGAGTTTATCTATTGCACTACATGTCGATTAACGTTGTTTTAGTATTGTTTCTTTTATTTCAGTCGCTGATCAGGTGTATGTGTGTGTAGTTGCTTTGACACTTGCTCCTGTTAGCATCTGATTTTGTAAAAAATTCTCTCTTTTTGTTTTAGGTTCAGGAAATGACGACTCTTATCCGCAAAGCCTTTATCAGTAACCTCGATTCAGCGGATTGGATGGATAATAGAACAAAAAAGGCTGCCAAAGAAAAGGTGGGGCTCAATATGTATACACAGAAGAAATTTGCCTGAATTTCAGTGTCTCCGAAACACTTTGATTTACACCTAAGGCTCCTTGAAACCTCATTTTAAAATTTTCCGAGTCTGCTCCATAATCTATTAGATACTTCTGCTCTAAGTGATCATACATTTTTATCTTGTTGCCAAAGGTGCTATTTCTAACAAATTTTAAAAATGAAAGCTTGGCTTGAACAGACGACATTTAACATTGATAATTCAAAGGCCATTATGTCACGCATTGGGTTTGGTTGGGGGGCAAAAAGAAAAACATTCTGATTATTCCCCAAAGAGGAAAGCAAAAAGCTCTGTTTTTCCACCAAGGACCTGATAGGAGAGCAAACTTGTTTTCCTATTCACCAGTCTCCCTCGCTCCCACTTCTCAAATAACCTCTTGACAGTCTAAAGGCGCTACTGTTGATCCTCTAGCAAGCTAGGCTGAGATTTGTCACTAATTATTAATACAGTGACATACTCCTGAAGAAGATTTGGTCGGCTTTATCTTTTAGAGACGATTATCAAAAAAACAGATGAAATCACACAGGCTAATGGTTCTCTAAGTTACATTGTACACATCACAAAATAAATTCTATAACTCCAATTGGTTCAGCTATTGTTTGTTAATCAGTTGTAAAGTTCAGGGTCGCCAACTTTTGAGATCTGGACCCTGACCAGGCAGTCTTTCGGCACTAACACCTATTATTAAAACCTGAATCATTGGATCTAGAGCTCTGATTGGCTTAGCCATCTTGGTATATGAGCCATTATACCATGCTCTTCAAATATGACAACTGTACGCGTCTGCTCAAAATGAAAAACACGCTGAAAATCGGTTGTTTTTACATATTAAGGCGAGAAGAATTCTCGATATTTTGTGGGCGTTTATAATAAAACAATTATTCCACTCGCGCTTGTTGGAAATGAGATGATTGTAGCCAACTCTTATCCAACGCGCACTCGTGGAATAATTGTTAAATAACGGCACTAACACCTTATAAAATATAATCATTGCAGGCAAATGCTATAAAGGAGGATGTTGGATACCCACTATACATCAAAAACGACACAAAACTTGACGAACATTACTCCATGGTAATATAAACTCTTCCATTATTAAGGTTTTTCATAATTTAGCCGAATCACGTTCCCTCAACATTTTTTGTTGCCTGTTTGTAAACAATAGAGAGCTTTAGATTCTGAAACAAGGACGACTACAAGTACGAGATTTTCTCAATACTGAGTATTGCTCACGCGTGAACCAAAGTTATTTTGGCGGGAAAACGTGATAGTCGTCGTCATTCTACCACGCGTTTTAGCGCTGGAGATAACCTGAGATCACGCTCTATTTTCGGATCATTCACGAAAACATGCAGGGACGCGAGGAATAAGCGCTTTCAACTTCCGTTGAATTCAACAGCCAATCAGATCCTGAGGTATTGTTCCAACAGCCACTCAGCGTTACGGCCAAAATCTGACCGCAGTGAGCACAAACGTGATAGAGTTTGTATCAGGCGCAATTTAAGCAGTAGCCGTTAGAGAGAATGTATGAGAACCGCTAAAATTGGGCCTGATCTCAGGTTACGCTGGAGAATGTCGTAGTGCCGGGAACAAGTTATCAAATGTAAAGTGTCTTATCATTCTGCTATCGGAAGAGGGCTTATTAACCTCCTTCAGTGTAAATAACAGTACTCTTGGGTTAAAACCTTTCTGAGTACTAACTTTCTTAGTGAAAAAAAGTAAATCTAAGCTTTCCGGAGTGTCCTTTTTTTAGAACACGCACAAAAACTTTAAGTTAAATCTCGTACTCGTACTCGTTATGGTCCTCAAATCTAAAGCTCTCTATTGGCTAGGTAGTGGTGTCTTTTCCTTTCGGTCATGTGACACGGAGTGCAAAGAGAAGTCGCGATTTAGTGGCATTGATTAACCTTAATATCAGACTTTATTGGGTAGAAAGGAAACATTGTCTTTTTCAAGTCTCTTCTTCCTTAACCGGCCCTAAGAAAGCAGGGGCGTAACCAGCAAGCAGTGCAACATAGGGCTGCTTGATTTTGCGCCTTTTATCTCAGTCGCCCCTTTAATTTTCAAGTTTTTTAACCTACACGAGCAACAGAAACTGGTCCTCCTATCACGTGGCTAATCTCTGCAGAATCTAACAATTACAAAGAACACTAGGAACCCTCCCTTCATGATTACTTATTGTCTTGTCTGGTTTTATACGATTATTTTCTTTCCTTTTGTTTTACAAAATCACCAGCTGACAGTCGATGACAATTATTTTGAAAACACAGTAGCAATGAACAAGATGCTAGTCCAAAAAAACTTTGGAATGCTTCGTCACCCAGTCAACAATGATTTGTAAGTAAAATGTTGCGGCTTGTCAACCTATTTCAGCGAAAGAGCGCTTAAGTTTGATTGAGGATGTGTTTGATTTAATACTCCAGATCTAGAGTTAATCTATATCCGTAAAATAGGACCTTGGGGAGAAACACCCATACAAGTCGTTCAGCTATCTTTCAAATGTTGTTTCATATTAGTCAGGCATCATATTCCTAAACATTCTGACCAAGGCAGTTCATTCACAACAATAAAATTAATTGCTTTCCTCAAAGAAGCCACTTCTCTATTTAACTGTAACTAAAACACTACGAATGATAATAACCTAAACAAAATGAAGCCATAAAAGTCCAAATAGCCTGGTAAGAATTTTAGATTCTAAATCAACTACCAACAGTCAAAATCACATACCACTCGCTCATACATATATTTTCATTCTGATTTTAAAAGAAAAATTATATATATATGTTCTTCTAGGTGGGGAATGGGCCCTGCACAAATCAACGGATATTATAATCCACAGCAAAATCGGATAGGTATGTGGGAGTTTCCAGTCCGGGCATTTTATAGCTGATACCACTTTCCGAGATCGTTTAAAATAAAAATGTCTAATATGATTTACTTAATTAGACTCTATCTTATTATAATGAAAACAAAAACCAAAAACATTAACAAACAAAAAAAAGAAGAGAAACGTTTTAACTAGAGGCCAGTGTACAATATCAGTTAGCATTGCTCTACTTAGCATTGCTCTACAGAATGATCCGATCTAGAACTTGAAGGGTCGTGAGTTCAAGTCTCAATTGGAGCTCAGAATTTACTGCAGACTATTGCGAGCTTTCTGGTATTTAAGGGGCAGTCTGGTCAAAAGCATTGTTTTTGGTTGATTTCCACCCTTTTTCTTAAATATCTATTTAAGATTTCATTCAATCAAAAAATTACTCAGTTCAGTTGGAGTCCTTTTAATTCAATAATATTTTGGATTTGTGAGACAAATACCAGATAGTTCAACACCAGAACAAGGTGCCTAATTGGTTTATGTGTATGCTTTTTCTAACCTAATTTATTTCCTTCCAAAATCAACATCATTTCCCGCCCAAAAAACAACTGTAGTGCCCCCTTAATTTCTCCTTCTTCCAAAGTAGAATACAGCATAGGAGAATGATATTTACACACACGACCATAAGTCTTGTAACTATAGTTGAGACGGACCAATCGGCAATGGTATCTCATTGCCGTCTGTCCTGTTTAATTTTTGTTGCTTTTTTTAAAGTATTTTTGGCAGGAATCCTGCAATCACCTTTTTACAAGAAAAATACCCCAAAGTAAGTGACATGAAGTGAATAACCTGTGAACGCTCAACGAGTCGACATTTTGAGACTGTAAAACTGTTTTTAAATTACAGAGGGGAGATAAATGACTCCAGAGAGATATTTCTGAGTATTATTTTGATTAAAAAAATGCAAAAAAGGTAACCACGATGCTGGGAAACCTAGTTCAAATGGTCGTTCCACACACGCCCTTTCTGACTGAGACCCTAAAATGTGGACTACTCGTAGTCTATCACGGAGAGAACGGCGTCTTTTTAACACGTGATCCACGGATTCTCTTCTTGGCGTTGGCTTAGTGTTTGCTTAGTCTCGAATACTAAACGTTTTGGATCATTTTTTCAACTTGGCCGGGTTAATTATTTCCGTAAATCTCAGTATATGTCCACTCTGAAGGAAAAGTGTCCATTCTTGAGGAGATAGGGACAGTATGTCCATTAGGCACATGTCATCGTTCACCAAATCAAACGTCAGGGTTCAGGACCAAGAAAGAATAAATTCAGACGAATAAATTTGATGGATTCAAACCATATATAACGAAGTGTAAGGGACTGGGAAATTTTGTTTGTGAGACCGAGGGGGTACGTCACACCGGGATACTGTTCCGTACATGACTGCAAATATGCTGAAGAAAATTGCTCGTCAGTTTACACTGGGGTGGAGTTATTCGTTACGTCCGGGGTTTTAGGTGTTCGCCATCATATGTTTTATTACTGTTATGAAACAAATTATACCGTTTTCTTTCCAGGTATCTCAATTATGGTTCACTAGCAACGGTCATTGGACATGAAATTACCCACGGATTCGACAATAGAGGTATTTATATTTCTAGATGCTAGAGGCATAAAAGTGCACGACACTATATATAATACATCAAACTTTATGAACATGACACGTTACGAATTGCTAGGGAGATCACTTTTTTTTTCACTTTTTGTGGAAAAAGAAGGCAACAGCAGATCACACTGTTTTATATTTCATATAGTCAATTGTGAAACATAGTTATGTCCTTCTATTTTCTTTAAGTTCGGACATGGGAAAATTGTTTTCATTCGTTTTCAACAATAACATCAACCATTTTCACTGCCTACTTCTAAGTTTCTTGGTAAAATTTCGCGTGCATCTCAGCATGACAGGGGAAAAATGCGCCCTCGTTGCACCTTTGCCATTATCCATGCTGTACTCTTGTAGAACACAGATTCTCGACCAATGAGCCTGCAAGAATTTCTACTCTAATTGTTAAATATCAAGCTATTCCGATAGTTCATATCTCTGTCTTTTTTAGGTCGTCTTTTTGATAGAAACGGGAATGTTAAGGATTGGTGGTCTTACTATTCGAGTTCAAACTTCAAATACAGGAGCAAGTGTCTTGTTAATCAGTACGGCGACTACGAAGTGTTTGGAAAATACGTAAGTAGAGCAATAAATTTAAGGGCAAGGATTTTCCAATTGAAGGCTCTTGTGTCATTAAAATATTTAAACTAATCCCAATAAACCATAGTAATAAAGCTAAAAAAATACAACTTTTGGCTGAGATGCAAAAGTACAAGATAAGCAGGTGGTTAGAATTGTCGAGGTATCGTACTTTCTCCCAATGTTAAACACTCCCTGCACCCCTTACCCCCTCGCTACCATCACCATCATTTCAGGGTATTGAAAGCCCCTTACGTTTGCACTCATCTCTGTTTTCCCTGTAAATGCTATTAAACTTGTGATAAAAATCTCTACTAGAAATGCAAGTTCTCTTCTGGATAGGTTGTTCTCACAGGCCAAAAATGTGTTGCCTCGTTGAAAAGACAACCCGGGGAAGAGGTCAAAAAATACGTCGCCGGTTACCGGGTTGCAGAGGGGGGCAGAATGGTAACAGCTTGAATGAAATGTACTGTCTTACAATTATAGGGTTCCAAACAGTTAAAAGTATCAACACCTTTATAATAATTTCGTATTGTACTTATTACATTATTGATTATTTTTCATGCAGATAGATGGTCAACAGACGTTGGGTGAAAACATTGCTGACAACGGAGGGATAAAACTAGCATACGAAGTAAGTTGGCATATGAAAAAAGATGATCATTAGTTGATACTGTTTCTATTTTGCATTCGCATCTTCTTTGAGTAGCTTATCATCAGTCACTAATTTAACTGTTCATGTTATTATGACTATACTGATTTACTAGACCTTATTAGTAGCAACGGTGTTGCTTTGCCGTTTTTTGTAAAATCATTCTTAGCGACTCACTGTGTCATGATTCTCTGCTATTTTACTGCATTGTGTTACACTTGCAATGCATTACATCGGTTGTTATGGTGTGGAAAAATATGTGGAAATTTGCTTTTTAGGATAGCGAGTATTAGCAGGAGATATTCTTGCAGGTTGACGTGGGAGTATCCAGGTCTTTCTTATGTTTGAACAATCACCGGAGAAATTATTCCAAGGGCCGATTACCCGATTAGGGTCAGTCATTCCAAGGGCTTTTCTGAGAGTTAGAGGCTCCGGTAGCCTGCGAGCAAGCTCTCCGGGCGCTTTGGCGGCGGAGCGGGAAAAGGAAGAAGAGCTTGCAACTGAGTCTCTGGAATTTGAATTCCACCTCCAACTCCCCTGTGGTTCCCCGTCGACTGAGCTGCCAGATTTCCGCCAATCAGCGCGAAGGGTAAACGAGCGCGAAACAACAGCAGCCAAGAAAAACACCAGCCAAGGGTAATGACGTCATTACTAATGCCATCTCCACCAATCAGCATGTCGCATCGACTTTTTAGATGCAGATATTCAAATTCCAGAGACGTAGTTGCAAGCTTTCCCTCTTTATTTCGCCATTTCGCCCCGCCAGAGCGCCCGGAGAGCTTGCTCGCAGGTCAAGGCTCCCGAAAACCGGCTCCATCTAATCATTAATATTAGTCTTGATTTTCCTTGTACTTCAGGCATACCAGTCCTGGGTAAGGGCCAATGGAAGGGAGAATCCTTTACCTGATCTTTCAATGAGCGTGGATCAACTTTTCTTTATCGGATTTGCAATGGTATGTTTTAACACCCCCGCGTTCTTTCCAACGTCGCAAAAGTGAAGGGGCTGGGGAAGTTTCTGCTTCAGCGTGTAAATTTTTTTTTTTTTTTTCATGTGTGCAGGTTCATGTTTTCCTGCCTGTTTCGCTTTATGCATTTTCTTTTCACGTACAATTTTTCATGTAAATAATTTCTTTTTTTCCCCAACGCCTCCCCACGCCCCCTTCACTCCTCTAATTGTCCTTCCGTAAAGCTCCCTGGTGAGTCCATGCATTCTCACGCGGAATTTTTATCAAATTGAATCCTGAAATAACGCTACCACTACTTGTTTGTTCAAACCATAGGCTTGTACATCTTGGTAAGGGATTTTAGGAAGGCCTATAAACAGAGGGGCTTATATCCGAGGGGGACTTACAACCAGAACAAAAAAGAGCTTCGAAACAAGCGATAGCAGTGCTGATCAAAAGACATTTGTAATTTACTGATTTTTAATTAAGATTCAATGCGTCTTAATAAATTGAATTCATATCAGTATATTTTTAATAAGAGTGGGGTTTATACCCAGATGGGGCCCAAAATCGGATGTATTTTTTGTTTACTGGTAGATGGGGGATGATTCAAGGTACCTTCTTGACTTTCTCAAAGTCCTTCACTTCTCATTTCCGGTTCTGGTAGTTGGCCTCCGCACGAAGGAGCTCTCGCTCTCTAGCTCACTTTTGCCTCAGAAAACGTTAAAAAATCTACCGCTAGCGCTTCGCACTCGTGAAAATAATTGAGCTCGACTTGTAGGCAAGTCTAGGTACTTTCTTGCCCCGAGGGATGTTGAAATTTCGAATTGATCGGCGCATAATCCGTTTGATGACATGCTGTCCGTCGAGAGCGAAGACGAATTTTAAAATACCCATATCATGACCTTACGGTATATTTGCTTTCCTTCCGACAACGTTTGTTGAAATAGCTGTTTAATTTCTCGGCGTTATGGCACTTACAACATTATTTCATGAGAGAAAGGTTGTTGCGTGCCGGTATGTGGAGTTAAGTGTAGGTGTTTTCAATGCTACTACTGATCAAGTCTGATTTCTACAGCAAAACATTTTTGTATACCTTAAAATCGTAGTATTTCTCATGGCTAATCCATACAATAAAAATCCACTTCATAATGGACCTCGTTCGAGATAAGAAATGATCTTTTGCATAGGTATTAACCAAATATCTGATATTTTCTCCAAACAGAACGGGGACTAGGAAAGAAGCTAAAACACGAGCAAAGCCGATTCTCAACCGGCGAACGCGCTATAAAAGTTTCGACCAGCGCAACAGTTAGATTATATTAAACTGAGCCAGCTATGAGTAACTATCATCTTAAGTATAGTATTGAAAGTTTTATAACCAGCAAAAAGAGTAAATAACGTGGTTCTTTACCTTTTATCCTGTTAATGAACTGTCAGTTTCATCCGTTGTGGTCAAAGCAAAATATTTTGCAGGGTCTCTCGTTGCACTGTTTCGTAAAGCTTTAGCTTTCCAACGTTACCCTAGTCCAGAAGATACAATTATCAAACACTTAATTTTTGAACTTGTCGAAATTAAAACGTTCTGTAGAGCAAAAATATTTCTGGAGAAGTTGGAAATTGCGACTTTTCTTTTAGAATGCAAATGAAGAAACAACTTCAGCAGCCGTAAATATTCAAAAATTTCCCGCGCGGGAGCAGGCGGGAAGCATGACCACTGACGTTACGTGTAAATGGTGACGTCAGAAGTTTTCAATTTTGCCGCTCATTTTTTACAAAGAAAAAAGGGAAGATGTGATTTGAGGGGAGAAATGCCAAAACATATGGCCTCAAAGGGGAACAGGCTTAAAAATAAACCTTCCTTTACACAATAATAATGTAATTGACCAGAAATGTATTAAACAAAACCCTTAAACGTTATACGAAATGACCATAAATGTAATAAAACCCTCCAATGCAATGAGAACCGTCTTTGCTCGAAAGAGCGTCCCCTTTAAATTTGACCCAAATATGGGCTACAGAAAAGTTAAATCTTCCCGAGGATGTATAGCCTCGTTCCTCCCACATTATTGTGTACCCAACAGCAACCCTCTCTTGGTTTAACCTTTTTTGAGGGGAGAGGAGGAGGGGGTAATCACCACGACCGGGCAACAAAAACCAAAAATAAATAATAAAACAGAAGTAAAGAGGGGGTTATGACATATTTCAGGAAAGTAAAGGAGCTTATTATATATTACAGGAACTGCCCATCAATACTTAATTAAAGTGGGTTTATGATATTTTAAAGGAGTTATCCATCAATAATTTAATCGTACAGTTCGCACCTTAGTTGATAAAACTTCACCAATTTATTCTGCGTGCACCCTCTTCCGGCAAATCGAGATTTTATGTGGTATTGTAATTGTATATTTCAACTGTAAGTACATTGCTTATCACGATACTGACGCGCGTCCTGCACTCGAGGACCACACGCGCTTAGCTTAGTCCATTGAGAACGCAATGCTTTTCAGAGTTTCACCAACAAACCCACTGAATCAGTGAAAATGCCTGAAGTCTCTGTAAAATAGTTTCAGAGAGTAGCCTGAGTATATGTAGAAGTGAAAGCAAAATCAAACTCGTTTATTACTATGTATGAAAATATGTTCGCCTTGACGTCCAACATATGTTTTTTCATGTTATTTTAGACACAGTGTAGTGTTTACAAGAAGAAGGCGGCTCTCTACCAATTGAAGAGGGATGTTCACTCGTATCCTAAATACAGGTTAATATTCTAGACATTCTATACTTATTATTTAGACGCCATAGCTCTTTTTCGAATACGCGCCTGGAAAGTTTACAAAAACTAGTTTGTTAGTGCCCTTTTGATCAGACATTATATACGTGAAATGATGTGATCAGCAGTAATTTAGTATTATAAATAAGAAACATCGGAATTAACACGTCACGAGACATTTAGGGCAAAAACGGAGTACGCAGGCCACCCCTATAATGCGCTTTGTTGATATGTGTGAAGGTTATACTGCAAAACAGTCGGTTTTTTCCTCAAAATCAGTACAGAAATCGGTAAACCGTGGCGTAAGAAATCTTAAGCGCGCGAAGCGTGCGAGCCTCACACTCTCCCCAATCTCGCTCTCCGTTTTGAGCCTCGTTCCAGACCTTCCGTTTGACTGCTCTCGTGTACTTAAATATGTAAAAATAGGGACTGTGAAGGTCGACAAGTAAAACGGTATGAAATGCACTCTTAGCGCTGATTTATATTGATGTTTCAAATTGCTGCAATAGTTTGTTTACAACAACAAAGAAAACCCATCAAGCATCAATTGTAACTATTTATAAAATAACAGTGTCCTTTTGTTCATTCCAGAGTCATTGGCTCGCTGTCCAACTTCAAGAAATTTGCGAAGGCTTTCAATTGCCCGTCTGGAAGCGAAATGAACCCAGTGAATAAGTGCTCTGTATGGTGATGATCCACTTTCGATTTACACTACATGGACATCTAAGGGAAAAATACATGCAGCTGTCCTTGGGCCCACAGAACTGTTCGTAATACTGAGATATCCGTATTCATAGAGGTGTTCGTTATCATAGTAGTTGAGAGATTTCAATTGCAGGTGTTATAGTCACAGATATACCACCCAAGAAATAGGCAGTGATGACGCTTGTTTTCAATATGTAGTGACACACATTTCATTGTTAAATAACTGCAGATAAGCAACAAAGTACCTTTAGAGGGTGAACGATAAGACCGACACACAGATCAGTTATCTTTCACTCTGAAGATGACTACCGCACAGGATCTCGAAAGTCACTGTCAACAACAGTCACTGTCAACAGCAACAGTCCTATTCAGAGCTACGTTAACCCGGACGATCACAAGCAACCTCCTTATGAAAAATAACAGACTGATGCGCCCTAAATCAAAGTTATCCGTTAAAACCGGAGAAAAAGACTTGTCAAGCAGATACTGATGAACTTAACGGAATACGCGTGTCCTATTGAACACTCTTCACTGGAATTTCGTAGCCTACAGTTGATGTAATTCGTTAATAAAGCCTAGATTAAAGTGTGGTCCTCCGTATCTAGTAGTGGAATGATAAAATTTCTTTTTATATGTTGATAACTCTAGTTTCGCGTAACAATCTTACAATGGAAACAAAAAGCCTGCCTAACCTTGCCTGGTCTATGATTACTTAAAAGCGCACAAATTTCGAAAGAGCTATTTTTCTGAACAAACCGATTTGCAACACAAAGTTTATTCTTGAATTTTCCAAGGCGTAATGGCCCACTAGGCCCAAAGGGCCATTTTCAGTGTTCTTTAGTACGTTAGAAGTAGGGATTGTAAGACGATTAGTATCCATTGAGCCTACAGGACTTTCCGTAATACTGAAATCCCTGACTTACACAGGTGTTCTCATTTGCCTCCGGGTGAAAAATCACACTGACAGCTGGGGTAGTAGCCAAACCATAGAAGAAATAGGTGAAAAAAAATATTCAAGTAAGTTCATTGAATTTACAGTTCATCTCAGAGCCCATGTGAAATTACAGTGTTTTTTCTGTCCTCCGTAAACTAAACATCGTACGGAAAAAAGATTTCATTTTATAAACACTTTTTAAATTTTCTATAATTCGTTTTAGAAATGATGTAGGACGCCATGAAACAGATCTATATTTTTTGATCCTTTGTTTTGTAGCTTTTTTGTAGTATTTTTAACATGCATAGACGTTGTCACGGTTTTCGACGCCATCTTGACGAGTTGGCAAACGTGTGAGAAATTACAGTGTTTGTATCAGAATCTAATGTCAAATAACTTCCGTAAAACGGCTGTTCTGAAAAAATATGAATCGTAAACTAAAGGTACAAAGCAAAGAATTGTACTAAAAAAATTGGGGGCGTACCTGTGCTTAAATTTCTCCAGAGGCTTGCTTTAGATTTTCCAGATATTTGTCTGTAATTTTTCCTGGGATTTTCTTACAGACAAATGTATAGAAAATTTTAAAAAGTTGTTCTAGGTCTTCTAGTGGAAGTAACGCCCTCAATTTTTTCAGTAGAATCCTTAGGAGTAAAGCTTTAGTTTAAAATTCAAATTTGGTCAACTCCACCTGGTCATGAAGAATTAGCTGGAGGATTTGAGCTAATCAGAAACGGATAAATATTTTAAATGATATATATGATAAAGTGTTAGTATTTTGCGCCTACAGTCAGTCTACAAAACATAAAAAAACCGAGGGCGTATTAGCAATGAATTATGTAACAGCCTTAGTTTTACAATATTTAATAAAGTGAAGTGAGGTGAGGCCTGACGGGCTTCTTTGTTTTACGTACTTGTTAGCTTTCAGTTCCACTCTCCGCACACAAAGTTGAATAGCATGAATACCAGTCCCCGCTCTGATCTAGTGACTGGGTCCTTGTACACTTGAGGAATACCAAAAGTTCTCTTCATTTAATTATTGAATTGTATCGTTGTTTGAAAGTATTTCAGGGTAAAATCTTTTCCTAGATACTACCATGTCAAGTGAACTTGAACGAGGTGCATTATTTGCAAGTGCCACGAGGATGTAAATGTCAATCAAATGTGACGTATTTACTATCCAGTATAGTTTTTATACTCTGAACGCTTGCTTCTTTCGAACTCCTGCTGTAATCGATGCAAGCTTGAGCTATATATATCATCATTAGTACTCTATTGCTGGCTGTGTTCTCCTAAGGCTAAAAATGGACCCAGATACAGACGATTGTCGGCAATTGATCGAAGAAGAAGGCGGGATCAGCATAACCTACCGTCTCTCGGACCCAGATACAGACGATTGTCCGCAATTCATCGAAGAAGAAGGCGGGATCAGCATAACCTACCGTCTCCGGGACCCAGATACAGACGATTGTCCGCAATTGATCGGAGAAGAAGGCGGGATCAGCATAACCTACCGTCTCCGTCTGCTCTGCACATGTCGAGCGATTGCCGCCATTATTTTGATTGTGCTACTTATAGTCATTGTGATAGTTGTGTTTCGTGTTGTATTTGGCATCATAAACAACTCTGCGAAGTCCAACTCTGTGAAAGGTACTTATTTGTCATCTTAGAATGTAACCTAATGTATTGAACTTGTAGACATTTGTCATTTTAGAACTTAAGCTAATGTATTGAGATTGTAGATTCATTACTTAAGGCCTCGCCCATTGGACCACGTGCAGAAAGCAGCCATGGCTGCATGCAGATTCTAGGATGAATTGTATTAATATAGAGCAATCGTAGATTTAGCTTATATACTGATCGAACGTGTTTATGCCGGTTCAGTTAATTTAAGCCAAGGAGGTGGCGTGCAAAAAAATGCCAAAATGCCAGGTAAACCCAAATTTCTTTTGATTTACAGACAAAGGTAATCTATGACGTGCGGCAGTACTCCGAAAAAACCTGATAAATCGGTAGTAGTCTACTATGTTGCGAGATAAGCCCCGTTGGTGCCTAGTCAGTGCCTAGCGAGTGCCTAGTCATTGCCTAATGGTGCATACTAATCAAGTGCCTAGTCACTGCCTTCCTGCATACTAATTAAGTGCCTAGTCACGGTCTAGCCAGCTAGGTGAAAATGCGTTCCTCCATCTAATAACTGTCTTCCTGCATACTAATTCGGTATGGGCTTACTAATGTAAACAAGACATTGCTAGTTGGCAAGAGGTGGCTTAGCATCTCGCTGAGGACTCAGCTGGTCTTTAAAGGGTACAATAACACGAACAGGGTCAGATTTAGGTATTTAGGTATTTTATTTATTTGCCACACAATTACAATAATTACTTAAAGATGCCAAAAGAAAAAACAAATGTAGGAAGAGATGGCGAGGAGGCCTAAAAGAAACTATAGAGCTTATGTTAATTAGGCCTCCTCAATTACAATTTTTCGAAGATGGCATAAAAATTACGGCGACGGGTACAATATAATATCAGGTGAAAAATTAAACTAATCAATATTACGGAAGTTTACATGTACAAATGTTGAATATTAAAAGGCTTTTTCCCAAGATTTTTGTTGAAGTATACTAATAATTATTACAAATAAATGCCTTAAGTGCTCTTTTAAAGGAGAAAGGTGAGGAAGCGTTGATGATGTTGGTGTTTAACGTGCTGTAAAATTTAGGTCCTTGATAAAAAACGGAAAAGATGAATCAAAAACTGCCGCGGGTGATGAAGCAGGTCAGTTGATCAGAAACTTTTGTGGCAATAAAGCGTGACATAGTAGAGTTAATCTAACTGAGCTGCTGCAAAGCAAACCAGTAAGAAAACAATTTCCAGGAAGGCAGCATATGTGTACTAAAGCCCTCTGCTGACAAGCATAAAGGAAAGGTAAGATTCCGTACAGCCTCATGCATTCATTATGCATGCAGCAATTTCATACTATGTCACATAAATATTTAATATGAATGGCGTCGGAAAATGTGTGCATAATAAATGTATGGGTCTGCACGGAACTCTTACCATCACTTTTCATGGAGTTAATCAAACCAATTGATCTTACTTGACGAATCATTATCGATTAAATTGATTATATCGATTGTCTTTCAATCATCGACTTTCATTGACTGGGCACTCCAGCTCAGACGCCCCGAACGTCAATATTTTTACATCTTCTGCACAAGTAATTGTACAGCAATTCAGAATAGTTGTCTAGTGGTACATACCGCTATCAAAACAGGGGCACCCAACGAGAATATAGTTCAAAACCACTTATTAAACATAGCATTGTTAGCGTATTTTAGTATTTAAACGGTAGATATAGGCATATTTTTATCCCCTAAGAGTTTTTCATCCGTTCGGAGTTCCTAGGTAAAAGTCTAATGACCCGAAAATTATAGGGATCAAAACTTACCTTTTCGAAAATTTCAGCCAGAAAAAAGACTCCCGAAAATTCTAGGTGACCTTTTTACGGTAAAAATCCGTTAAAAATGGGCAATTATACCGTTTTTTAGACGTTCGAAAATCCTAGGAGAGGCAGACAAGCAAGAAATTTTACAACAAATGTTTCGAAACTTCTAGATCTCAAATCATCTTCCGAACACATATTTTCCGAAAATTGACGTTGGGTGCCCCTGATCAAAAGCCCACTCTGGTTCCGTCTTTGGATATCTGCCATTTATTAACTCCATCATTATCACCCCAAAGGAGAAAATGTCGATTTTCATGCTGCACTCGACTTTTGGTGATGAACGGTTTGGTGAATACGTCAATGGAGCAGCGTAAGCTGGAGTTGCGGGAACTGGAGAAGCAAGCATTTTTTGATCTCGCGTAAAGAACTTTGCAAGGCCAAGATCGGCTATCTTGGCTGCCTATCTTCAGTCAAAAGTACATTTTTACTTGCCAAATCTCGATGAACTATCGGAGGGTTGCATTCATAGTGCAGGTAAGCAAGACCTTCTGCTACATCCAGCACAAATTTCAAAGATTCCGGAATCCGGATTCCCTTACAGGGGAAGACTCAGTTTTAACAAGATTGAATAACGAGTACATTGTGCCACCAACGCAAATAAACTTGTAAGATTAAACGGTTACATTCTAGTACCCGCGAGTGCAAGATTAAAGATTTTACGCTGCATGGTTTAATCATTTTGGATTATTTGTTGTTCGTCCGTTCGCCAAGGTCGGTGACGACCCTTTTACCTGCTTTGCTGCAAGCGTGCAGCGACGAGTTTACTTTTCCCACTAAAGTTTCAGTTTCACATTCTCTTCAAGTTCTGCCATCCTACACAAGCGAAAGACAAGCAATAACTTCCAATCACAGATCGTGTAAAACAAAGACTGTAACCAAATTTCAGTGCTCTTTTCTGTAGATTATCTATTAGTCTCAGCTATATTTACCAATTATTGAATGAGGGTGAGTATGATCTGACGAAGTATGAAGTTCCTGGAGGGTGTTATCCGCCTCGTTCAGATCATTCGAAAACTGAATTCAGTAACAAAATTGTTTTATTATTCATTCAACATAATTTGTATTTTAATAACAAACTAATGCTTACTTCGATCGAATTAAACTGGGGTTCCGTCTTCATTTCCCTGATCCTCGGTAAGGTGTATTTTTACTGTTCTTGCGGTGTTTTTAGGCAATGGTACAGTTCGGCTATTTCTTCTTCGTAAAGCGTGTGAATTTTTCCGCCAATTTTTCCAGCTATACCAAAACAGCTGAGCTAACCCAAACTCGTCCCCAGGGCTTCTCTGTTTCCATGCCTTTTTCTGTGGTCATCGTGCATCAATGATGTCATTTTTTTTCTTTGGTCAACTCTAGCTGGTCACGAAGAATTAGCCAGAGGATTTGAGCTAATCAGAAACGGAGAAATATTTTGAATGAAAAATAAAGTGTTAGTATTTGGCGCCCACAGTCAGTCTACAAAACATGTAGCAGCGGCTCGTAAGGTCTCTCCTAATTGAGGGTCTCAATGGGGGTTAACCGATAGGCGTAAAACGGCCAAAAATTTAGTCGATAGCCGTAAAAATTGAAAAATTTTAACCGTTAGCCGTAAATAGGGTAAAAAAGAGTTAACCGTAAAATACTGATTGTTCCCTAGATTTGCTACTTTTAAGGAAGGTACTAAACTCACCTATGGTTGCGTTCATTACCCGGCTAGCGTGACTCTGTACGCACGTTAGCCAAAGCGCCTTTTAGGTGTTGACCAAGACCTAGGTTCCAGTTCCGTCGTTCTCTCGAGTAACTATTTTTTTTTTCCATAGCGAAAATAGATTAATGGATTGCTGGGGATTAATATTTGTGATTTTCAGGAGGTCGTGCCCTCGAAACACTAGTGAAACAACACGCAGCTAGAGATGTCACTGTTTGTAAAACACGTTGCCGATAAACAACATTTCCCGTTTTTCTCTGACGCTACGGTTGACATTGCCATGCCTAGTCCCTGTACGGCTTCTTCCCACGCAATCTCGGGCAAACTCGCTAGGACCACGTGACCCGAAAAGAATTAGGCGCGCGGAATAATGGGGCCTACGGACAAGCGGGTAACGGCAGACAATCGTTCCGTCAAGTCCTTCGCTATCATTAAAAACACTGGTCACCGGAATTTTGGTTTTGGCCGTTTTCACACTAGAGGTAGAAATGGATTATCCGTCTCAGACTAGCCTGTGTACAGTCGTCCCCTTCCCGACAGACACCCCTTCTCCGATTTTTTCTGAGGGGAGGGGGCGGCTGTACAGAGGCTATCTGGAACGGATAATCCCGTCATCAAACAGTCCTTCGAAATTGAAGGATAAAGTCAGGCGGATTTTTCATTCAAAATCAAAACCCTTTCCATTTCGAATTCAAATTAAGACGTGTTACCTATCTTATGCGAATTAGCAAACGGATAACTTATCTCACATCCGTCTGTAGTGTGAAAACAGCCATTTCTGTCATGATTAATTTTTCCTCCCCCTGCCTTGAGTTAGGCGTTCGCGGGTCTGCTTTTGCTTTTTCGCAAAGATTATTTTTACATTGACTATTGACATTTCTATGCGTAAAATAATATTTAAAATGGAATACTTTATAAATAGTATGATCTATCAAATGTTAAAATTTTTCAATAGAATAACTTCATTTTATCCCGTGATGATCCTAAGACCTTTATTTTGCTTTGAAGATACAAAGAATACAGGTTTATTAATATTTAACTCCTTGAAACAAAAGAAATTAATTATTAATTTTTTTAACCGTAACTGAAAAAAATTAACCGATAGCCGTAAAAGAGCCAAAATTTTAGCCGATAACCGTAAAAGCCACCACCCCATTGAGACCCTCCTAATTGATCGCAGGAAACAATCACATTTCATTCTTCCAACAGTATTGTTTGGAGTCAGGGAAACGCACCATTGATGACTTCTCTTCCGAGCAGCTGCTACATGACCCGAGGGCGTATTAGCAATGAATTATGTAATAGCCTTAGTTTTACCATATTAATAAAGACAACGCAGAGTAATTTTCAAGGAGTTCTAGTAACTCCTCTAGTGGGGTTAATTTAACTCCTTACAGGGGAGTTATTTTTTGGCGTTATTTTAACTCCAAAAAGGAGTTTAAAGAATTCTTTTTCAGGAGTGAAAATGACCCCAGATATTGAGGAGTTATCCTATACCTAAAATTGAAGCCTGACGGGCTTCTTTAATTTGTATTATGTACTTGTTTAGCTTTCAGTTTCTCTATCCGAGCACAACGTTGAATAAAATTTCACTTTCCAGTCTTCGCTCTAGTAACTGGGGCTTTTTGTACACTTGAGGAATACCAAAAGTTCTCAGTCTTCATTTAATTACTAAATTGTATCGTTGTTTTGAAGTGTTTCAGGGTAATATCTTTGCCTAGATTTGATATGCGAAATTAATAAACTTGAACAGGCGGATTATTTGCAACTGCCACGAGGAAGTAACTGTCAATCAAATATGACGTAATCGCTCTTAAGTATAGTTTTATAATCCTGAACAGGAGCGATTGCTTCTTTCGAGCTCTGGCTGTAATCGATGCAAGCTTGAGCTATATATATCATCAGTAGATAAATTACTCTATTGCTGGCCGTGTTCTCCTAAGGCTGAAAATGGACCCGGTTACAGACGATTGTGCGCAATTGATGGAAGAAGAAGGCGGGATCAGCATAACCTACCGTCTCCGTCCGCTCTGCACAGGGAAAAAATGTCGAGCGATTGCCGGCGTTACTTTGATTGTGCTACTTATAGTCATTGGGATCGTTGTGTTTGGTGTTGTATTTGGCATCAAAAACAAGTCTCCGAAGTCCAACTCTGTGAAAGGTACTCATTTGTCATTTTAGAATGTAAGCTAATGTATTGAGCTTGTAGATTCCTTACTTAAGGCCTCGCCCATCGGACCACGTGTAGAAAGCAGCCGTGGCTGCATGCAGATTCTAGGATGAATTGTATTAATATAGAGCAATCGTAGATTTAGCTTATATACTGATCGAACGTGTTTATGCCAGCCGAGTTCAGTTAATTTAAGCCAGGGAGGTGGCGTGAGAAAAAATGCCAAAATGCCCGGTGAATCCCATTTTCTTTTGATTTACAGACAAAAGTAATTTGTGACGTGCGGCAGTACTCCGAAAAAACCTGATAAATCGGTACTTATAGTTTCACGATGACCAAAGCAAGCAATTTACGGGTCGATTTGTTTTAAAATACTCATATTAGTATCCTTTTTTTAAGCAGAAATAAACTGGCTCTCGAAGAAAAAAAATACAACCGTTACTGATCAATCATTGTCGTCCTTTATTCCAAATAACGAAATAATTTGTTCTCACTCTACTGCCGGTTAAATATACCTTGTTGATAATTGTCGGTCATGAGAAATTTTATTTTTATATACCACCTTCAATTAGCTATACCTTGCACATTTCAGAGCCATTAAATATTAAAATATGTACCTTCCTTCTGTGAATTTGGAATATGATTGGAGCCTTTCAACAGTTGTTTATTATCAATGAAAATGTAAATGAAAGTTGAAAAGTAACGGGTGGCTTTCCGAAATTTATTTTTCTCTTTCGGTGGGTCGCTACTTAATCGGAACTTTACGGTAATTTGGCGATTTACGGGAGAAAGTCCAGAGCAAAATAGACGTCTATATAAACGGATCAATATTATGGTAAAAAAACAAATCGACAATAACTTTCCATGGTCAATGAAGTGATCTACTAACTTCTCGACCATACAAGCAAAATTCAAGCCTCTTTGGACAAAAATGTTCAAAACTCTCCAATGAAACCATTCGCAGGCTTTTCCTACATCTTTTTTTTCCTTAAATGATTTTTGTAACAGTTTTTCGATTACATCAAATTCCATGGTCGATTTCATGTGCTTGACATTGGTAAAGGAAAAGTCTTTTTCTTGGCATTCTTGGAATTTTGAATTGTTAATTACCTCAAGTCACATGGTGCACACAATGAATGTAAACCAGCTAGTGGGATCAATCAGTCATTTACAGGCACGGCTAGTCACAAGTTTATTAGTTAATTAACCCTCGGGCGTACATGCAAATTCTACATACCCCCCACCGTGGTACTAGTGGGGGGGGTTGATGGAACCCCTCCCAAGAGGTTTTGGTATGTTGCGGTATTTCTTGTTTATTGTTTTTTGTTTGCCAAAAATTAAACAAATCAACTAAAATCTAATTACCTTAACTCTCATGGCGAGGAAGCCCAAGAGAAGGCACCGGGCTTATAAGGAATGGGCTCCCTCATTTCGAACCGATTTTGCCTTCAGTGGAAAGTCTTTATCTTCCAATTCTCTCAACAAGATGAGGTATGTTTAATGGGTGATGGCGCTGCTGGAGGCCTGTGACGTCACCAACAATGGTCGCAATCTTGGCCGCGATCTTGGATTTTACCAAGAATTAGAAATCAGGTGAAAACCGCGATAAATGGAAATTCTTGTGTGCTGAACATGTGAAAAACACATAAATAAGCACTCGCATCCTTTCATCTACAAGCTTTACTTTTATTGTTGAGAGAAGTTGAAAAAACATGAATTTTCACTCAAAAATGGCTTGAACACCTGCTACTGATGATGTCATATCTTGTAACCATAGTAACCAATCATCACTTAACTTGCCTCAAAATGCGCGCGAGGGATAAACGCACAGCTACTGAAAACGTCAGGGATTGATGTTTTATCGTCTAGGAAAAAAATCAAAAAACCTGAGAAGCGGGTGGCAAACCCTTCCACCTCCCCCTTGTACGTCCGAGGGTATTCATGGAAACAGGTCTAGTTTAGTACACTTATGAGCAGTGTTAGTGTTTTTACTGAGGAGGCCTGCAGATACGTATTTATTTTTATTAGAAATTATCAGTTGTAGTTATATTTTCTATTTTACCAGCCTGGGCGCAGTTGTTCGAATGCCGATTAGCGCTTAACCCAGGGTTAAATTTAACCCAGGCCTCTTTTTTTTTGGTCCGAAAGCATTTTCTCGGATAGATTTCTCTGTTATTTTTAAGAGCATCCAATCATCAAGTTGTTGACAGAAAGAATTAAATTGAATTTACTTTTTAAGCTTTCATATCTGAATGCAAATTTCTCTCTAACCATGGGTTATCTTAACCCAGCTTTGAACAACCCGGCCCTGGTGAATTTTTATCGTGTTCAATTAAATAAAGATTTGATTAATTTAATACCGATTATCTGTCTTATAGTTTACCTTAAAGCGATTAGTATCTCTTTGCTCCATCATAACTTCCCTGATTGAAAACGTACTCCGTTAGCTGGCTCCAGTAACTAGCGTTTCGCTGCAGGGCTTTTCTTGAGACCAAACAAATATAAAAATAAAAATAAAATAAAGATTTGTTAATAATGGAAAGTGCGCGTAGCTTATCCAGCTACGTGTAGTTTACAGGCCCTCTACTCAAATAATTATAGAAACATAACAGGATTAAAAAAAACAACTGGCAGGAGGCAACCATTTGGCTATTTACAAGAGTAGCCGAGGATTGAAATCCAGCAAGTGGCCAGAGCGGGACTCGAACCCAGGATCAACGGATTGTGGGTCCGATTCTATGGCTCCCTTACTACAGTAAGGGCCCAGTAAGGGCTAATTCACAGCTGCATGAGCTCGAGTGGAATCTTTGAATTTACAGTGCAACAATAGGCTATTTCCAAGTCCCCCGGGCCTCTGTATCAAAACGAGGTTAAGTATTCAGTCTTTGATAAGGGAATTATTTTTCATTCTCATGCGAAGTGAAAGTCATTTTCACAAGAAAGATTGTATACTTGGCCTCATTTTGAAAGTGAGAGTTTTTGAACTCGCATATGGCCTATTAAAACACTTCAAAGACCAACCCATTTCCAAGTTGTTGTCTCATTACTCAGCGGTACCTGAACCAGTACCAACTTCCCAAGAGCAGCAGACGACATCGAAGCCATGGACACCAACACCACCAGGGATCATTTGTAACACTTCAGCGTGCACTGACATCTCTCAAGGTTGGTGTTTGAAGCATTTTAATTTTTGCACTTCGATCTCTCTCTTTGGCTCTCTTAGTACGGTAAGGGCTAATCTGCACCGTTGCAAGCTGCATGAGCCCGAGTGGAATGAGATAGTTCTTTGATAGATACTGGGTTTGCAGTGCTATTTGGTACTTCAAGGCCCAAACAGATCTTATGAGTTTGCGGTGTATGAGGGTATACTATGACAACAAATACTATCTACATAAGACCAAATCAAGACCAATAGCATGATCATCCCTAATACATTTCTACATATCGATTGTGTCATAATTTCAGATATCTCCAGACAGTTAGACAAAGCAGTGAATCCTTGTGATGATTTCTACTCTTACACTTGCGGAGGGTTTTTCAAAAGTCATGAGCTCGGAGAAAATCAAAGCATGGAAACGGCCTTTTCTATCCTCAACGATGACAATATGAGAGTTATAAGGCAAACGTTACAGAAGGGTACTTCTATTTACCCTCAGGTTTGAAATACTGAAAGTTTTTCTTAGTTTGCAGACTATTTACCTTTTTAATCCACTAAACCATATCAGGACTGGTGGGGATAATTATAAACTTCATACCAGGTCCATGAATTACCTGCTAAAACTAGACAAAATTAAAGAAAACTGTAGTGAGGCTTATTATCTGCAATGTTGAAGAACAAACTACTAGCATTATTTAAAATGGCAAAGTCAAGAGTTTTAGTTTGAATAGACCTCGAAATAGTCACACCAGAACTTACATTCGTGGCTATCAGAGTAAAAGAGACTTGGGTCTTCGAAATATCCCTGGTCTCATTTCTACCATTTCAGAATCTGATTTCTAAATTTAAAATGAATAGAAAATAAACAAAGTGCTTTTCTTAGACGCACTTTGGTATGCGAACAAGCTCTGCTAACGCGGTTAAGGGCAAACAAGTTGCCAGCCTCTCCGGCTCAGGTTGAGACAAGCTTCTAGGCTTTTGGCATGTATCCACCGTTACTATGACAACTATTACTATAACTCACGTATGAACTAATATAACAATGCATTTCCCCATGGCACTTATTGAAAGTTTCGGCTAAGAGTTGGAAGCTGGGATAGGGGAGCCTATTTCATGCTTCTTGATTATTGTCACTCCCAGATAACATAAAAAAATACTAGTCTAACCAACTGTATTTTTTGCAGAGCTCATCCATAAGGAAAACCATCCAAATTTACAACTCTTGCGTAAATACAGCTGCTATTAACAACCGAGGAATAACACCTTTAGTAAGCTTGATAGAGAAGTACGGTGGTTGGACAGTAACCGGAAAAGGACTGAACTCCTGGAAAGTGCAAGAAAAAATGGGACACATCCAAAGAGACCTGAATGTACAGACTTTACTGTCTGTATCGGTTAGGACGGATTTAATGGATTCCACACGTAACATTCTTGTGGTAAGCAAAACATTTAACGAGTTGTGCCATGTTAGAAACCGCAAAACAGCCAAAGAATCCCAGAGCAATCCATCCTTTCAGGGATCCAAGGTCTGTTTGCTTAAAACCGAAAACCTCACTGAAGAATATATCTAAAGCACCGTTTATATGTTGTTTAAAATTGAATACCAACTACTAAAATAAACGAAAACTCCAAAAAAGCAAGAATCAAAACCGAAAAGTCTTTGAAAAATGATCACTTCCGCAATCTGAAATTTCCACTGTCCTGCAGTGCTCCGCAAGGAAGTAGGCAGGTAGTTGACTTCATTCAACTTAACAAGTGAATCACATAAAACAACAGTCTTTTAAATGACGAACATGTGGCCTTAGTTCCTTGATCGCAAGGGATTGTGGAGAACGGAAACCTCAGTGTAAGTATCTGAAAAAAAACTTCTGCAATCAGCAAGTTGAACTCACATTTAGTCTCCTTCGAAGCCGTTTTTGTTTTGTGTGATGAGACAGAAACGGCTGCGAGGGAGACTAAACTCACATTTAAAGGGCAGAAACGAGAATCGAACCACACCTTTAGCTTAGACCTCTTTTTAAATACCTCCGCACAGTTCATGCTTTGTAAGGAAGGTTGCTACAATACACGTCAGAGATATTATTGAGTTTTTATATGCGAATTTATAATACATCAGCTAACATTCAGATGGTTCTATCAAATCTATTTACTAGATTAGTCCCTTAGTGCTTGGTATGAGTGCGAGCTACTATGACAAATACACAGAAGATCCTGAGATATTAAAGGTTGGTTTAAGAAACATTTATTTCAGAAAAAATGGGTATCAATCATGCTTTGCAAAATTACTACCGTGTACATCGTGCGATCCGTAGTAAGAAGGAAGAAAATTAATTACTACGTCCATCAAAGACTAAAAGTATGGCACAATTCAGATTAAATTTTATCAATCTCGTTATAAATGCAGTAGATGAAGCTTCTTATTTGAAGAACAGTAATATTTATAATATCTATCACCCATTTTGCGCAAATTAACATATGGGTTCCCCTGCGGAAAAGATCAGGCAGCCTCTAGCGCGCAGACTCACCACTGATGCCTCTCTTGTATTAAACTAGTACTTCCTAGAAGTAGACGCCGGTTTTCTTGCGATCATTTTATCCCACTTCTTAAGCAAACAGTAGCTATAAAAAAGGAAGCTTAATGAGGCTGTTATTGCAGTTACGCTGCATTCTGAAGCCTAAGAAGCACTAGTTAAAATACTTGAGCAAAAGATCTGCCTTTGGAACCAATTTGCTTTTCCCAAGGTGGTTCGAGGTCAGCGCATGTATCGCACATGTGAAATGAAACAATGAGATCTCTATATTTAAAGTTAATTGGTGAATATTTTAATATTCATTAATTAGCTGAGAAGAAGATTACAAAAACGTTAACTATACTGTTTGATAATTAATTAACTCAGCTGATTCAGTTGTGTTGGGGTTTACAGAGGTCGGGGGGGGAGGGTACTCCCTATAATGGCCTGTACGGGGAGGCTCCGCCCGAAAGGAATTCCTTTTTCAGGCTTCAGGTATATGAAAGGGTAGGAATTTCGCTAGTTAAAGTATGTCAAAGGGTAGGGAGGGTATGGAAGTCTGTCATCATGGTCTGTAAAAAGGCCCAAAATGGCTATCAGATGAATTTTATGGCTTTAAAAACTCGAAAACACGTTCTGGTTTTGTGATTGATTCGTATTTAAAATACAGTGCATTTCAGGAGTTAAAAGGGACTTAGACAATCTAAAAGTCCTTTTTTTTTCCTGGTTGGTTACGCCATTTTAAAGGACTTTTCATACCTGTTTGGCGCGAAATTCACGGTCAAAAATTCTACCGGTGACGTCATGACAAATGACCAATAGGACAGTAAGTGATATTTCACGCGGCTTCCGACACAGAATATTTTAATCATTTTTTTCCCGCGTGAATTTATAATATCATTCAAATCCATTGGAGCGAACTTGACAAATCGACCTCGAGACTCGCTCGGTTGCTGGGCGACTTATTAGAGACTTATTATTAAGTCTAAAAGGGACTCAAAGTTCTAAACTAGGTATGTGAAAGGGGTACCATTTGTCAATAGAAAGAATACGAAAGGGGTATCTTTTTCGTGAAAAATGAAAATGATACACAAAAGGGTAAAAAAAACTTTTTTGAGCCCTCCCGGGACACAGGCTCACCTGTGACTCCAATTCTACCCATTAATTTGTCAAAGATTGAACACATAATGATAATTGAATTTTACCAACTCCATCACTCGTTCCCTTTTTTTTCCTTTACATTAAGATTCAACGCGCGTACAAAAAGTACATGAAAACTATTGCACGTCTACTTGGAGGAGGATCAGATTCAGAGAAGAAGATGATGCGTATATATAACTTCGAAAGAGACATTGCCAATGTAAGTTATGTTTCAGATATCGTAATAAATTGAAGGAGGAACGACTAAAAACGATTGTTCCCCTAACAAAAATCTAACTGTCGCAACCACTCATTGGTGAGATGCCAGAGTAAATTTGGTGCAATGGACTCCTTCACGGTCTTTTCGCGTGGACCAGTTACCGAAAATCGGTCTACAGTGGCAGTGTCTATACCAATAAAGCCCGTATACGAGATGCAGAACTTTTTAGGGAAAGCCACCCACTATTTTCGCGCAGTTGGTAACAGTGACAGGACAAAAAACAACGCATACAAATGTAATGTTTTGCACTTAGAAACTTGATGAACGCCTCAATCATATAAATATAAAAATTTAAAGTTAGCTTGGGGACAATGTGAGGTGCATGCTCCCTTCATGGTATGCGGTGAACTTTTCGTTCCTGTTTCGAAATAAAACATTTTACACTCCAGAATCGACTAATTTAAGACAGACTGTTAAGAATCCACCTGCTTATATCCGCGAATGTCCCATGTGTTATACTATATATTTTCCAGTTGGCCACTGGCAAAGCATTCTCATATGACTTGGTAGAATCCCTTGAGCAGTACTATCACTCAAGACGATCCTTGGGCTCATCAGTGGACAAGACCATACGTGAATTTTGCTGGGACTCAACTTTCGACGTACGTAAATTAATATGGAGACTCCCAGGAGAACCGGGATACTTTTTAAAGTATTTTTTTTAACTGAAGGATTACTTATCCCGAAATTCTAATTGGTTTCAAATTCAATTAAATTTTTTAGGAATTTAGAGTTAAGGACTTCTGTTCCAAGAATTTCGCGGGAAACTTATTTGGCATAATTATTACATCAATAAAAGCCGATACCAGAAATTTTTGAAAAAAAACGTCCGCAAAATGTTTTACAAGATAAAAAATACATATAAATATATTTTTTACCAGTTAAATATAAGTATTATTTTATATTGTTTATAACTAATATCTGCAGCTTTTTAAAAAAATTTCGTAGCCATCGCGTTAATAGAAACAAAAAAGCTATGACAAAACGTTCGTCATAGAACTTGCAAGTTAGTTGGCGGATAACAAGCATTTTGTTTTCAACTTTGCTGGCACTTATTTCCTGTCATGTTGCTTGCAATGAAGTCAATATTTCGATCAGTTGACTACAACAATAAGCTATTTTAGAAGGAAGCTAAATCCTATGCAGATTGTGGGAACGTTTGGTTCAAAACGAGGGCGTGCAAAACGGGATCGTAGCCTGCGTAGCATGGCAGTTTAGGTGGGGCGCGTAAACAAGCTAAGGCGGGCGAGGACAGTGAAAATGAGAAGAGATTTGACCGGGAGCATTGAGAACCCCACCCCCCACTGACTCGCGGCCTTTAGGAGCGCGCCCGACGAAACGGCCATGTTACGCAGGCTAGGGTTGGTCCAGGGCTTACAAGTGCCAAGTGGAGCAACATACAAGCAAGCCTAGCTGCTATCGAAGAAGAAGGAAAAGAAAACTAGAAGTTGAATAGGAAATTTAAACCGCAGTATCTTATTCGTGTGGATGGTTGAATCTAAATCGAAACAACCACACCGAATTCGTGTAGACGAAAATAAATATGCGATCATAAGTCTACCGGTATTCGGTGGACAGGGCCTTAATAGTCAACGAAGTGTAAATATACGTTTTCAATCGTCTACACGAAAGTTCGCAAATCCGTCGGATCTAAAAAAAAAAAACAAAACAAAAAAAGTCTAGGAGAGTAGTTTAAGAAAGGATAGGGTTTTGACAAGAGAGATTCGATGAGTCCAGGGCGGTAAGTGGATTCACTGGTTTCCCTGTGAATGGAAGGCCGATTTATGTAAAACAATATGCGGTTTCAAAAATTTCCGGATGGGAGGGTTACTGTTGAACAACTTCAACCCAAAGGTTTTGCCTTTCTTTTTCTCATTAACCCAGATTTTTAACACATTACTTTAGCACTAAATTTTCAACTAATACTATTTTTCCATCCACAGTTAGATTTTATCCTGGACTTCTTAAACATTGCGTTTTCGAACCAGGAAATTACTTTCAACTCTTGGGAAAGCGTTTTTTATGGCTCAGCATCTGTCTTCTCAGACATTGCTTTGACCTATCAGACTACGTAAGTATAAATGCAAGTTCTACTTCTTCAACACTACTTTATTTACTTAACAGATAGATAAATACGAGTAGCGTTTTATGAATAACACTGAGTTGTGTCTACGTTGTCAAATTTTCCCGTTAGTGGTGTACCTTTACATGTAAAAATGTTCTCATTTTTCTGGAATTCAATTTCTATAAATATGAACATCTCGCCCTTCTCGCCGGTTTTCCGACTTATTGTGACAAATTTTCTAACGTGTCTAACCAATTAATGCGCTGTTTTATACACGAAAAAGCATGCAGTAGACCTGCACCATTCTAAGCCTCAGTCTTGATTCACTGGTCCCCTTTAATCTGCACTTCCATTGTTTTCAGGGATAGGGACATTGTTATGTGACAATCCCTATTGTTTTCCCAGCAAATCAAAAACAATCTTTCAAATAGGTGCGGGGTCGCCCCGAAAAAACAATCGTTTCAAATAAGACCCTGTTTACATGGAGTGGGGACCCCGGTCTCGTGGGGGTTTTGTGTCCCCAGAGCGTGAAAAAAAAGAGGGTGTCGTCGGATGGGTGGGGACCCCGGTCTAGTGGGGTAGGTTTCTTTTGTTAAACGTGAAAAAAAAAAGTCGTCAGTAAAAAAAAGGCGTCAGTAAAATGATCAATGCATAATATTAAAGTGCTAACAACGAAGACATAAAGATATGATATCATAATAGACAGCCCAAAGTCAATGTTTGCCTGCCTAAAGAACTGAAAAATACCATACGTTTATACACATAAACGGCTGGGTTGCTTAAAGAATCTTAAGATTATATTGCGTGAACTCGTACCTTCTGTCAAAAACAGTAGGTTAATCAGGTTAATGTTCCTGATTTTAATGCATCTTTCGATTGTTTTGAACAGGTTATTATTTTCAATAAATGGAAGGGCAGGTCACTGTCGTGGAACAAGAGGTCATTAGCATGTGTACTCAAACGGTGACAAGTGAAATGATTCCCTAATTTCACGAGTATACCATTTGATTACCTATTAATATCATGGCTGACGAACTACGTTAGCAATCGTGAATTTTTGACATGTTCATCCTGGATCGTATCGATCGAGAACTCCACTCTCTCACTTAATGTTTAGACCTTAAATTTGGCTAAGTTCAGAATTTTTAAAAATGGTTGACAAACTGTACCTGTTAGAATCCTTCTTGATGTGCTCTTTCGAGTGTTCAGGTTTTCTAAAGCATCTTTTTGCGCCCTGACATCTTCATTCACGGCATTTTAAAACTTCGACGCCATCTTGACAATGAGACGTACGGAAGGTTGCCATGGCAATTTTGTGATTATTACAAATTAACGCTGAAATTTCGCGCCAAAATTAAGGAGTAATCCGTCACCTATGATATTACTAGTAATAGTTGACACTACAACTGCCCCCGCTCTGTATATAGCATTCTTGCTCCTTGTGTAGCTTTTTGAAATATACCGATTCATAATGAAGATGTTCACACATATTCCATACAATACGTGAGATAAATAGAGGAAATAAACGAAAGGTTCCATGCACAGTTTCGGTTCGATTTACACAGCTTTGATCAAAACATTCTCAGTTTCGATAATTCGAGAATAGTTTATTCTAAACCATAAGAAAAGATTTAATTAGAAGTTTAATTTTTCGCTATTTCTATTTCACTTTTTACATTTAGTTCATTTTATTTGCCGGAAAGTAAGCCTTAGAAATTAAAAGGACGTTTGATCAATTCACGCTCGCGCATTCTAGTCTTATTTTAAACTTTATAGCGGAAGGACATCTGTGAGCAGGGAATAAGTCAGCACAGAATTTGATGGTCGGCGAATTTCTGTAATCGTCCATCGTTCTGCTAGTGATAAGCTAGCCATTGAATCATTCACTCATCTTGCTTGTTTTGGGCCGAGTCTTATTCCGGTCAAAGAGAGAGAAAGAGTGTCTGGCAAGGTTCAGCTGAAGGTTTCCAACGAAAGATTTGTGAACTCGTGTCTGACAAACTCACTTCGTGTTAAAACATACACTTTTCTACGCACCTTATAACTTCATCTGCGCTTAACGAGTGTCTTTTGGTCCCTAACTTTCATAACAACTGCTCCACAGAATGTTACTGATAACACATAACGCAAAAGAGTATCGAAGTATGACTGCACAATTAATGTCACAAAATCTACCTATTGTAGTTTAAGCTTTTTGTGTTTTACGTCATCCTAACCATTTTGTAACTTGCGGGCGCAAACAATAGAAACGTCATCATTACCTACCTATTCCTTACGGCCCCTGTTCAAGCGAATCGAGATTTTTTCTATATTGACTGTATGACTATATATTTCAACTGTAAGTACTTTCTTTAATATACGCGCGAGTTGCTAGAGTGCCTCCTCGGGATTTCGCCTTCTGGGCGAAATCCCTGCGGGGGCAATAATGACCGATCACGTACCTCGCGCTGCGCGCTCGGTCATTATTTTCCAGAAGGCCTCGGAGCACAGGCATTATCCTACATATAATACTCAAGAGCTCTCTAAGAAGAACGTGTTACGTAACCAGTTCCTGACATGTCTAAAGGGCAACCATTCATGTGGTGATATTTGCTTTTATTAGCTCCCACGACATTATCAAGGACTACATTATGTGGCGAGTTGTTTCCCGGTACGTTTCGTCAATGCCTGATGTATTTGTTCAGGCTGAGCTTGAGTTTGTCAAGACTGTGGCTGGGGCGCGAGAATATCAAAGATGGTCTGCTTGTATTGAGCAAATGATGACACCAATGGACATGACTCTGGGGAGGATGTATGTTGATGCACATTTTGACGAAACAACTAAAACAACGGTAAAGTGATTCCTTTGTGTTAACGAGTTTTGAGTGTAAAGCAGCCGTATTTTTGGGCTGGTCAAAGGAAGGTTGGGAAACGGGGTGTGAGACTGGGCAGAGACGGACGAGTGAGGAAACGCACGGAAATTCAGTTATGGCGGTTCTCGGTCCATGCGTGCCGCGATTAGGGAGAAAAAACCCATTCTGATTCGATTTAAGGTGTTTGGAGACCATACAGATATTTTTCAATCGCCTTTAAAGTGATTTTAGTCCAGTCCAATCGCCATAAAATTTTCACCACTCACTGACCTTCGATTGAAGTTTGTCAAAATGTAGTTTTATGTTGTAATGCGCCGGCAACGATAAACAAAAATCTTTGAAATCAGATAAAAACGAATTTTGGTACATCTAGACCTGCCATCTTTGAGTTTTTAGTTTTCCCACGTGTTAGGTAGAAGTACTAGTCTCTAAAACAAAAAAAAATGATAAAGAAGTCTTAAATTATTATTATTAGTTATTAAAAGTCATGGAAAAAATGGATAATGAAGAATTGACAACTACTTTTAAGAGGGGCAGAGACATCATGCACTTGATTTGAGTTTATATACTGTTTTCTTAGCGTTGTTTTTGTATTGTTTTTTTTTATTTCCTTCACTGATCAGGTGTAGTTGCTTTGACGCTTGCTGCTGTTGGCATATGATGTTGTTAAAGATCTTTCTTTTTGTTTCAGGTACAGGAAGTGACGACTCTTATTCGCAAGGCCTTTATCAGTAACCTCGATTCAGCGGATTGGATGGATACAGAAACAAAAGAGGCTGCCAAAGAAAAGGTGCGGTTCAATTGGCACAGAAAATATTTGCCTGAATTTCAGTCATGCTGCCTCAGAATGCTGGAAACCTCATTTATGAGGATTTAAATTTGGAGATTTTATGAGTGTGCTTCCCAATCCCTTGGATACTTCTGCTGTAACTGGTCGTTCATTTTTAACTTGTTACTAAAGATCTTTTTTTTAACATAAAGCTTGCCTTGAAGAGAACATATTTAGCATATATATTTAACATACGAAACCACGGAGGCAAATGTCTCTATCGGCAGGGCACAAACCAGAAAATAAATTCTATAACTCGGAGTAGTTCAGTTATTTGACAATTAATGAATGAGGCTGTGTATCTTATGAAAAATTATCGAGATCGAGGAGGGTGTTACGGCCTTGACGGATAACACCCTCCGAGATCTCCATATGATACAAAAGCCGTTTCATTATTCATTCAAAATAATTCCTAGTTTAAAAACATAGCACAGGCAAATGTTAAGTTTATCTTCTTTAACGGCAGGCTACAAAACCAGATAAATGTAAATGTTTTTAGCCATTATTTCGCCTAGTTCCAGCTGTAGTTCTTACTCTTGAAACGAGTGAAGTGTCCGCCATTTTAAACAACTCAATCTCGTTCCCAGGTCTTCTTGGTTAACAGTGCATTAACCTGTAGAAGGCTGCATTTTCATCACACAAAATTCTTCCAAATTTGGTCATCAGTAACTGGTTATGGTGAATTATGCGTGTGCTTTTAGCCAATCAGAATTGGGGAAGTATTTTGAATGAATAATAATGCTTATTAATTAATTGTAAAGTTCAGAGTCACCAACTTTTGAGATCTGGGCCCTGCCCAGAAATTCTTTCTAAAATAATGGCACTAACACGTAATAAAATGTCATCATTGCAGGCCAATGCTATAAAAGAGGATGTGGGATACCCACTATACATAAAAGACGACTGGATACTTGACCAACATTACTCCATGGTAATGCAGATTTATCGTAATTTAGGCGAAACATCTTCCCGTAATTAAAATGACCTTTTGTGTTGCCTGTTGCCTGTTTACAAACAATAACTAGGTAGTTGTGTCTGCACTGAGAAGTCGTGCCGTTTAGTGGCATTGATTAGCCAAAATATCAGGGTTTATTAGTTAGAAGGAAAAGACCGTCTTTTCAAATCTCTTTTTCCCTAATAGGCCCTAAGAAGGCAGGGGCAACGGGGGGCGAAACCAGTAATGCAACATAGGTTTTTGTGCCTTTTGCCTCGCCCGCTTATTTTCATTTTTTTTTTTGTCTACAAGAGCAACAGAAATTAGTCCATCTATTAAGTGGCTAATCTCTGAGGAAATCAATTAACTCATGTCATTGCTTATTATCTCGTCTAGTTTTATACATTTATTTTGTTTTGTTGTGTTTTCCAAAATCACCAGCTGACAATCGATGACAATTATTTTGAAAACACAGTGGCAATGAACAAGATGTTGGTCCAAAAAGACTTTGGCATGCTTCGTCAGCCAGTCAACAATGATTTGTAAGTAATATAATGCGGCTTGTCAGCCCATTTCAGCCAAAGAAGGCTGAAGTTTGATTCAGAATGAGCTTCATTTGATATTCCAGAGTTCACCAGTATATCCGTAAAATAGGACCTTCAGGAGAAACAGCAACTATAAGTCGTTCAGCTACCTTTAACATGTTGTTTCATACGTATTAGTCAGTAATCATATTCCCCAACATTCTGATTCAGGCACTTAATTTACAACAACAAAAGTAACTGCTTTCCCTCTAGAAGCCGCTTCTCTACTTAAGTATAAGCCACACTACGAGTAACAACTCGTACAAAATTATAAGTCATAAAATTTCAAAGTCTGGTTAGAATTTTGTTTTCTAAACTATCAATTACCAACATTTCGATTCTGAATTTTAAAACAAGTTTTATACATATATCTGCTCTTCTAGGTGGGGAATGGGCCCTGCACAAATCAATGGATATTACAATCCACAGCAAAATCGAATAGGTATGTGGGAGTTCCCAGTTCGTGGCAGGCATGTTGTAGTTGAGGTTGGTTAAAATAAAAATCCGTCAAAATTTTACTTTAGCTTCTACCTTGTTATAATGAAAACGAAAACCAAAAATAAACAAACAAACAAAAAAGTAGAAGAAAAACGTATAGAGGCCATGCGGAATACACAATATCACAAAGATTTTACATTGCTCTAAACATTCGGTCTAGAACTCGGAGCGGGTCGTGAGTTCAAAGCTCACTTGGACTTCGGGATTTTTTTTGAGCTTTCTTGTGTTTAATTTCTCCTTCTTCCAAATTGAAATACAGCATAGTTGACTGATATTTACGCTTGACCACAAGTCTTGTTATGATCTGAATAACAGCTTAGTCGTACCAATCCGCAACCCTGTTTAATTTTGTACTCATTTGTCTTTTTTTTTTTTCCATAGTATTTTTGGCGGGAATCTTGCAATCACCTTTTTACAAGAAAAATACCCCAAAGTAAGTGATACGAAGTCGACTTCGTGACATTTTGTGGCTGTAAAACTGTTTGTAAACCACAGAGCTCGAGGTGAGATAAATGTCTGGCCAGAGAGATTTTTTTTATTATTATTTGATAAAAATTGCACAAAAAAGGGTAACCACGAAGCAGAAAACCTAGCTCAAATGGTCGTTGACACACACCCCTTTCTGACTGAAACCCTGACCTGCTCTTCCTAATTTAACAGAGGATAACGTCACGGAGGGTCTCCGTTATATTGTGGTTATTCTTTACATCTGAGGTTTTAAGTGCATCATAATGTTATGAAACAAATTACGTACTGCTTTCTTTCGCCAGGTATCTCAACTATGGTTCACTGGCAATGGTCATTGGACATGAAATTACCCACGGATTCGACAATAGAGGTATTTTTTCAGTTAAAGATTCTGCAGGCATAAAAGTTTTCAGACGACACGAAACTGAATACATCAAACTTAATGAACATGAGACTTACACGTTATGAATTGCTAGGAAGATCCTGGAATAAACAAGGTCAATTTCTGTGGAAAAAGGAGAAAATAGGCTTTAAAAAAGTCAAGAAAAGATCACACTGTTTTATATTTCATATAGTCAAGATTTAAACATAGTAATGTCTTTCTATTTTCTGTAAGTTTAGACGACATGGGAAAATTGTGATGTGTTCGTTTTTATTACTGAGTAACATCGATTTTCACAGGTTAATTCTAAGTTTCTTGGTAAGATTTCGTGCGCATGACAGAGGGAAAAATGCCGGCGCCGTCATTGCATCTTTCACATCGTCCATGACTACTCTTATAGACAATAGACTCGACCAATGAGCCTACGACAATATCTACACCAGCTTTTTTTTATGTACACCAAGCTGTTTCGTATATTCTTATCTCTGCCCTTTGTAGGTCGTCTTTTTGATAAAAATGGGAATTTTAAGGATTGGTGGTCTTACGAATCGGAGTCTAACTTCAAAGATAGGAGCCAATGTCTTGTTGATCAGTACCGCAACTACGAGGTGTTTGGAGAATACGTAAGTATATAGCTCAATAACTTTAGGGGCAAGGATTCTCTAATTGAAGTCTCCTGTGTCGTAAAAATCGTAAAATTAATCCCAAATAAATCATTGTAATAAAGCCAAAAGAAAGAACTTTTGGCTAAGATACTAGGTAGTACCAGAAGTGCTAGCCCTTTTCAAAAATACGATGTTATTACACCCCAGAAATCTGTAACCTGGTTAAAAAGACATGCTGGTGACGAGGTGGAAAAAATACGTCGCCGGTGCGGGGTTGAAGAGGAGCGGAATTGCAACAGCTTGTATGAAACGTACTGTCTTACTATTATAGGGTTCCAAACAGTTAAAATTATGAACATTTTTATAATAATTTAACATTGTACTCATTACATTATTGATTATTCTTTACGCAGATAGACGGTCAACAGACGTTGGGTGAAAACATCGCTGACAACGGAGGGATAAAACTAGCATACGAAGTAAGTTGGCATATGAACAAAGATGGAAGTGTTTTTATTGTTAGCAGTGAAAAAAGCAAAGTAAATCTCACAAAAAACACTAACAACTTTAATACATAGTGTAACCCTCTTGCTTGCACAATAGCTGATTTTTCATTTTTGTATTTTCATCTCAGTGATTTAACTGTTTGTTATTCTAACTATTTTTAGTAGACCTTGGTAGCATTTGTTGCTTTACCTTTTTTGTTAAAGATCATTCTCAGTATAGAGTCATGTGACGGTGTTAAGATTCTCTGCTATTTTATTGCATTCTTTTACACTTGCAATGCATTGTATCAGTTGCCATGGTATATGGAAAAATATATGGAAATTTTTTTTTTTTTAGAACAACGAGCAACAACAGAGACTGAGATATTCTTACAGGTCATTGTGGCGTGCTATTTTTTTTACCTTTTTGTTTGTTTCTTTTTACATTTGGCCAGAAAGAATTGATTCAGTCGCAGATCTACACCATGCAACGGTATTATTACAAGAGCCGATTACCCGATTGGGGTCAATCACTCGAAGAGCTTGTATGAGAGATGAAGGCTCCGGGTAATCAGCTCCTAACAAGAGGCATAATGTGACCCATTATGGCTCTTGGCTCCTAATTATTGATATTAATCTTGATTTCTCTGTCAAATTCCCTTGTACTTCAGGCATACCAGTCCTGGGTGAGGGCCAATGGAAGGGAGAACCCTTTACCTGATCTTTCAATGAGCGTGGATCAACTTTTCTTTATCCGATATGCAACGGTATGTTTTAATACTCCGGCGTTCTTTCCACCGTCGCCGTTGCCCGTCGTGGTTGCTTAGGGAAGGACCATAAGGAAAGTAAAGGGGGTGGGGAGTCCTGCTTCAGCGTGGAAATTTTTTTGGCTCGCTATGTGTGCATGTTTATTTTTTTTCTGCCTGTCTCAGCTGTGTGCATTTTTTTCTCGTATAATTTTTGATGTAGATTTTTTATTTTTGTTTTTTTTTTCCCAACCCGTCCTCCCGCCCTCTTCACTTCTCTATTTGTCCTACCGCAAAGCCCCCTTTCAACATCTTGATTCTTGAAAAAACGCTACCACGGCTTGTTTGTTCAAACCGTGGGTTTATACATCGTCGTAAGGGGTTGTAAGAAGGCTTATAAAAGTAAGGGCGTATAACCGGAATAGAAAAGTGCTTCGAAACAAGCTATATATAGCGATGCTGATCAAAATACATTTTTAATTTACTGATAGCCTGGGATCAGGCTCCGCATTGGGAGAAAAAGGAGAAAAATATTGGTGTGCGCGATAGTCTGGGGAGGCCCCTTCCCCCTTTTGCCCCACTGCAGAGAAACTGCCGAGCCTGGTTCTAGGCTAATTTACTGACTTTTAATTAGTTCAATACTATACTTCATAATTCATATCAGTACATTTTTAATAAGAGGGAATTTATACCCAGGGGGCTTAAAATCGGATTGTTGAAAGAGCTGTTTAATTTTCTCGTCGCTATAGCACTTGCAACATTGTTACATGAGAGAGAGGCTGTTGCGTGCCGGTATGTGAAGTTAAGTGTTGGGATTTTCAGTTCTATACTAATGAAGTCTGATTTCTGAAGCAAAACATTTTTGTATACCTAAAAGTCGTAGTATTTCTCATGGCCAATCCCTAGAATAAAAATTCTCTCCATAATGGACCTCGTTCGAGATAAGAAATGATCTTTTAAATAAAGCTTAAGTATTAACTAAATATCTGATATTTTCTCCAAGCACGGAACGGGGACTAGAAAACAAGCTAAAACACAAGCAAAGCCGATTCTCGCCCGGCTAATTATAACCAGACGAACAGAGTAAATTACGTGGCTCTTTGACTTCTTTAAGCTTACCTTTTCCCCCTGTTTATGAGCTATAGTTTCATCTGTTGAGGCCAGACCAAAACACTGATTTTGTAGCGTATGTCGTTGCAGCGTCGGGTAAAGCTTTAGCTTTCCAGAAGATACAATCATCACTAACTTAATTTTTGAGCTTGTCAAAATTAAAACGCCCTCTAAAGCAAAAGTATTCCTGGAGAAGTTGTTATTGGCGACTTTTCTTTTGACTGCAAATGTCTCTCGGCTGAGAATCAGCTGAGCAGCATAAAATATTCAAAATTCCGACGCAGGAGCAGGTGGGAGGCATGACTACTGACGAATGACGTCACATGTAAATGTTGACGTCAGAATTTTGGCTGCTCTTCCCTGGTAATGACTATAGGCTATGTATTTTTGCAAATTACTGGCTGCTCATTTGTTTATGAAGTAAGGCAAAAGGGAAGGTGGAATATGTAAGGAGAGAAATACCAAGCGAGAGAGGCTCCGTAGGGCGGGTAGGAGAGAACCCTTGGAAAGTGGTTGAGGAGGACAGGCTAAAAAAATATGGTGTGAAAGGAAGGTTTAATAAATAAATAATAATAATTTTTTATTAGGAAACTTCTCTCAGATCAGTGGTTTACAGAAAGACCACAAATGTAATAAAGCCCTCCAGTGCAATGAAAACCATATTTGCTCGAAAGAGCGATCTCTCGAATAAGCACTCCCCTCAAATATGGGCTGTACAGAAAATTTAAATTTTCCCGAGGAGGTATACACTAGATGCCCCCTACTCTATTGTGTTAACCCAACAGCAGCCCTATCTTAAGGGGAAAAGAGGGGGGGGCACAAATATTCGGGAAAACAAGGGAGGACCGAACAAAAACAAATTTAAAAGAAACAAGGGGGTTATGATATATTGCAGGAACTACCATCAGTAATTTAATCATCATTACCCATTTATTCTGTGTGCACCCTCTTCCGGCAAATCGAGATTTGTCTGGTATTCTAACTGTATATTTCAACTGTAAGTACATTACTTACCACAATATACGCGTGCACTTCACTCGAGGGCCAGAAGAGCACAGCATAGTTCATAAAGAATGCAGTGGTTTTTGGCGTGTCTCACAAAAATAACCTATTGAATGAAGACGCATCAAGTCTCTGTAAAATAGCTTCACACTGCAGCGTGTGCAGAACAAAGCAAAATTAAACTATGAAAAAAAATTCGCGTCGACATCCAACATATGTTTTTCTATTTTATTTTAGACACAGTGTAGTGTTTACAAGAAGAAGGCGGCTCTCTACCAGTTCAAGAGGGATGTTCACTCGTATCCTAAATACAGGTTAATATTCTTCGTCATGCTTCGTAATTCTAGACACTTAATACTTATTTCACGGACCCTATATAGCTATTTTTCGAATACACGTGCCTGAAACGTTTATAAAAACTAGTTAACAGTGCACTTTTGATCAGACTTAAAGTGAAATAATATCATCAGCAGTATGAATACATCGGATTTAACATGATACGTAACAGTTTGGGCAAAAACGGGTATTGCGCAGACCACCCTTTTAATGCGCTTTGTTGGTGTATGCGAAGGCCGACAAGACAAGTAAAACGGTCCTACACCGAATACTGCCAACCACCCTTCCAAAAAAATGTACTCTTAGCAATGATTTCTATTGGCTTTTCATTTCCTGCACTAGTCTGTATATATATTCACAAAACTTTTCGAGTCATTTACAACAACAAAGAAAAACCATCAAACATCAATTATTATACCATTGTTCTTTTGTTCTTTCCAGAGTCATTGGCTCGCTATCCAACTTTAATAAGTTTGCGAAGGCCTTCAATTGCCCTATTGGAAGCGGAATGAACCCCGTGAAGAAGTGCTCTGTATGGTGATGATCGATTTCGTTTCTCTTACAGTGTTACCTCTTTACTACGGACATTAAAGGGACAACCAGAACAAGGTGTCCTTGTTTTGGATTTAGGGACTGTATGAGATTCAGTATATTTGGGGCCATAGAAGGGGTCCGTAATACTGACATGTCTGAATTGTAGAGGAGTGTATTACATTAACGCCCCAGGTAAGGGAATTCAAGACATTCCTGGATCCTGGATTCCATGCCATGGATTCCGGATTCTAGATACTGGATTCCGGATTATTTATCAGTGGAACTTGGATTCCGGATTCTTTGAGCTGTATTCTGGATTCCAAAGTCCAGGATTCCTGATTTTACAAGCCAAAATTTTCCACATCCCGGAACCCGGATTTCCTTGAATGGGGCAAATTATACACTCTTTTTTTATATATAAGAATGTTGTTTTTCAGGTACAGGATGAATATTCTTTTTTTTCTGTCGATTTTAGGCTGATAATATTTCTGAATTATTCTAACTTTTCCGGCCTTAGGATGTATTTCGGTTTCAATTACTAGTGTTATTGCCGTTTAGTAAAAGGAATAATCTTATACGGTAAGAAGTAAAAACATAAATTGAACTGTATCAAAGATTTTCCCATCGATCCAAAACTCTCCGGGTTTATTCTTAAAATTACTTCAAATTGCGTCGATTATAGGTCTTAAAGAGATAGAGAGTCTTTTATTAAAGCAGAGTTTGGACGGTTGGTATATTTTTCGTCGGTTATAGGTGTATGGTGTCTTTATTGAAGGAGAGTTCAAGGTCAGTTGGTATCATTGCATTCGACGTTCGTTTGTAGTTCACTGACTCGACGTTCGTTTGTGGTTCAGTACCGTGTACAACTGAAAACCTCTTCCAAGGGCTATCGTGTCAGAGACGAATAACCAAGAATTTTAGATGAAACACTTTTTTAGTATACTAAATTAGGTAAGACCGTAAAAAGGCGTTTTCCTCTGGAATATCGACCGAATACGCCTGCGTGAGTTTCTCGACCGAAGCACCAGAACTCTTACACGCTCAAAATAAAAAATGGTTTTAATTAAATGTATAGAACGGCATCCTTGTCAATCAGGCTTTATTTTGAATTTTTATAGGTAGAGCCGAATACCACTATTGTATTAGGATGACTAAGCTAGGGTTACTATGAATATTTATAGCATATAGTGTAACTCATAAAGAATAAACCGTGGGTAAATAAAGTTTACATTTCCTTTGACTTAAGACAGTGGCAAAGATCCACAGGATCATTTTTTCAATTTTGAGGACATGGAACGGATAACGAACTTGTCATTTTCTCCCCTTTAAAATTTTCTTCCTAATTTTTTCTACGAATTGCCATCGAAGGTCTCCCCTTTTAGTAAAAACTTCAACGGAATGGTGTGAAAAAATTAGGGAGCTAATTCAGTAAAGACGTTTTTGAGCAACGCAGGCGCGTCAACAGAAAGTGGACCTTTATGTTTGCATTCTTGTGCTCACGATCTGCCAGTACGAGAGTAGGCACTTAGCAACAGAAATTTGGTAGCGTCGAGATATATTTTAATGATAAACTTAATAATTAAAACAATGGGGAAAGGTCAATACTTCTGGTTAACGCTGCAAGGTGCCTTGCTCAAAAATCAAGCTCCCAATTTACGGGGCTACTGTGTGACGAAAATACTGCTACACAAGTTATAAGTCAATTCTGTGCTTGAGTCATTACCCATTACCCATAAACGAAATGCTCCTGTAAAGTATGAAGTCGATATCCAAAAATGTTATCTGGGTGCATTAACTATAGACCCCCTATACTTTTTGGTGATTTTTGCTTGCAAAAGTAGCATTAAAACTTAAAGCCGCGTTTCAATCCATGTCCATCCTAGCCATCCGTAGAAACGGACGGGAAACAACTTTTTAATGAGTAAATATCGTCTTCACTAACGATGAAACTTGACCATTATTTTTGGAATTCAATAGATGCGAAGACCTTTTTAGCTTTTTCAAAATAGCAAGTAGCGGTGACAAGCGTTGAAAACAAAACAAAACAGGGCGAGAAATAACGTTTTAGACTAGACTGATCTTTCTCCCTTTCAAAAATGTTACTGTAATGTTGTTGCCCAAGAATTGGTCAAGAAAGATGAAAATTTTAAAACCTTTTAAGGTTCTTAATCTCACACATAAAAACGAAATATATTCCAGGATTTTTTTAAACCAAAACTGATCTATTTTAGACTAAGAATTAGCTGACTCTGAATTTTACATTTTCTTTATCAATCATTGTATTTCGCAAAACAGAATTTTTCACGATCGTTTGTCTACAGAATGCCAGGTTTTCCGGATCAAAATGTCTTGAGTGTGTGCCAACCGAGAAATAAATTTTCCTGACTCAGCTCACAGACTTTGACAAGGAACGACAATGCAAAATTTTCTCAACGTTTCCCTGACCTTAAAAAATGTTGTTTTTGCCTGACGTAGAGTCAACCCTGTTTATAAAACGATAATAAAAAGACCGCTACTTTTTCTGAACTGCTCCTCACGTATCTAAAAATTTAGCACCTTGTGCATCTGCTTCTGGTAGTTGCTTGCAGTGAGCCATCAAGTACGAGAGCATCCTTGACAATCGTGTTTGTTAGGTCCGTTGTGATATAGATGACTTTAGTAATCTCTTCAAATACCTTCTGAATATTTTGACCAGTTACTGCACTTGTTTCAAAGTAAAGCACACCAAGATTTGCTGCAAACTTTTCTGCCTGTCTGCGAGCAACTTGGCGTCGGTCATCTTCATCAGCTTTGTTTCCCACTAAGATCATTCTCTTATCATCTATGTCATCACCTGGGTGAATGAGGTTTAGCATTTCAGGAATGCTTTTTTCAAAGGACTGTCTATTAGTTACGTCAAAGACAAGCAAAACGCCGACAGCTTCCCGTAAATAGGAGGGAGGTACACTTGAAAACGCCTCTAGTCCGGCAGTGTCGACAACCTGTAACTGAAACTGTCTTCCATACACCTTGATGTTTGAAAAACGTATATCGAAACCAATAGTTGATGCCACTGTATCATCGAAGCCGTGCTCGACAAACCGTTTGATAATACAGGTCTTTCCGGTCGCTACTTCCCCAAGTGTGATAATTTTGAAAGTAAGAGGCTGGTTTGGTTTTCTTTGCAAGGCAACGGCCCTCTTCCACTCAATTTTTAACATCTTGGCTTTTTGGAGCCAGTCTACAACCTCCTCGGCATTTAATCTTTCGTCACTTTTGTCTTCAATGCAGCGAAGCACGAGTCCCTTAAGTCTATGATCGCCCATCTGACGTATGTCATCTTTGCGACGTTCCGTTTCAGGAATGCGTCGGCCAGCTGTTTTTTTTTTCAGCAAAGAAAATGAAGATAAGATAAGACTCTCTTAAATATCTAAAATCGTATTCACTTTTCTGAAGAGTCGTGTCATTTCATTATCAATGTGATAAGCCTGGTAAGGGGATTTTGATCAGAAACCGCCAGTGAAAAATTGCGTGATGAAGCTCACCGATTTAATATGCCCTTGGGTGTTTTAACTTTCGCGTCTTCCCATAAACGTATGGCTTAATTTACCTATTTTAATATGTAGGAACAATTTTACAATAAATCAGAATAATTGTATACGTACCGGTATCAAAAGCCGACTCTGGGTCACACTTTGGTTCTCGTCCATTTATTGCCTCCATGAGAACGACTCCAAAGGAAAAAATGTCGATTTCCGTACTGTAAACGACTCCTGGGTTTTGAGTCCGGGTTTTTCGTTTTTTTATGCGGCCAGGTTTCTGGAGCAGCATATACTGGAGTTCCGGGAACTGGGGAGGCCAACATTCCTGTCGTTTGCTTTCGCTGAAAGAACTTGGCGAGACCAAGATCAGCTATTTTGGCTTGCCTTGTTTTGGTTAAGAGGACATTTTTACTAGCTAAATCTCGATGAACAATCGCAGGATTGCATTCATAGTGAAGATAATGAAGCCCCTGAGCAACATCCAGCATAATGGACACTACTTCAGGAAATGGAATCTTCTCGGGCTGAAGGTTAGTGATATATTTCTCCAAATCGCAGTCCAAAAGTTCGGTGATAAGAACAGGAGGTGAAGAATGCGAAATGTTGAATTGTATCACCTTAACAACATTCTTATGATTGAGTCGTTGCAAGAGTTCGCATTCTTCTCGAAATTTGTCAATAATGCTGTCACAAAGCAAAGACGTATGCAGCTCTTTCACCGCTACAGGTTCGTTGTCCAACGTTCCTTCATAGACTCTTCCATAGCTCCCACAACCGATCTCAGTTTTCAGTTTGATATTTGCCTGCATTTTTGAGTTTAACATAGTGACCATTTATCCTGTTTGCTGCTGTTCGAGCGAGACGGGAGGCGAGCAAGCAAGGCGAGTAATTTAGTACCCAGTGCCAGCGGACCATAACCCAATCCTTTACCTAGAGTAAAATATTCATGAACAATCATAAATAAAAGGACGCTAAATTCATATTTTGGTTAAGTTTTATTGGAATTACCATACGTTTATCTTAACAAGCCAATCGGGTTTCACTTATCGCCTCGTGAAGTAGTTCACGCAATTATTTAATCGACTGTGGAGCATATGCAAATCTCAAGTCTGAAATATGTCAACGTTTAACAGTCTGTTTTCAGCAACTAACGCAAAAGCTTTTGCCCCGTTTCCTTAGTTCCAATTCCCAAGAAGCACGAGACTTCACGATGAAGTAGATATAGAAGAAGCAAAAAGTTTTGGTTGATAAAAGAGCATGCGCTGTGAGGACCAAAATAGCCAGATTTCGGCTACGCCGCGAGTCGACCCAAGAAACGGAAGTTGACTACCAAATCAATTTCTACATTTTTACTGGCTGTTGTCAAGAGTTCATAATATTGCTATTGTGAAAGTTTAGAACAAACACTTTCTATAATCGATGGTCTTGCCTTCAAAGACTTACATATCATTCAAACATTAAGTTCCACGTTTAGCGCTTCGAAAACTAGACAAGGCATCTAGAAGGGTTTCGTTCACAAATACGGTGGCGGATGTCACCTGTCGTCGAACCAAGCACCTGTAAAAACACTACGGACAAGGACAAAAAGGGAAGAAGAAGAGAACAACAACAGAAACAACAAGTTTTACTACATTATATTTTGTTTGGGAGGGCAACTTATTCCTGGCATTAAATAAAGACAGTTTATGATCAGTTTTATTGCGAGCGGTCTACATTTGTGGTAACAAAACTTTTTTTTGTAAAAAATCTAGCCCTGTGATATTAGTTCGAAAAATTATTTAATTCTGTATGGAAAACAGAACGGGTCAGAAACAATGTTCCCTTGAGCTCCCCTCCCCCCGGGGATTAAACAAAGCTTAACTGGATGAAAAGCGGAGTTTACTAAGTGTATCCATCATTGCTTGCCTGACGTTTCTATTTTTCCAGCAGTACAGCAACGGGTTCAGAGACGAGTTAATGACGGTAAATAGACCCGCATAAGTCAAAGCAAGGAACACAGGAGAAGATAAGTCCTTGTGGATTGTAATAACTGCAACAATACTGTAGGGCAGATAACAAACAACCAATGCTACTTGTACACACAATGCACTGGACACTGCCCTTCTGTATCGAGCTATGTTCAGTGGGACTACAGCCCCTGCTATACTTGGTCTTCGCTGAGGAACAAGATTTTGTACTTGATTTTGATATTTACGAAGAATAAGATAAATTTTTGTGTAACAAAATATGGAGATCGCTAGACACAATGATATAGATATGGCGCCACCCCAAACAGTTTCAGCAAGCGGCTTAGAATCGTAGTTCGTCGTTTTAACGGTAGATACAATAGTCCATACCCAAATCACAGATACAACGATAAATGTTTTTTTCAAGGTTACAACTTCCTTATATCTGAGCTGTAGTAGCAAAGCGAGAAGCCTGTCGACTCCAATTGCAGGTGTTATCGTCAAAGATACTCCACCCAGGATATAAGCCATAATGACGCTTGTTTTTATTATGTAGCGACACAAAGTTCCTTGTTCAATAATCGCAGATAAGCAACAAATTACCTTTAGAGGCTGAACGATAAGACCAACACACAGATCAGTTATAGCTAGGTTACAATACAAGAAGTTGGAGGCCGGGTTGAGTGAAGATTCCTTGTAAAGGGCAATTAAAGCCAGAATATTTCCCAAAAACGCAGTCGCGGACACAAGCGTATTCAGTACTGCTAGAAATATGAAATGGTTGTGCACCTCTCTTATTAATTCTCTCGAGCAATAAAAGTCAGAAATCGTATTCTCCCTTAGTTTCGCTCCAGTAACGTTTTGGAGCAGCATTTTGCTGCAATTGGAATAGGATATATTATGAAAGACTTATACATTGAGTGTAAATAACTGATGGATGATTTTTTCGACCCCACTATTATAACACTCTTCCATTAGAAGGTGAACAACAGATCCGGAACTTTGTCGGCGAAGCGTTGTCGGAATAATGATGGAGACTTGAAAAGCTTTTATTTTCCTTTGACCTGCGACAGTTTTTTTGGAGTGTTTTCCATACCTATTCAGAACGTGCCGGAAAACCAATTTAATGCGCCTTTCCAGTGTTTTGAACAGGCTTTTATTTTCAATAAATAGAAGAAGTGACATCATTTTGAGGATAGCCAAAGTCAGAGAAAAGATGAATAAAAAAATGAGTGTTTTTTGCGAATCCTTTTGTGCAACAAAGAAATTTCAAAGTGCGTATGTATCACATAAGCTTGTTTGACGTAGAAGTTGTTTGGACGTGACCAATACTGAGTTCCGCTTTTATTACTTAAAGCAAAGCTATAATGACTTCCCAGAAGACCTCTACCATTGTTGTCTAATCACTCTGCAGTGGAACGAGATCAAATTATTTTCACTCTAATGTACAACACCGCAGACAAAATCAGAAATAGGCATCTCGTTTATTAGATAGCAATTGCAAAAAAAAACTACAGCAAAGCGAGCGGCATATACAAATAAGTCACTTACAATTCATCGCAGAAAAAGCTAAAACTATCAGAATAAATCTATAACGGACTTAATTTATTATGTTACAACTGCAAAAATGCACACTGAACAGAGATATTTGCAAAAATTAAACGTGAATTAAGAAAAAGAAAAAGGCTATCGAGAAAATATCTGAAGCACGCTAAACAAACGACGTCATGGAAAAAAAAACTAATGATAATAAACACAAACTAGAGAATAAGAAAAGAATAAAGCACAAGGCAAGGCGAAAGCGAACAAAATCCGCAAAAGAAAAATAAAGCGAAATCTATATTGACTTCCCAGAAGACTTCTACCACTACAGTAAGAATGGCTGGATTTGTACGACGGAGGATGATGTATACGTAGTCAATTGATTTCAGGGGTAGGGGGATTTCCATCGCCGATCTTTTTCAACCGACGAAAACAAAATACGTCAAATAACAGAACAATTGAATAACACCTGACGCTTCCCCTCCGCCTCACCCAAGTCAAAATGCCATTCTGACGTTTACTTACCAAACCAAACCAGTCTCTGTAGAGCGGCTGTGTCACGGCTATCTAGTTAAATATGTTAAAAGTTTGCCAGTTACACATCCCGCTTTATACAGCTAAATCAAAAGAGGTGTATTTGGGCATATCGAACAATGCAATGATTTACTTCAGTGACCACCAAACAATATGCCCAATGCCCGAAGCAATCTTTATTGAATCAGCTCAGTATATCGCTATGGAACCTGACAAAACACTTGTGAATGGACAAAATCACAGCTTCGTGTAAAACAAACATGTCTCCCATGCATAATACTAGTAACAGTTGACACTACAGCTGCCCCCGCTCTGTATATTGTCGGTCAATAGTATTCTTACTCGTTGTGTAGCTCTTTGAAATATATCGATTCATAATGAAGATTTTCACACATATTCCATACAACAGCTGAGATGAGATAAATACAGGGAACGCAAGGTTCCATGCACAATTTCAGTTCGATTTACACAGCTTTGATCAAATATTCTCAGTTTCGAGAATAGTTTATTCTCAACCATAAGGAAAGATTTAATTAGAAGTTGAATTTTTCGCTATTTCTCTTTCACTTTTTACATTCAGTTCATTGCCTGGAAGTAAGCCTTAGAAATAAAAAGGACGTTTGATCAATTCACGCTTGCGCATTCTAGTCTTATTTTGAAATTTATAACGGAAGGACATCTTTGGGCAGGGAATAAGTTAGCACAGAATTTGATTGTCGGCGAACTTCCGTATAAATCGTCCATTGTCCTGCTAACTGAGTCTTATTCCGGTCAAAGAGAGAGAAAGAGCGTCTGGCAAGGTTTCCAATCAAAGATTTGTGAACTCATGTCTGGCAAACTCTCCAAGTGTTTATATATACACAGTTATACGCACCTTATAACTTCATCTGCGCTTAACGAGCGTCTCTTGGTCCATAACTTTCAAAACAACTGCTCCACAGAATGTCACTGATAACATGTAACCCAAAAGAGTATCCAAGTATGACTGCACAATAAATGTCGCAAAACTATGATCTACATAAGCGGTCCCTTGGGGATTTTCTGTCTTTACGTCATCCTAACCATTTCGTACTTGCGGGCGCGAACAAGAGAAACGTCATCATTACCTACCGATTCCTCGCGGCCCCTGTTCAAGCAAATCGAGATTTTTTCTAGCATAGTGACTGTATATTTCAACTGTAAGTATTTTCCTTAATATACGCGCGAGTTACTAGAGTGCCTCCTCGGGATTCCGCCTTCTGGGCAAAATCCCTGCGGGGGCAATCAAACGTTACCGACTAAAAAAATGAACTTTGCAAAACGGCTAACAAGTTTTCGAAAACCACAATACTGCAATTCGTTTTAGTCTTCGTCAAGTTTGTTCTCCATCCATGCCTCCAGTTGTATTTATATGTTTCATATTTGGGGAGTTATTTTTATGTTTCACTTAGTTTAGCAGGGGCACCCAACGACGGTTTCCTCCTAAATGCATTGAAAAGTCTTTTTTACCCAAGGGCGATCTGTAGACTTTTTTTCCTATAAAAATCTGTTTCATACTTGAGGCTTTTCGAAATTACAAGGGCGTCAGTGTTCTTTTCCCGAAACTTTTTGAACGTTTTACGAAAGTGAGAATTTTTCTTATTTCTCTCTCCATCACACTTTTGAATTCGAAAAGTTTAGGTTTCCTTTTTTCTACGAAAATTAGCTAACCAGTAAAATGTGAAAAATTAAACTTCAGAGAGTCTTTGGGAATTTTTTAGATAAGCTTCGAAAATTGTACCTGAATGAAACGCTCATCTAGACATTTTTAGCCGTATTCAAACAATAGAAAATTCTAGGCAATATTTAACAGAAAACAGTTGTGGTTGCCCATGGTTTGGTGAACGATAAGGCAATAAGCTTTGAACATATCGCTAAAATATGATTAATAATCATATGGCAATGTTCATGAGATGTTGAAGGTAAAAAAGGCACCCACCTTAAGAACCAGTCTCTGCAAAATCCTTATACTGATTTATGCCAACAAAATAGATCTCGCTCATAATTTTTCGGTAGACTTGTTTCAACAATTATATTACAAATATGAAAAAAGATTATTCACCTCGGTGAAAATGCAAATTTTTTTTGACAATTTAATTCTTTTTTGGCACCAAGGATCTAAAAAGCCTTTGCAAAATGCGAATCTTGTCAAACTTCAACCGATTGTTCCCAATTAGCTCCGGTTACACTATAGCCATTTTACCCTTGGGTAACAGGTTTTTACCCACGGAACTTTTTGTGTTTGAACGATTTTCCCGAGATAAAATTTTGTCGGGTAAGTTTGCATGGATGCGTCAAAAAGAACAAAAGAATTCCTCATGACAGTTCTCGAGGTTCTATGGGTTGATACACTGCACAGCAGAGTGGCTGAACCTTAATTAGGAGAAAGTGAATGAACCAAACAATAGAAATCACGTGTCGTTTACTTGCTATGTTCATCTTGGCGCCAAATCCTACGAGTAACTGGAATTACAATCCGGACTGACTCGTTCCCAGTCTTCTCTTATTAGCGGACACAGAACGGTCGTGGGAGACTACTACGGCATCTCCGCGAAGAGGATGATGGGAAGGAGAGAAAAAGGAATACTTTCTCCTTCCCATCACCCCTCGCGCTCCCCTTGACCGAGCTTTGCTCGTTAATATTCATAGTAGACTGAGAGACATTTGGGGACGAGTCAGATCTGGAGTAGTGGATGCCGAACTTCTGGCACTTCCGGGAAGTGGAGATTCTTTGATCGCGCAAAAAGAATTACGTGAGGCCAAGATCGGTGAACAAATGTCACGCTCTCATAATTCATTTTCTACGTTTAGTGGCTTGTAACCACTTTGATTAACTATTAGCGCTTGAAAAAAGTGTCGTCTCTTGGTTAAACATCTTTTAATTCAAGGATTATTTTAACATATTTACTTTAAATTTATCTTCTACCTCAAAAGGGACTTTGTACGAAAGTATAAACATAAAGTACAAAATTTAACGGCGTGCTTATAACAACAAATTCAATATTCGCCGCCTATCAACTAACACAACAACTGGTTACGTAAAAAAGGTCTAACTCAGTTTAACTGAAAGTAACACATATCTGGTGCAAAAAACACTCGTTCCAGAATCGAAACAAAGTGATTAAAAGCGTGCATCACAAGATCAACTCATCACCGGATCACCATACGGCGCACTTGTCTTCGCCGCGGTTCATCTCTTTGCTGCTTGAACAGCTGAAGGCTTTTGAAAACCTTTCAAAGTTGGACAGCGACCCAATCACCCTGCAAAAGAAGGGATCAAGATGATCAAATTGCTAGATTGTTGGTAGCTATAAGCACTGTCCCAACCCACCCTCTCCCGCTTTTAATTTACTTCCGGAAAGCGGGTTAGAGGTACGTAGGGTTTTAGAAGGGAAGCCTCAAAAGACAGAGGGGGCTAATTTAACTTTAACTTAGTGAAACACCAGAACTTGAATCAAATATATTTTCATGATTAAGAGATACACCTGAACCAGGTCAATTCCCTATTCTATAAACTATAGGGCGAAAGGGTAAAAGCTTTCGGCGCAACGATTTTTCGGACAGTTTGGGTCGACAAGCGTTAATTATGATTGGTTACTGGTTACCTTGAATACTCTCGACCGATCATAACTAACGCTTGTCGACCCAAACAATCCCAGACTAATCGCTGCCCCCAAAGCTTGTACCCGTTCTCCGTCGAGTTTCTGAGGTAGGGAATTGGAAACGATGCAAACCGCTAGGTATCATTTGTAAAGTACGAGGGGTGGGGTGAATGGGGGTAGGGAGGGGTATGCTGCATCCTTTCACTACCAAAGACAGTTTTGTTCAGATGTACTGTTACTATATCACAAAAAGAAATACAATTAATTAAACAGATAAAGCGGTAAAAGTGTCTAAGATTGTTAAGAATATAGACGTAATTACCTGTATTTATTATACGTGTGTGAGTCAGTCCTCAGTTGAAAAAGAGCCGCATCCTTTTTGTACACACTACACGATGGCTAACAAAGATTGGACAAGATATACATGCTTCGTGAGGACATCACGTCATGAAAGTCATCTTTACTTGTACATCTATACATTTTACAGACTGATATATCGAGTTATGTGTTGTGGGAGCAGGAAATTATTTCAAATAAGCAGTAAAAGTATACTGTAGAGGATGTAGACCAAGTAGCAAGTTTCACGGGAGAAAATTACAGAGGAAAGTTTGTTGCAATAATACACTCTTGTCTCTAGGTAGTGTTCGACATGTATATAACTCACCGTAGCGAATCCTATGAAGAAAAGTTGATCCACGCTCAAATTCAAGTCCGGTAGCTGCCCTTCCTTTTCGTTGTCCGACACCCAAGATTTATATGCCTGTATAAAAGAGGCAGGCAACATGAAACAGAACAAAGGCAGTTATACTGATAATATACAGTCAACTCTTTCTTAAAAGACTCGAGCGATACCTTCCTAAACCAGACACTTAGAGCTGAGCGGTCATGCCCTTTTTTACTCCTTTTATTCCATTATCTATCAGATGAACACCTCGATGAAACAGACACCTAGAGTCGGTCCCAACCTTTCGTTATTCCTTTTAGCTGACTCTCTATGAGACAAACACCTCGCTAAAACGGACACTAAGAGTGGCTCCCTGCCTTTAGTTAGTCCTTTAAGTTGACTCTTTATAAGACGGAAACCCCCCTAATACGGACACCCCGCCTTTCTTTACTCCTATTACTATTAGTTGACTCTATATCAGGATCATGACCCCCCTAATACGGACACTAAGAGTGGTCCCTATCTTTGACTCTTAGCCTGCGAATACAGCTATACCTTTCAGCAATCCTCGTCGTTGGGACATTTCACTAAAGAGGTCCCAAGCAGCGGGCAGTGATGAAATAGGGCTGAATTTGTATTGAAAAGAGGTTTTAGGAGGGTTTATAAACGGGGGGGACCTTTTATCCGGGGGGGCTTACAACTTGATATCCATGGTTCAAAGTAATCACCAGGCTAAGTGAACTACTACAAAATTGTAACCTATGTAACTGATTGAACCTTCAACGAATTAACTTTAATAAGATTCTTAACCCCCCTCCCCCCCCCAAAAAAAAGGTACTTTACTGATGCAAAATTTTGTGAGGAAAACAAATTGCATTACAGAACGTGAAAGCCGCAAACAGATACAACGAATATAAATTTCCCGTAGCTTACGTCATACGCCAGTTTTATCCCTCCGTTATCAGCTATGTTCTCATTCAAGGTCTGTTCACCGTTTATCTGTAAAGCAATCAAAAGGAACAAAATCATTGAACAGATACACAATATTGTGAGTACGTAGACCGGCGAAATGTCAGAATAAAAGCAAAAACCTGGTTATTCAAGAACTGGAACCAGTTGTTCAAAAGGTGGATAACGCTATCCACTGGATGAGTCTTATCCAGTGGATAACACGATTGGATCCACGGGATAGTGATCTATCCAGTGGATAGCATTATTCAGTGTTTAAACCACCGGGGCCTGGTAGTCAAGCCACGTGACACCCCTCGCGGCAAAAGGTTCTGAGGAGATTATGACAAAAGAGCGAGTACAGGTAACTACTTACATCATGCCCAAACACTTCATAATTGTTGTATTGATTAACAAGACAATAGGATTTAAGTAGGAAATTCCTTGTCGAGCTTTGAGACCACCAGTCTTTCAAATTTCCATCTTTATCAAAAAGACGTCCTGAACACACACAAAAAAAGAAACAAACAAACAAGTGAATAAATAACCTAAATAGGGACCTTATAATACGAAAAGAAACTTCTTTTTTTTTCTCTCCCCACCCCTACCCCCTCAAATCGGAAATCTCCTCTCTTCTGATCCTTAAGAAAGGCCTAATATTCAGACAGGTTTCTAATCCTCTGAAAACGTGCGCGCCTTTTCCGTTCACGCGCCAGCACTATGGAACGAATTGCCTTCAACATGTGCGCTTACCAGACTTCAATTGTTTCAATCCGAATCCAGACCAAAGTAAGTTCAGTTATAGTAACAACCGATTATTGAATGAAGATGGTATTAAGAATTATACAGATCGGGGTAGCCTGAGAAACGGCAACCCACGTTTCTCCACTGGTTGCGCGCGGGGAAACCGGTTGGAACGTCGTGAAATGTCGGCTGTCTCAGGTTCTCTAAGATCGAGTTAGGACTGCCACACTTAGACATTTTAACAGCATGGAATACAACAACTTGAGGAAATTAAAAGTTTAAAAAACGTTCAGGGGGTAGTTAATTGGCCAAAGTATCAAATTTGACAAGGTACCGTAAAATTCCCAAAATAAGCCCCCCAAACCGGTAACGCAAAAAACCCTCCGTTAACTCGCCCCTCCAAATATAAGCCCCACGGGGCTTGTTCTTGGAAAATTGCCCTCAAATACAAAGTAAAACAAAGCAAAAATGGTAAATTTCCTTCCAACTATAAGGGTAGCCCAATCGATTTTGAAACGCAAATTTCCCTCCGTAGATAAGCCCCTCCGAATATAAGCCCCTCCAAAAATAAGCCCCTCAAAAAGGGCCTTTGAAAAATATAAGCCTCGGGGCTTATTTTCGGAATTTTACGGTATATATGTACTCAGAAAGCCTTGTTTACCGCTGGACATGAAGTAATACTGAAATCTTAATCTTCAACGGTCACAGTTGTTGATACAGTAGCGAGAATGTCCTCAGGTTTCCTGGAAAAAGAGTCGAACAACGTGCTAAGTTCCACGATACGTAAAATATTACCTGAATTGTCGAACCCATGGGTAAGTTCATGTCCAATGATCATACCCAAAGAGCCATAGTTGAAATATCTGCAGAGAGACGGTGAAAATTGAGTTTGGCAAACAAAGCATTGCTTAATTCCACATCGATAGCCATTTGTAAATTAAACTATTTTGCGGTCGCACCTTCAGCTTCTCAAGAAAATACCTAGTAACACATTGGTCGGACAAGAGTACCCTCCCATGGTAGCTCGGTTTTAAGTCCCTGATGCGGAATCGAAACGAATGTTGTTGCCGGTAAACATTTTAGCGACGTAATTCACCCACTTGTCACCAACTGTCAGAACTGACCGGCCAGACCATCCCCGTCGTAATGAGAATTTCACTTTTAATCAAAACTAGCCAGCCAGACCAGTCAAATCTTAAATAGTATGCACGAAGGAGATGATTTTTCCGCAAAAACTCTCGGAAAAAGCCGATATCATTTGAGAGTTTAAGCTTCACGTATACAGCAAACGGCAAAAGTCAGATTTAAGTTGAGAATTTCTCAAAATAGAAAATAAGCAGATAAAAACAGCTCAAAACAATTATTATGGATAAAAAAATTGCGTGAAACTGCTAATTTATCTGTAGAAATAATGAACAGTAAACGACAAGTTATGGGGAAACTTGGTCACGTGGTTTGCCGTTTGACGTAAACGTGATGCTTAATCTCTCTATTGCATAAATCGACTAAGATGTGCTTCTTGTTGCTGGGATTCAGACTTGAACCCAGGCCTAATAGCCACGCGCTTGGTACAGTGGGCTCAGTTATGACTATCTGTTGATCAATAAACGGATGCTCGCACTCAGCTGAAAACCAGTTTGACGAGAGGGAGAGAACAAGATTGTCTAGTCCAGAACTACAATTCTCCAACTGCAATTCAGGCAGATCCTCCTATCTCCTCCACACTAAAAAAGACTTAAGGGTTTTGCGGGGAGTATGACTGAGCTCGACTTCAACCAGCTGCAAATTACTGTGATTTTTATACAGTTTCTAATAAATTTTATCTAACGCTTTTTATTTAAGCACAGGCCTCAAGTATACCTACTTTGGATAATTCTTTTTGTAGAAGGGAGATTGTAGGATTCCAGCCAAGAACACTGTCAGAGACAAACAAACCTGATTGATTCAATTCTGCTATCTTTCTTTTTTTGAAAATTGAAATTAGTCTTTAATTAAGTCAGTATCAAGGATAAAAAATCGATAAGCATTTGCAAAACATTCATTCCTGAGCTGATCATTTCCTTAAAGTCAGACCAATCAATAGCAAGTACAGTAGAGCTTCAATCGATAACTCGAACTTGGATAACCCGAATTCCCCGCTAACTCGAACTAAATTTCCTTTCCCTTGATCAAATTTCACTGAAATTTACCCCGATAATTCGAATTCCTAGCTAACTCGAACTGTTTTCGTTTCCTTTCAGAGTTCGAGTTACGGGGTTCTACTGTATTTGAGTCAAATGAACACCACTGTAAATCCCAATACGACTGAATCAACTGTGTTGATTAAAACTTTTACTGATACAAACTCCTATTCAACTGATTAGTACTTGTTAACTCATTTGAAACAGATTTCTACTCACTTGAGTCACTTCACAAATACGATAAAATATTTGCGACCAATTGGTATTAGCTTTAAAACTGCTAATTGTTTACCCTATGCTTTTTTTATTGCCGTTCTCTTTGACGTCGCCGTCGTCGCTGACTAAGTGGACTGACCTTCTTTTTCAATGCTTCATTTGGGAAAGACCTACCTATGCGATTCTGCTGCGGACTGTAATAAGCATTGATTTGCGCAGGACCGTTTAACCACCTGAAAGATGCACAAGAAATGTTACAGAATAATTGGCAAGCACGAGAGCCGTGCAACCATCGAGTTATGGTTCAAGGTTACAACCTCGTCCAACCTCCTACCCATAACCTCCTTCCCATGAAGAAAAGCCTTGGGAATTGCTACCACTTTGAAAACCGAAAGGCGCTCGTAGATGCAAATCGCATTGACTTAAAACGCATTAAATGAAACACGACTTAACTAAAAAGGACTAAGAGACTCTTTACAAACGCTATCCTCCACCGTGCCTTCGTAAGCTGCGTGTTTAACAATTCTTTTAAAAAGAGGCAGTACTATACGCATTATGGGGATACTGTCGCTGAAACACAAAATTGCACTGGACAGAGAGAAAGAAATGAACTAAAAGTACAGGAGAAAAATTATTTTAATCAACGACAGCATCGATTAATGGAACAACTAAACGTACTGTGTATTCAGCCTTATATAGTATTTTAAGCACAGTAAATCGCCAGTGGAACTTACTTATTTCTATCTACTGTTTGCCCAAGCATTCCCAAATTTTTCTGGACCACCATCTTGTTCAATGCCAAAGTGTTGTCAAAAAAATCATCGCTTACAATCAACTGGTGATGGGAGAGAAAGATTAAATTAAATTTTGGTAAACAATATTAAACAATAATATATAAATATAAATAAGTGCTGAACAAGCCGAAGTAGGATATAGGTACATAGAAACCAGTAAAAGACAACAACAAAAAACAGTCAAGAAGTTGTCAATTGTAAGGTAACTAAAGAAGCCACGGTCACTTTTGCAAAACTAGCCAATCAAATTACGGGAATAAAGCAAAATATTCCAATAAACACCTTTTTAAAGGGGTAATTTCACAGCAGTGTAATCCCGCGGGGGTAGGGGAGGGGGGGGTTGTTACTCAAAAAAATTTACGAGGAGGCTCTACCCCGAGGTCCAACCCTTTCTTTGACAAATGTTACCCTCTCGCCTCTCGCATACCTAGTTTAAAACTTTGAAACCCTCCCCACCAGTCCAATCCATTGCCTTATAGGTTTTTTTTCCAAATACTTGCCTCTTCGTTTTTTGATTTTTAACGCGTTTGATCTCAATCGTCACTAAAGTGTTAACGTATATATATACACGAAACTAGAATATATCCACATCTTCAATTTCGAGACTCAGTCAAGAATGAAACAAATTAAATCAAACACAACCATCAAAGGATTTGCTCACCATAGAGTAAAGCGCGTCAAGTTTGCTGTCATCTTTAATGAAAGAGGGGTACCCCACATCCTCTTTTATAGCATTGGCCTGTAACACCAAAAAAGGATAAATGGTCCGCGTCATGTCAAAATTAAGTTCAGGTAATTTTTTTTGACTCAATTCTTCATCTCTTTTGTCTTCTAACCTTAATAGGCCACTTCCGAGTTCCAAATACCCTCACTTTCAAAATGAGGCCAAGTGCAGAACCTTTCTTGTGAAAATGAGTTTTATTTGCATGGGAATGAAAAATCATTTCCATATGAAAGGCTGAGCACTTAACCTCGTATTCATACAGAGGCCCGAGGGAATTCGGAACTCGGCCTGTTAGGCCCTTCCCGAATTCCAACAACTCTCACTTTCAAAACGCGGCTAAGAGAAAAACCTTTGTTGAGAAAATGAGTTTTATTTGCACGAGAATGAAAGAGGGCCACAAGTTTATTAGCTTCGTCTATTTAGTGTCAACTCCCACCAAATAAAGTCTTAATCTTATCTTATCTTATTTTTATATCAATGGCCTCGCACTTAACCTCGCTTTGAAATAGAGGCTTGGAGCAACTCGGAAATGGCCTTGAAGCGACCAATCCTATGGGAGTTGAACCTTTTTCTTATGTAAAAATTTCTTTTGTTCCAATAAATATGCATAGATGCTGATCACGTGAGCGCGCTTAGTGTTTTCACATGACGTCACGGTGGCCATATTGGTGTCTCGAAACAATAAAACGGCGGCCATGTTTGTGCCCCAAACCAATCCTGTTGGAGTTGAACTTTTTTTCCTATGTAAAAACGTTCATTTGTTCCAATACATTTGCATAGCTGCTTGTCATGTGAGTAAAAACACTCTATAAAAGTGTTTTTACTCACAACTCCCACAGAATTGGTCTGGGACACCAACATGGCCGCCGTTTTATTGTTTCGAGACACCAATATGGCCGCCGTGACGTCATGTGAAAACACTCCATTAGGGCTAGGGGGCAAAGGTCATAAACAGAGTAAAGGATTTAGGAAGTATGTCACACACACCAAACGTTCTAGGAAAGGTTCCTTCACCGTTTTTTTTCATCCCTGGGTGCTAGCATACCTTTTCTTTAGCGGCATCTTTTGTACTCTTGTCCATCCAGTCTTGTGAACCAAGGTTATTAATAAAAGATTTGCGAACACGAGTGGTCATATCCTTTACCTAAAGCAAATAAAAAATAGGTCGTCGCTCATGTAATGATTAAGCTTAGCACATCTTGAACATAGTGACCGGTATATTGTATATTTGAGTCCAAATTTGGGCTCTTTCAGGTGGGATTTTAAGCAAAAATTATTCTTTCATGTAGGAGTACATTTCGCAAACTCACTAATAATTCATCAAGAAAATACAAAGGAATAAATCTTTAATGAGTGTTTGGAAATCAGATGAAAAACGGCTCATTATGGCATCCTCAAATTCTCCTTCTAAAATCGTTTAGTTTGAGAAGTTATATAAAGCATGAGACACAGTGTTTCATTACCAGATGAAACACCTCGAAGTTCCTCAAAAATAATCTGCTGCGCGTCGTATTTGCAACTCTCTTCGCGGTGTTTTCGTGATGAAACACGAAATCTCATGCTTGATATATTACGTCACAAAGAGACTATGGGAAGAAATCAACCTTCCAAATCCGACTCCTGGTTCCACGCCAGTTTTGAACAATGCGACGATATACTTATGGTCGATAGGGGTAGAGGCCATAGCAAAATTGTCATCGATTTGTTAAATATCATTGGTAAATGAGCAATTCGTAAACAATAGCTGTGGTTACAAACCAAGGAGCAATTTCTCGTGGTCATTCTCCTGAGAAGAACTGACCACAATACGTTTCATTCTAGCGCAAGGCGCTGACTCCCCTGCGTCGACTCCTGCGAGGGAAATTTACAGCCACTCGACTGAATATGTTTTCAGTGTCATTTACTTTCACTAACATCCAGAGATTAGCGTCACGTCTTTTCTCCCGACCAGACCGACTACCCGGGATCTCTAAATATGGCCAGAAAGAAGCAGTCACACACCCGGTTTAATTTTTCCCGCGATAAAAAGGATCCTATACATATACCGCGGGAAAAGGGCTCGATTTAACCGCAACGAATAACATCACTTTACCGTCGATTTAGTGTTCTCATCAAAATGTGCATCAACAAACATCCGCGCTATTGTCATGTCCATTGGTGCCATCAATCCTTGGATACAGGCCGACCATCTCTGATATTCTTGCACCCCAGCCAGAGCTTCTGCAAACTTAAGCTTAGCCTTAACAAATACTTCAGGCATTGCTACAACGTACTTGGAAACAACTTGCCATATTATGTAGTTCTTGATGACATCACTTCGGTCGTGGTAATTAAAAAAAAGAATAGAGAGTATTAGATTCACATTCACTGCAAAGGACAAATTTATATTAATAATTTCTTATAATTGAAACAAGCAGATCAAAACTGTCCGAAATCATTCTTATGCATGAATCTGGCTTGAGGCTACAAATTTTTGCCTGATGAGTATAATTAAACAAATGAACAGTAAGCCTGCAGGCACAGATTTCCAGAGTCCATTATAGGTAATAATCAATAGAGGAGATTTCCCTCGTTTAAATTTTCAGTGATTCCATTATCGCACTCTCGTGGCGCTTGCCAAAGGTTTGAACTGGCCGACTAGACCGCGCCGATCTCAAAAGTTGAGCATTACATATCGGATAGGTTCTGTGCCACACTTTTGTACAGTGTGAACAGGTATTGGGACCGTAGCATATATCTTGCCTGGGGCCCGTTTCTCGAAAGTCCCGATAATTAACGGGCCCGGTAAGCCGTGTCCGTTTATATTAAAGATCGAGGTTTCAAACGTTTTGCATCTAGCATGATAGAACTATCAGTTAGTGAAACAAAATGGAGTAGTTTGCTAGCCAGGACCCGTGCTCTTGTTCTTTATATTTCGATTTGAATATTTGATTTCGGGCCCGAAAAGTTACCGGGACTTTCGAGAAACGGGTCCCTGAGCTGTCACTGCCTCCGTTTGAATCTACACGAACTAGATATAAAGCCAGTACACGTTCATGGAAGCCTGTACTTTTTTTTTTCCTTCAGATACGTGAACAGCCTCTTGATTCAAATTAGCAGTTACCAAATAATCAACATGACCGTTGTAATCAGCGGGCAGAGGCAAATTTAATACACAGTTGAAACTGTCGAGCAACCCAAACGGTGGCGCTGAGTTGAAGTTATTCACGGTCTTCAGCGAAAATGGATTGGAAATTAATTGCGTACGATCATGAATTTTGAAATGTGAATTATCTATATTTGTATTATGAAATTCTCCTACATCACCGGTTTTATCTCTTTCGAAGTTTGGATCCAATGTCAAAACCATTTCAGCTGCTAAGGTGAGGCGGGAATCACTTTCTTGCAGTTCTACCATGCTCGTGATGTTAAAATCGCTGTTATTCTTCTGCTTAGTTATTTCGACACTGGAACCATGCGAGTTTCAAACACCGACCCGAAATGAAAATATATAAGTTAGCCGGAACCTGAAATAGTGACTCGTAGTTCGTACAATTACAGTATGTGGGCAGAGAACGGACGTCCGAACTTTCGGGGTTTGTTTACAACAAAGGTTATCAAAAGTCACGTGAAACTACACCTGAAATCTGACGCTCAGAGTGAATTTTGTTACCTATCCAACCAGGAAATTTTGGAAGTCACGTCCACCCGCCCGTCCGTCCGCACCACGGGGAAACACAATCAACAGGTATGGAAACCCAAATGCAACTAGAGATTTTTTTGGCGGGAAATCGCATGGCCAACTGCGTCTTGTGAAGCAGAGACAATTAAAGAGTCAATAAAGACAAAATGAAAGGCGGAAATTGTTTCTATACGCGGGTTGTCTAAAGTATCAAGCTTAGATTAATTAGCATTTCCACAAATTTGGAATATAGAGAAAGAGAAAGACAGAGAAAACGAGAATGTAGGCGAAAGGCTAAGGAAGCTCAAGGAGAAAAAGAGCGATAGAGAGCTAGACCAAGAGATTAAACATAAAAGAGACGAATTTCCTTGGAAGAACAACATGAAAAGTTTATACCGGCGGTGAGAAAATGAGAAATGCTACTGGCCAACAAAGCTAAATCTATATATTATTTCTAATCATCTCAGTGTAAACTCATGGCCGAAGAAGTAAAAATTGTATGCATTTCAAATTGGAAACACATTAATCATTATTATAACATCAATGGGCGGGGTGTAAGGCTAACAGTTCGTCTTTCCATCGACCAAGGCCCAGTTGTTCTAAAGGTGAATAAAGCAATTGGTTTCCCTAATACTTATCCGCTGGATAGCGATTTAGCCGGAGGATAACGCTATCCACCGTTTGAACAATCCGGGCCAGATTTTAAATACTCACAAGCGCACATATGAAGCATACGTGTCATGTATACTCTTGAATATTGGTGCGTCACCGTCCTCTTCCTGTGTGTAAAAAACTTCCTCACTTCCACTAAATATTTTCTGTTGGTTGGAAAAGGCGGTGTTCAGATACCTTTTGATAAAGGAGGTCTGCAAATAGGAGGAAAAAAAAAAAGCTTTCAGGGCTCGTCTAATACGTCCAAGATGTTGTTCCAGCCTCATCTGACCTTGTTTGATGTAACATATACCGCTTTCGTTTAAACGAGTCATTGGAGTTCAGCGTTCCAATCTACGCCATTCTTAAAGAGGTGGCGTAAAGGTTCTCCCTCAAATAACAGTAGAACGTTTTGAGCCCTGTCGGTGCCATGTGCAGTTTACTTTCGACAAGTTTACTTTGCTAGATAACATACTGTATACTGCACTCATTTAAACGGGTACTTAAATGTGAGCGTCTTTTTCTGTTCTTAATCCCAGTGCTCCCTCAACACCAGTAAGTTTGGAGTCCTATTGGTGCCATGTAAAGTTTACTGTAGGCTATTTAACTTTGCAAGATAACATATTGAATCATTTACATTCGTTTAAACAGGTCCTTTGAGTTCACTGTCTCTTTCTCTAACCCCGCCATTCTCAAGAGGTGGCGGGGTGCTGCTGCCTTAAGTTACCGGTGAAAATGGAGTCCTATTGGTGCAAATCATCGACATGAAACGGATGGGACGAGCACACCATTTGAGAGGGTGTCACGCTTGCGCTACCCTGTTCTTTTGACTTACATGTGCGTGGTCAGTTTTGATGAATGACGTGCATTTTTCTACGTAGTATCAACCCCGCAGCGTCGTGTTCCTTCGATAACTTCAAAATTACCCAGCTGTTTGTCACAAAAAAACAGCGGGTAGGACGATGTATATTTTTATGGCAAAAATGGCTGGATATTTATGGAGGAGGGAGTTGGTCATATACATAAAGAGTTCAAAGGCATGTTAACTCTATATTAGTTGACTGATACATAATGAGAATAAATTCTAACCGTGAAACCTGATGCATCACTAAAATCATACAAGGTCTTGTCCAGAGAATCTAATGATCGCCCCGAACGATGATATTGTTTAACTGTCTCTATCATATCCTCTGAAAAGGTGTCAGGATCATAGGCCTAGGTAAAAGACAGGAGGCAAGCACTGTTACATTCTTTGAGCCAATGATTAACAATTATTCCTTGAGCCAGAATGGGCTATTGACTCAGGGGCCATGAAGGCGAGAGGATTAATTTTTTTAGTAAAATCTAAGTAGTTGGTTAAAAAAAATCGACACAAAACAACTTTAGCTAGCAAAACGCGATTCAGCCGCCATTGTTTTGGTTTTCAAAGCCGGCGCTTTTCGCTACTAATGGGCTATAACATAGAGCCTAGTAGTGGCTCAACCAATCAGAACGCAGCATTGATAATAGACCACTAGTTGGATTTTACTAACAGATAATAGTAATAGATGAAGTGTAGTTGTAGTTGTAGTTCAATTTGCTTTCGCAGGAGTTACAGCTAAATTCATAGATACTGAAATTTCCCTCAAATGCGCTTCTCAGCGACAAGGAGAGCGTTCCCCAGTTACAGAAGCGCTTTATTTGAATGTCAATGTATTTAGCAAGAAAGTACTAACTGGGTACACCATATTTACGTCTCCTACTGGAGACAAGGCAGCCATTTTACGTGTTCATCCGAGCTACGCGAAGGTCCAATCATTTGCAGGGCAAATGCAGTACCTTCATTTCTCAGTGATTTTATTAAAGACACTGAGTATTGGTCCGGCCCCGGGAATCGAACCCAGGACCTCCCGCTCTTATACAGTGAAGTGCCAGCTCTGTCGACCGAGCTAACCCTGCCGCGGTTGTAAACGTCCAAAAAGGTTCGGGACTTGTGAAACGTAAGTGTATCTCAGTTACAACCATGATTCAATGCTTGTTTATTTGAATGCCTGGAACCAACAAAAGTTTGGCATGATATTCACTCTTACACAACTACAACTTCAAACAGGGGTTTTGACATTCCATTGACGAAACTGTGACGTTGAAAACCGTTACAAATGATTGGCTTTGGTAACCATGGTAACCAGCTTGTACATTAAAACAGGGTCTGGAAGGGTATTTCCGGGATCCGGGATTTGACCAAAATACAATTCGAGATTCGGGAAACGTTAAACGGGATCCGGGGTTTCATCAAAATACAGTTCGGGATTCGGGAAACGTACCTTAACGGGATACGGGCTTTGACTGCTACCCGGAAAGCGGGATTCGCCAAAATTTGGGCGCGGATGCGGACTGGGAAAGTGAACGATATTCGGGGCGGCGATGATAGAAGTTCGGGATGAGGGATTCTCGTGAAAAAGAAGCGGGATTGCGGGATCAGGACCTACCCCCTTCCCTCTTCCGGATTAAAAGAGCCGTATAACCTACCTTAGCAAGTTTCTCCTCGAGGTTATATATCTCATCCATTCTAGCGGCCACGGTAGAGCGATTACCTCCAAGTAAGATGCCTATAGTTCTCATGTAGGCTTTGTACGCCTCTTGAACCTATGAGTAAATGGGGCAAAATAAAAAAAATTCATTTTGTTGTTGTTAATGCTTTTTCCTCATTTTATGTCACGTGATAGTCCCGACTCAGGATCAATCACGTTCAAATTTACAGTTTAAAAAAATCGAAAAATTCACGAAATTTAAGTGTAGATTGTTGATGTTAAACGCCTGTCACACAGGCTATGCGAGGTAGGTAAGCTGTAAAAGTTCAGCAGTATATCTTAAAAGTAACGATTGCAACGGCTTCCAAATATTAGAGGGATTTGTATGGGAAAAACAACTCTTGTCAACCACTCATGGTTGAGAAGTTTTGCATAGAAATCCTCGTAAACTTTAAAATCTTTCCTTTAAGCATTACAGGGCTCAAATTTTCTGTTACGATATAACTTACAGAAGAAAATTGAGCCATCCGAGACATAAGGGAGAGAAGAATCTTGGAAACGAGGCTACTGATTATCAAACTAACCTTCACGTTTTCAGTCTTGACTTTATAATAACTCGGACTCATCCCTAACTGAGACGGCATAATCTAAAAACAGCAAGGACAATCAAGTTATTCAGGCTGATACTGATCTCATGAATCTGTAGTGACTGACTCGGAGTTTGGGCTTGGTAAGGCTGGATGCTCAAGTCAAGCCCAGGTAGGGCTTTCCGCAAGTTGCTCGAGATTTTCCAAAAAGTTTCCCGTAATTTCTGAAAAAGTTGCTCAAACGCTGCTCAAAAAACAATCAAAAGTTGCTTTTTGTAAGGAAGTTGCTCGAAAAAACAAAAACTTTTGATGGTCTGATGCCAAAATATGCAAATTGTACAACAAAAGTAAGATTTCTAGGACAACTTTAAAGCAAGGAGCACACATATACCAACCCACGGCCTGGCCAGTATCTCACGCACGCGCACAGCCATATCACCATGCTGATGAGCCCTAACGAGGGCGAAACAGCTGTCCATGGCTGCGTCAGGTACTGGCCAGGCAGTGGGTTGGCGATAGCCTCCCACGTACGCGTTTTTAGGGGAGTTCGTCTTTCATCCTTCCCCGCAAACGCCTGCTCAACCGAAAACAACATTCCTTTCCCAAACTTAGCCAATCACATTGTACTTTCCAAATTCTGGAAATTTGACCTTGACCGCAGGGTTATCCGAAAATTACTCGATTTGTATGAAACACTTTATAACCTCTAATAAATGTCAGACTCAGGGCAGCAAAACTAAGATTTAGTCACACTTTTGAATACTCCGTGCACTGCATAACCTCAGCCGGGGAAAGAAAAGAAGGAAAACTGCAACTCTAGGGTCACGTTTTAACACTACCACGAGCTTATGAGTCGTGTTTAGCCTGTCAACACTTAATTTCAAAACTGTTGATTGGTCACTTACCACGCAAATTAAACAGTGGGAAAGGAATGTGGTTTTCGGTTGAGCAGGCGTTTGTGGGGAGGGACGAAATACAAGCTCTCCTAAAAAACGCATGCGTGAGAGGCTAAGTTGGTGAAGGTGTGCCCCTTGCTTTAAGTTTGTCTTTTAAAGATTTCTAAGCGGTTTTGTGCAATTTTGCGGCGTAACTAGCGTTGCTAAATAACTTTGTCCTCAATTAGAACCAAAAATTCTAATGAGCCAATAAAATTGTTGAATGACCTTCTTCAACCGAGGCACACAAGTCAGTCGAGTGTCAATCTCCGTCTAACATTTTGAATTTTCTCTAAAAACCGCTGTCCTAGCAGCCCGGCTACTTTTATCTTGCGCCCATGATCTGCCACAGGGGAAAGGATTTGGCTCTTTTTTTAAACAGGAAATTCATACTAACACATAAAACATATTAAAATATTGAAGAAAGACCAATTTAAGAACTAAAAGCTACCCCGATAGCTCAGAATTAGAAGATAACTAGAGAAATTCCTCAGAATGCAAAAAGTTGCTCGAAACAAAAAAAGCCGCCCGAAATTCAGGGGTGTCCATATTATAGAGGTAGGGAAAGTATGATTTTTGGCATTTCTAGGACTAAACGAACTGTTCGTAATAGAGAGATGTCCGTATTATAGAGGTGTCCGCAATGTAAACCATTACGAAATTCTGACACTCAGTTTTCTTCAATTCGATATTAATTCTTTCCATTCAAAGGTTTTCAGGCTGATCGAATACGCCTTATTTATACTTACTTTAAGAATGTTTTTGTTGGAATCATACAAATCTGTTGTAACAGCCACCTTCAGCAAGGTTTGAACATTCAGTTCCCTCAGAACCCGGCCCATGAGTTCCTCCGGTGAAATATTCGATCGGTTCGTGTTTGTCACCGTCCATCCTCCGTATTTCTCGATCAACTTTACCAAAGGGTCCTTCCCTCGGTTATTAATGGCAGTTGTATTGAGGCAGGTATTGTAGATCTTGATGGTATTCTTGATGGACACACTCTGTACGTGAAGACATTAGAAAAAACCATAGCCAGTATAGCGTTACAAATAGAAACGCAAAGGGCAAAGAGAACGATAAAAAAAAGTAATACGTTTAACAAACACAACAGACTTTCACGTGCATCACACTTTTTGGTACATTTCTTTGCCTGCACTGCACGACTACGACGTGAAATTTCCTTATATGACGTTTTGTGCGTGGTCACCCGAGCCGCGCGAAGTTCTAGCCGCTTGCAGTGCACAGGGAAGTACGTTCATTTTTCAGTTATTTTTAGACCCTGAGTACTGGTCCGGCCCCGGGAATCGAACCCGTGACCTCCCGCTCTTCAGTCAAGTGCTCTACCGACTGAGCTAATCTTGTCGCGGTAAAAGGTTTTGAATATTAATTTCTTTTATGTGTGGACATAGTTTTTTCTTGTACTGTATTTAATGTATTATGTATTGTGCTCGAAGAGAGAGAGGAGATATTAGCTCGCAAGCTACTCAAAAAAATTCCAGGGTAAATAAGTTTATGAAATGTACTTATGTTTGTACGAAAAGTACATACAATTTGCAGAACAGATCTGTGCAGCCTGAACAAGCGTGACGAATTAGGGAGTTCACGCCTCCACACTGGAACAGATATTTACTCAAGAACCTTAAGAATTAGGTTTCACAACTAAAACCTAACAACCACTCGTATTGTATATATTGCCAGCATTTGAATTTTATCGGTAACTCTTCGTTATTGCCTAACGAGTGTGACCACTTTGGATCATACGAATCAATACTGCAGCCATAAAACGATGAATCACTCCTGAAGTCTGGAACAATATCGATTATAATATAAGTTTTTGTATGTATGCATGTACATGTATACAATGTATGCATGTAACAACAGCAAGACGAAAGTAATACCAACCTGGGAATAATTAAAAGAAGAATTCTGCAGAGCCCTTCTTAAAACCTTCAAGTTGTCGTTGTTGACGCTAGTAAAAGCAGTAACATAGCTTTCATTAACTCCAAGCTTGTGACTTTTGAAGAAGCCTCCACAGGTGTAGGAGTAAAAATCTTTACATGGATCTACACTTTTGTTCAGCTGATTGGAGACATCTTAAAATGAAAGTTTCAAATTAGCAAAGCAACGCAAAAGTTAAACTTTCTCAAAGTCCTTCGCTTCTCATTTCCGGTTCCAGTGCAGAAAACATCAAAAATCTCCAGCTCGCGCTTCGCGCTCGAGAAAAATTTCCAGGTGGACTTGTCGGCAAGACTTCGCGAAAGTCCCACTGAAGCTTCGAAGGTCAACCTCGCGCCCAGGGCTTTTTCTTTTCCTGCCACTCCAAGCCTACGAACGCAGACGTATTTCTGGTCGTCGCTTTAGCCGAAAATACGTCTGCGTTCTCAGGCTACCCCCTCCCATTTTCTAAGCCATTGGTTTAGCTAACATGGTCTAAAGGGTCTAGTTTCGAAAGCTACTGTAGAGCGGAGTCGGTTGGGATGTGAGACACAACAGTTGGGTTTTATCGGAAACAACTCGATAAAGTGAGTTTACCGCAAAAAAGGGCGAAAAGTGGACGTTTTAAGCGCTAACTCTACAATCTTGGACAAAAAGTGTTGAGAATTTTGCACTTTCTTACCCACAGAACGCTTGTCGCGTAAATTTGGTACCGCTATGGCCCCTTCTCTCACCCCACTCTGGTCAAAGATCAGAAATGATCCAGCCGGACCTAACCATTGCTTTTTGGGGGAAGGGGAAGTATTTGTAGTTACCGGTGCTTTCAAGAGCGTTACCTTGAAAGTAGACATGGTAACGTCCATTTTTTTCAACATTTTTGTCCAAGATTGTAGGCGGATCAAAGAAGATTGTTTTCTACTTTCTGGGATTTTTATCGTTGGTAAAATTAAAGGAGGACGCAACTCTTGAGCGTCAAGGGGCCTAAGAGACAATGAAGAAATGTTACCTATATATAAGGCTTAATAATGATTTGCCTCTATAAATAATGCAACAAATACCACAAACCTTTAGAAATTTCATAGCACAGGGCAGTCTTGCAAATTTTTGGTGCTACAAGAGAAAACAAAACGAAACGATCACTGTGAGGAGGAATTTAACGTCCAAGTACAAAACAATCATGCAGTGGACCTGAAAGTAGCAAGAGCCAACAGCCAACATTTTGCGACGACACCACTGGTTCCTGCTTTCTCCGCGAAATGAAGCGCAGAAATTCCATGCGCTTTTGATTGATCATGCGGTGTGGGAAATTTGCTTCAACCATTCAGAAGCACTGCCCAGATCTGGAAAGTGATGCGTCATCAGTATGGAATTTCTGCGCTCGATTGTCAGACGTCATTTCGCAGGGAAACCAGTGGTGGCACAGCCAAATGTCGGCTGTTTTTTTCAGGCTTACCTGTAAAACCATTTAAATTCATAGCTAACCTGGCCATTAGCAGCGTATAATGTCCGCAGAGTTTCAAAATTGAATAACTTCAAAGCCATTGAAGCTATGACCGCCAAACTTTTACTAAACTTTATCTCAAAACATTGCCAAAGACTTTGTGACCTGTACATCAACATGGCAACATGGCAACATGGCAACTGAGTATATACAGCCACGTTTAGCGTCGTTTTACCTTGCGCTTTTTAAACAGTATTAGATTACTGTAACAGCACCCGTGTACCTTAGTTTTGTCCCGTTTAATTTTTAGCTATATCCTCTATGTTGCCAATCGAACATAATCGAACGTTAGGAAATATCGAACATAATCGAACACTGCATGCAACAATCGAACTTAAAACGAGTTTCATGCGTTGCGTTCAAATAAGTTATGTATTGGGCTTCAATTTCATAGACGAGTACGCAAAGATGTCACAGGACGGGAAACGTGAAAAATTCTGGAAACGAGGGATAAAGGCTACCATGACTGCCCACTTTCGCCGTCAGTGTCGGTAAAATTTTATTAAGAAGAAAAGAGGAGATCCAGTTCTGAAGGTAACTGACGATGGCCGCGGCCAACTTGGACATTTGCAACGTGAACTGGTGCCTGTGTTTGCATGTTTTCCAGCATTAATTGTGAAATTAACGATTTTGAATCACTTAAACAATAAAGAGCTTAGTTAATTCCGGGTTAATTGAAATATTTTTGTTTTCAAACTGCTTCAAATACATACTAGAGGGAGATCTTTCCGAAATATAATTCAATTGACACTGGATGCGTTTTGTCTTCCTGCCAAACAAAATCGAACTAATCGCGTCGATTGAGTTCGATTGGTTCGATTGAGTTTGGTAATCGAACTCACCGAAAAGTTCCAGTTCGATTACAAAACCAATCGAACAACAATCCGTCCGATTGGGTTCGATTGAGTTCCATTGATTTTTGGTTCGGTTCCTCAATTCCAGATTCCAAATTTCA